CCATTTGCAGTCATCAGCCGACATTTGAAGCAAAAAAATTAGGTAAAAAAAGAAAAGAAAAAAAAGCCGCGTCGCCGCGCCACTTTTTGGGCAAGCTCCATACCAGAAACCGGAGACTTTTTTTGGGGGGGGGGGCTAAGTTTTTATCGTGGTTCACGAAATTGCAAGGCCACGGCTTAAAGAGGTTGTGGAATGCTCGAAGACATTTCCGTCATTTTTCGGGTATACTATGTAGCCTAAGATGCTATGAAATAAAAGCGACTATTGTGTCTGTCATGAATGCATAAAAAAGGGTACTTTTGAGAGCTGTTTTTCAGGTCCTGTTTCGACCCGAACGTGCAATTTGTGTAAAAGTCGTCGTTGGGAGCAGCAAACAAAACATACTAAATCGTGACGTAATAAACAGGACTCCCGATGCAGCGTAGTTCCTTGTTGACTTTTTGGCAGTTTATTTTGATTATTCAGTATTGTGATAGTTACACAGCATTTTATTTATATATCGGGGATCATTCTTTTGTGTTTGCCCTAACGGCCAACCAAAGTAAGAAAAGTCTTTTACATCAACATCGTTCGATCGTTCACATCACACGGTTGGCTGGAAATTCACGGGTGTACTTGTGCCGCTGGCCCGGCCGCGGGGACCGTAGATTTTGACACAGGGAACGGTGCTGGAATTTCAAAATAACTCGTTGTTGATACGTGTATGGGTACCGAACGCACTAGGCCAAGGCAAACCTATATGCCTATTATTGTGTCAGTCGCTGGCTGTAATCACACCACATTTTGGGGGCAATGAATTTCCAATTTTCCCGTCCGGGTGTCAGCATGCAGGAATAAGAATCCTCCGTATAGTGCCTTGCAGTTTGTCCTAAAGAGTACTGTCCAAAACACAAGATCGGAGTCAGCCAAATTAACGGATAGAGCGCTGATCATGCACTGTACATTTTATTTTGTACGGCAAAGAGTCTTTTTTTTCCTCAGTTAAGAGATAATTTGGAATTGCTACACGACTGCACAGAAAAACAATGGTGCTGTACTGTACCGACACCAGATCGCGACAGTATAAGGCGACCTGGTCTAGGGGCTAGACGTTGTTCTTGTTTGCTACGCCGATAACCGACCACCGCTTTAACCGGCCACCGCGAGAGGGCGCTATCACGACCAACCAATATCACCCACGAACCTGTCAGTTCGTGGGTGATATTGGTTGGTCGTGATAGCGCCCTCTTGCGGTGGCCGGTTATAGCGGTGGCCAGTTATCGGCGTAGCAAAAGAGAACAACGTCTAGCCCCTAGACTAAAGGCGACCGTGTGATGAGCCTATTCTCCGGCCGGGCGGCCGGCCCAGCCCGGCCCGCAGCCTTCCACCGAACGGGGCCGCGGACGAGACCACACACCACTTTTTCAAAGTGCATGCAAGAGAGCTATGTTTTGTTCATCTTCAAAGTTCAGGTAATTCTTTGTACAATTTTTAAAATCTGACAAGAAATAACAGATATGATTCGTCAATGATTTACAGGGAAGACTGTTTTTGGACCATTTGTCTATTGCCAATATTGAAGAACCGTAGACCCGTTCCAATGTATACAGTCAAAGTGACGTCCGCATAAAGCATTCTTAAGTTCCTTGCGTTTAATATTATAGTGCTGATTAATGCGACAGGGCTCCATTTTCCCTAGAATTTCTTTTGATCGAATGACAGATTCTCTGCCACTGGAAATTCTTGAATAAAGTCTTAATTAGTACTGAAAATAATGATAGTGCTCGTTAAATTTCGGGAATAGTGAAAGGTTTTCAACCGGGATCCCGAACATGTCGTACGTCTAGAGATTTTTGTCAAAACATCGAAATGATGAAAAAAAATGAAATGGATAAAACCTATGAACAAAAACAGTTCAGAAAACAAGGCAAATCTAGGCTTTGTACATTTAAAGGGACACTAGGTCCTGGAACAGCCCAATTGGGCTACAAAACGCGCTTTGATTGAACGAGATGATGATAATCGGAAAGTACATTTAAAAGTAAGATATAAACATCCACACAACTATCCTTTAAAAAATGGGCGTTTTGTGTTATTCCTGTATTATGCGTGCCAGAACGAATTTCGGGGTCCACTTAATTTTTTGCGACTCCATAAATTCAAGCTGGTTGGATGCTAGTTGTGATTTCATTCGTAAAATGTTCGCCTTTTGCGGACGTTGAAGAAACCATTTTTTGTATTGGTGATTGATCCCTGCTGTTCCCTCGAGACACACAACGTACCGTACACTGAGAACGACACGAAAACGTCTTCGTACTCCGTCATGTCTGATGTAAACTAGCGGGTTTTTTTTCGTCTTTTCTTGGGAACGGTTAGAAATAAGGTTGGTTTCCTTTCAACCAGATGTTTGAAATAGGCTAAGTAAACAAACGGTGGCCAGGTGATTTATCATGAAAAATAGACAAACTAGACAGAATATTCAGACAAAATATTGTTGTTCTCTCCCTCAACAGTGTCTTGTGTCAACGCAGAGAAAAACTTGGCGAGAGAGCAGTCCCAGTCCAAACAGACCATTTTCCACACTTTCTGCACAGAAACGATAGTCATGGTCGACAAACTATCTCAACAATTAAGTAATGCATTAAATTGAACGGTGGCCAGGTGATTTATCATGAAAAATAGACAAACTAGACAGAAGATTTAGACAAAATAATGTTTTTCTCTCCCTCAACAGTGTCTTGTGTCAACGCCGAGAAAAACTTGGCGAGAGTGCAGTCCCAGTCCAAACAGACCATTTTCCACACTTTTTGCACGGAAACGATAGTCATGCTCGACAAACTATCTCAACAATTAAGTAATGCATTAAATTGAACGGTAGCCAGGTGATTTATCATGAAAAATAGACAAACTAGACAGAAGATTGAGACAAAATATTGTTGTTCTCTCCCTCAACAGTGTCTTGTGTCAACACGGAGAAAAAGTTGACGAGAGTATGCAGTCCCAGTCCATACAGACCTTTTTCCACACTTTTTGCTCGGAACCGATAGTCATGGTCGACAAACTATCTCAACAATTAAGTAATGCATTAAATTGAACGGTGGCCAGGTCATTTATCATGAAAAATAGACAAACTAGACAGAAGATTTAGACAAAATATTGTTTTTCTCTCCCTCAACAGTGTCTTGTGTCAACGCGGAGAAAAACTCGTCTCAGTTTTACGTTGTTTTTTCTCTGTTTTTTTTCCTCTGTTTTTTTTCCCTTTAAAAAACAAAATGGCCGAGACTACAAAACCTGGATTTTTTTTTTGGAAATATCTCAAAGTAAAACGTGGACACCGGGCTACTACTACCTGCTTCACTAATGTTGTCCGGGAAACTATTATTGATAACCCGGACCCAAATACACTGAGAAAATCCTACGTAAAATCAAATTATTAAACAGTGAATGGAAGCAAATACAAACCACGGCAAAGTGACAAGTAAGAAATTAGGTGTGATTGGATGAGTTTCTCGGTCGATGAAGCATTTGTTGTCAGGTAGATTTTGTGAAACAGATCATCTTCCTTATTCCAGCATAAAGGTTATAAAGTGAGTTACACAGTACTTTTGGTTGTTTTTCTTTCTAGAAAATAATGCTTCTAGAATTTACATATTTTGTGATATTCCTAGTCTTTTCTCTCTTTCCCAAACCACAAAACAAAACAAAAACACCGAGAAACGTAATTATTCACAAGGATCGATTTTTTCCCCCAAATGTCGAGGGAAAAAAAATAAAAATTACTCTTCATTCCTTCGGAAATGAATATTCTCCAGTAAATTTATAAGACCCGTTTGGGTAGACTGAATAAAAACATGGGTAAGTCTTACTTGCAATCTCACAAAATAGTACCATGAACGTACGTCGTCCTAGATCCGCGACGTTTCGAACTGAAGAAAATAGTTGTCACACTGTACAATATTGCTCAACAGAGGGCGCTACTCATCAACGGCGAGTAAAACTCCTAAGTAGCAAGATCTGCGTTGTTTTGGCAAAGATGCACGGACTAATGAATTAAGAACAGATTTTACATGGTAAATGATCGCATTTGAATTCGTTTTCAATAATATTTTTGAAAAAGATTCAAGAAAATTGATGATGTCTGGGTCCATATATGGTTTTAAACCACTGTGCATTCAGATAATTTTACAGAAGGTTGATATAAGAAAGATGTTTGATGGACTACATGAATAATAATTATGTAAGACCCAAATGAAAGAGAGGTAAATATATGGAGGCCTATTCAAAAGACAACGTCTTGTAAGAAATGCCTTAGACCATAGAGCTCCATGGATAGACAGAGAACGGAACAGGACAGACAACAAAAACGAACCAACGAACTGGGATGTATAGAAAACTAGAAACTGGAATGCTTGAAAATCATCTCAGAAGAGAAAGGGGATGAACCAAATGTAATGATAAATGAGAAGGAACTACCTCAGACCATCGGAGACAAAGTACCTGATGTTTAAGAATGACCGTGACTTAATGTTACTATCAATATTATTCCAACACGAGTTCCATAGTTCCATAGAAACTCAGTGTGTTCAGGGAATAGGTTGTGCGTGCAAAAGGCAGACAAAGATTGCGACGTGATCTAGTGCCGTGGCTGGAACGGTACGAACTGCAGTAAAATAAGAGGAAAACACCGGAGGAAGAAGGTTGTTAACATGCTTATACAGGATATACATATCTTGGCCTTTATTTGATGGGAAGCATTTTATAAGACTTTGAATAATCCAAAACAGTTAAGAACGGTCAAGATGAAAAGTAAACCTACACCTTCCTTTTTATTTAGTTTAATATAAAGTTGCTGTTGTTTGATCCATTTGCTTTATCGTAGCGTGTGTGCTCTACCAGGTTATTTCTGAATGGTACATCTCATACCTTTAAATAAATTATGGACAGCTCCGCTATACAGGTCAGATAACGTTATTGACTTAAGGTGCAAAGTATTATGAAACCGATAACTGCCTAAATTGTTTGCTGTGATAAAGCGATCACTTTGCATATAGTCGTGACACTCTGTACCGGGCAGTCAAGATGGCGACTGGAACATTGTTGGCGCTCTTTACGGCACTTTTGCTCACAGGTAGGTTTTACCTAAAGTTTAACATTGCTGATGAATTGAAAAGGAAACCAATATGGCAAGTGGGAGTGTGCCTGGTGGATAGGGTTCCTGACTCATAATCAGAGGGTCAGGGTTCCTATCCAGTTGCTTGCCATATGTTGTGTCCTTGGGCAAGTCACTTCACCCCCATTTGCCTCTCTCCATGCACCCAGGAGCATAAACAGGTAAATAGGTACCAGCATCAGCCGAGGAGTAACGGTCACCTGTAATGGACCGGCATCCCATCCAGGGAGAATAAAAATGATGTTTCCAGTCGTTTTATGCAACTATGACGTAAAACGGGGGTAAAGCACCGGAGGTTTGGCACCAACAGCCGATACATTCAAAGGGGCTATAACAAAACAATTAAGCCTCCTCTGGCATTACACCCCGCCAAAAGTGCTGTAGTCTTCAATTGTGAAGTTAGCACTCAATTGGAAAAAGAAGCGGAAGAAGAGAAAGTAGAGGAAAAGGAAGAAGTAGAAGAAGTAGAAGAAGTAAAGGCCGGCTTGGTGGGTCTGCATTTTTTGGTATAGGCCTACCATTAAGTTAAAAAGAAACAGGTCCATAAACAAATTGGTCAAACAGAATGCTTTGCTATACAGGGTGAGTAAAAAACGAAACCCAAATGTCGGGACAATTGTTTTAGTGAAGTTCTGCATGTAGCAATTTTAAAATCTATAGGACATGAAAGCCCAATTCATAAGCTTTCTTTTAGTACCAGAATCATTCGAAACACTCGTGTTCTTTTCAAGTTACGGAATTTTAAACACAATCACCGTTTTAAGGTTCTGTCCACGGATCACAAAAATGTTCAGTGTTCTTTCAGCAAAACGAAAACAAATCACATAGGGATGTGTGAATTGTTTTCGTTTTGCTGTAGGAACGCACACTTTTTTTGTGATCCGCAGACAGAACTTCAAAACGGTGGTTGTGTTTAAAATTCCATAACTTGAAAAGTATGTGAGTGATTTGAATGATTCTTGTACTAAAAGGAAGATTTTGAGTTGGCTTTTATGTCCTACATTTTGAAAGTGCTACATGTAGGACTTCAATAAAACAATAGTCCCGACATTTGGGTTTCGGGTTTTTTTGCTCACCCTGTATACAAGCAAAGGCTGAATGAATGCATTGGTTGTTTTTTTTGCAGGATGTGTGGTGGTGTTTGGCAGTCCGGTATCAATGAAGGGAAAAGAGCTGGATCAGTTCCTGGCCTCGTCGGCCTACCGAGGAAAGGAGCGGCAGACAAGGGCGGATGAAGTGATTAGGGACTGCACTGTGACACCACCGGTAATGGGCGATAGTGGGCAGGACACTTAAACAAAAAAAGTTCATTTCATGACAAATTCATTTCAAACCTAGTTGACTCCAAGTGTGGTCATGCAGTTGGATGCAAGATTGGCTGCTTTTCATAAAATATCCGACTATACCTTTTGTTTTAACAAGAAGAACAACAACTTGTGTTGCAAACTGCTTTGCTTTCAAACGTCATCTCTGCGGTATTTGGGTCAGACGTATATTCAGTATCCGAAAAGCGCCCACCCTAAAATGGCAGCAGTGTTAATGGTTTATACAGGGTGGTTCAAAGTAAAGGAAATCCACTCATGACAGCAATTTTCATCTATTTGTAAAAATTATTGTAAACTTTTGATTAGTAGCTATTAAAGTATTGGCCTTTAAGCATAAGAGACAAAAAAATGTCGCAAGTGCATTTTTTTTTTGTTTTTTAGCTATGTGGTTTGAACATTTTCATGTGCGAAACCTGTTTGTCAAAGGAGGTAAACATTCCATCCGCTTGACTAAGCTCAGCCATCCGAGCTTGATTTGAAGACAAAATAAATATTAACACACTTCAAACAAGGATTGTTAGTTCTACTTCTTGTTTGTTGTTATGTAATATTATGCAACTTTAACATTCAGCTCCTTTGGCATAGATGATATTAACACTGACATGAATAATCGGTCAGCCTCAATCAAAGATTATGTGGTTTGAACATTTTCATGTGCGAAACCTGTTTGTCAAAGGAGGTAAACATTCCATCCGCTTGACTAAGCTCAGCCATCCGAGCTTGATTTGTAGACAAAATAATTATTAACACACTTCAAACAAGGATTGTTGGTTCTACTTCTTGTTTGTTGTTATGTAATATTATGCAACTTTAACATTCAGCTCCTTTGGCATAGATGATATTAACACTGACATGAATAATCGGTCAGCCTCAATCAAATATTATGTGGTTGGAACATTTTCATGTGCGAAACCTGTTTGTCAAAGGAGGTAAACATTCCATCCGCTTGACTAAGCTCAGCCATCCGAGCTTGATTTGTAGACAAAATAATTATTAACACACTTCAAACAAGGATTGTTAGTTCTACTTCTTGTTTGTTGTTATGTAATATTATGCAACTTTAACATTCAGCTCCTTTGGCATAGATGATATTAACACTGACATGAATAATCGGTCAGCCTCAATCAAAGTTACCAGTTCGAAACGTTTTTTTTTTTGGCAAGGTTTCAAATTTTTGAGAACTAAAAGTGTCCAATTTACACAGAATAATACGTGGAGAAAACTGATTTGAGGCTTGTATTCAAATAATCATAATATATCGCTATTCGTACGACTTTTACTATTTTTTCTTCAGCATATGTGGTAAGAGGACTTTACTTTACTATGTGAAAAAAAAATTGTGAAAAAAAGTTATTTTAAACCACCTTGTAGACTTGATTGACCGAAACTACTTAATATAATAGTCCATTATCATAGTGCCACAATTTCAGTCATGTTCCCTGTATCAAATAACAGTACTGAATGTTAATTGTGCAAAAAGGAACCAGTCCATTTTTCCTTCCAGCCTCCCTGTGGTCACGTTGATTTGAATGGGAACAAAATCAAGATGGCAGCAAGATGATAATGGTTTAGTGTAACAATTAGGAGACAAAAAGGAATACCATGTACACTCAACCAAAAAAGAAAGCCCCCCCCCCTTCCAATACTTGTTTGTCTAACTCAAAAACTAATGAGCACCTCTCGCTCAAATAACGACTACACAGTACAGAAATTCCTTAGCAATCCAGCCATACTCTTTGTTTGGCCCAAAACAGTGATAATGTGTGCAAATTTATGCAATTTATGACAAATGGTACTGAAAACAGTTGCACTTTTGAATGCGTGCAAGTTGTGGTTCACACTCACCTTGCACGCATTCAAAAGTGCAACTTTATTTCCGGTACCGTTTGTCATACATTGCATAATTGTGTACACATTATCACTGTTTCGGGCCAAACAAAGAGTATGGCTGGATTGCTAAGGAATTTCTGTACTGATAGTTTGAGCAAGATGTGCCCAGTAGTTTTTCAGTTTGACAAAAAAGTATTGAGGGGGGGGGGACTTTCTTTTTTTGGTTGAGTATTTCTTTTGGTTTTATAAAAGCAAGACTATAGATGAGCGGGAACCAATAGTCCAGTTTATGACATTAATTTACATGAAGTGACTCGGTTAGCTCGCGGACGACAATAGAAAGGCCATCGATCGCAAGTCCAGAAAACTGAAAGACCATGCCCATCTCAGGGTTAAACACCATGTTCATTGTCTCTCAATGTAGGTGGTTCCACCAACTGCTGTAGTCACTACGTCACGCCTTGCAGCACTGAGAGTAGAGATGGCCAAGTACTCCTTCGACGCCTACCTCATTCCCTCGGAAGATGCTCACGGGGTAAGTAAGAACGACACTGATTCCCATGCATGTAAACATTTACAGGGTGAGTCAAATAAAAAAGCGGAACCCGAACCCCCCAAAATAGATTTCATATTTAACAAAAATGTAGCACCACAAATAATAATGACTGGAAAACCAATTTCATATTAGCTACTATTAGATGGAAAAAAATACCGAAATTGTCAATCCTTTCAAAGAATATCAACATTTAAACACAATGACCCTGAAATCTGTCTCGTCCAAAAAGAAGCAATTTACTGCGTGTTTTGACTGTTTGGAACAACAAAGAAAATGACTCAGAATACTTGTTTCAACAAATGTCAACAACAGTAGTACACAATATCTTTATGGAAAAAAACCTGGTTAAGCAATTCGCAAACAAAATTCCACTTTTTTTAAGGACGGGCCTTCAAAAGGACTTTGTTTAATATTGTTAACTTTTAAACTGAGGTTTTATCGCTGGTGATGTTTGAAGACAATTGTGACGACGATTCTTGAAATCGCATTTTTGGACGAGACTGATAGGTCTTGGTTATTGTGTTTAAATGGTAATATTCTTTGAACGATTGCGGCAATTTCAGTATTTTGTTTTCATTGAAAAGAAGCTTACGAAATTGGCTTTCTAGTCATTATCATTGCTGGTGCTACATATTTTTTTTTAAATATGAATATACTTTTTGGGGTTTGGGTTGCGCTATTTTTGACTCAAAAGAAACAACAACCTAAAATAAGCACCTAAACAACCAACATCTAAACACCAATTAGCAGCTACTTCAAGCGATAGGCCTGAGACCTAATGACGTCCCGTTTTGTTTACATGTGCGCTTTTCTATGTGGTAGACGGTCCCTTCTACGTCTTGCGTCCCGACTTCGCTCCCATAGGAAATTGCACATATAAACAAAGCCATTATACAGCCATTTAAAGATGCATAAATATCATTTTGTGTTTACCCCCTATATCGAATTATTATCTAAAAGCTTACTTTGATTAATGACCGTGCTGGTACTAAACACCCCGTGAAATTATTCCATCTGACTTGCTGCCACTTTTAACTTGTAATCAATACAATGTGTCATTTCCAGTTGACCGATTTTTAATTGAACAAATAAATAATAATTGCATGTGGTAATGAAATTGAAATTTTCTTCAAAAATTATTGGTGATATTATGACATAAAAAGTTTTAAAATCGTCGGGAACGGTGGAAGAAAAAAAATACACACAACGACAATTAACAACAGTTTGTAAGGGCACTCCGTATTTTTTGCTGCCATCAATTTCTTCCAGAAGAGGGCGCGCTACACAAACACTGGTCAGCACGATCGGTGGTCAGCACCGTAAAGACAATGCGGATCATGAACTGCCAATTACACAAAAAATGAAACACTCTTTGTGGATACAATAAGTCAAGATAAACACATTGCAATGAATTGAATTCTCGTCCAAAAATTGGCAACGATATTTGACACAAGACTTTTGAAAATTGACGGGAACCGTGGAGGAATCAATTTAATATGATTTGAATAAAACACAGTGTTTTTTAATCGCGAAAAATTCATTCCGATTTCAAGTCACTATTAATCATGGAGCTATAAACACAGTAAAACGCCTCTTGTGGAGACGATAACTCAATAATAACACATTGCATTGAATTGAAATATCGTTTCATAATTGGCCGTGATGTTTGACAAAAGCCGTTTGAAAATTAACGGGAACCGTGGAAGAATAAATTTAATATGATTTCAATAAAACACAGTATTTTAATCGCGAAAAAATCCATTCTGAATTCAATTTACTTTTAAATGAACAAAAGAAAAACACTCTTTGTGGAGACGATAGCTCAATCATATGGCATTGAATTTGAAATTTTGTTCAAGAATAATGGAGGATATTATGACATTAACAGTTTGAAAATCGACAGGAACTGTGAAAGAAAAAAAATACAAACAACGACAACAAAACAACAGTGTGTAAGGACACTCCGTACTTTTTGCTGCCATCAATTTCTTCCAAAAGAGGGCGCGCTACACAAACACTAGTCATGAACGTATACAGATTTTTGTCAATGCGGATGACGATCTGCCATTAATTTTGTGTTCTTTTTCTTGAATTTTGATGTTCTCTTGACTTATAAGCAAGTTAACCATAAAAAGGGCCAGATTATTTTGACCATCTCACAGCCGGGGGAGGGTGGGCGGGGGTGGGGGGGGGGGGGGGGGGGGAGGGGGTTCAAGTAAGGCAAAAGTAAGGCCAGTTTTTTGTTTGGACTGTCACTGCAGATTCGGAAGTTTTTCTCCCGTCTTGACACAATACTGTATTGATGGAGAGAAAAATAATATTGTTACGAACCCAGATTGCTTGATTATGGAAATCTAGCGCCCTCTGGATTCACTCTGTCCATGAAGTACACAATCTTCTTGTTGTCTTTTATAGTTCCTGTATTTTACCCATTTATCGTAAATTGCCAACTTGCACTTTTATTCCCAGGGTCTCTTACCAAGCACAGCGCATGATGCAATACCACGCGCGCTACTGTATGCATTATTCATGTAGCGATGTACATGTGCGCGACTGACCACACCTCCCTTCGCCCCAGCGAGCTAAGTTCCTTTCCCCATAGCATGCGTGCTTTGGCGTTCTCCGAGAGACTGCTCAGCGGCACGGAGCGTTTCTCTCTCCCGTGTGTTACCCATGAACACTAACTGGAGTTCTCGGTCCAGTTTTCTAGTCCCGTACTTAGCTCGAGGGAATGGAATGTTACCTTGCGTGGTCGCGTAGCTGGGCGTGGTAAGACATCCTGCGGTGTCAATAACCTGTGACACAGTAACCTTTTAGCTTGTCACTCACTCCATCAAGGTTGCTCGAGATGTTGCGTAAACACTTTTGCACTCTGATCTAACTATTTGCACACATCTATCTCTGTATTTGCACACTTCTCTCTCCATGTTTTTCCTTATGTAAATGCACACGTTTCTAGTCTTTTGCACTAGGCACTCTTAGTAAACCATGTGACTAGTCATGTGACCCTTAGACATGGAAGATTATTATTGGTTAATTCCTAAATCAGTGCTCATGCATTATTTAATCCCGAGACTTCTACTGCCTATAAATACCGGAGGTTTTCCTCACTTTCGGCAGTGCGGCGAACCACGAAACCAATGTAGTGCGTACGAACCCTAAACCCAAAGTTGTGCGGCGAACTTATATGTTGTGCGGTAAATCGTATGATGTGCGACGAACTCGACTCTGACAGACCGATTGTCGTGCGACTCTTGTCACTACGAAGCATCGGCCTCCCTTGGTGGTTGAGGCGCGGTGAAGTAATAGTGCAATCACTAGTACTAGTGTTATTATGAAGCATCCTTCTCCTAGATCCCTCGAGGAGTGTGTAGAAGCTGGTGAAATAGTAATACACTAGTCCCAATGGTGCTGTGCGGTTTCTAATGGCCATTGGACTGCTAGTCATAGCTTGAACATGTTGTGCGGTTGTCTGGTGTTCTAGCCCAGCCAGAGCTAGTTCATCCCCGTCACCACAGCGGACCGCTCCCGCTGTGGCCAGCCGGCTCCCCGTAGCCATTCCCCCCGTAGTTCAGCTATATGCTAGCCCGGTCTTGTCATAAACACTATCCTTGGTGCATAGTGCCTCGATTGACCTTGGATACCCGATACGCCACATGCACACTTTGGTTCGAACTGTAGTGCGGCCTGGTACACTTGCTGGCCCCGTCCAGTTGCCGTTGCCTCCCCGGTCACCGTAGCGGACCGCTCCCGCTTCGGTCTGACCGTCGATAACCCGTACCGTGCCGGTGCCCACTCAGTTCGTATTGGTTGACATGGTTTTGCCATAGTACATAATACATGTATAGACTTTGTAGACGCCAACCTGTTATCTCTATAACGCTACCAAAGACTACCAAAAGGAGAAACCCTATAGGTTGATGAAATCTAACAAAGTTATGTAAAGTGATGAGATGAATAAATCAGTGTATTGACATGTGTGACTGTCACCCCAAAGCTTTGTTTCCCTCCAACTTATTGAATTATTGTTGACTCTAATAAATGTTTCATGAACTGCTATTAGGGAACGCAACAATATCTTGTCTAAATATTCTGTCTATTTTGTCTATTTTTCAAGACCAATCATCTGGCCACAATTCAAATCAATGCATCACTTAATTTTTGAGTAAGCTGTCCATGAAGACTATGTTGTTTCTGTGCAAAAGGAAGGCAAATGATCTGTTTGGACTGTGACTGCAGATTTGCAAGTTTTTTGCCGTGTTGACACCAAACACTATTGATGGAGAGAAAAACAATATTTACTCTTAATACTCAGATTTTGTTTGTCTTTTTTTCATGACCAATCATCCGGCCACGATTCAATTCAATGGATCATTTAATATTTGAGTAAGCGTGTCCACGAAGACTATGTCGTTTCGGTGCAAGAGTGTTCTGTTTGGACTGTGACTGCAGTTTCGCAAGTTTTTTTTCCCGCGTTGACACCAAACACTATTGATGGAGAGAAAAACAATATTTACTCTCAATACTCTGGCTTTTTTGTCTATTTTTCATGACCAATCATCTGGCCACAATCAATGGATAATTTATTTTTTGAGTGAGCGTGTCCACGAGGACTATGTCGTTTCTGTGCAAAAGGTAAGGTAAATGTTCTGTTTGGACTGTGACTGCAGATTCGCAAGTTTTTCTCCGTGTTGACACAAAACAGTATGGAGACAAACAATATTTATTCTTAATATTCTGCCAAACAATTGAAATAATAAAGCTCGAACAACCCAGTGTGATCAGCACCAAAAATACACTAGTCTGAAGATTAGTCAACTTTCAAGTAACAAAAACAGCATAGGCCTACTCTTTTTCCAGACGATAACTCTAGAAATACTCCATGTAGCGAACTAAAATTACATGTGGTGATTTGACATGATATAATAACACAAATCTGTGGAATGCCACGAGAAATTATCAAACAATTGAAATACTATAGTCTGGCCGAATAACGCAGTGCGTTCATTGTGAAAAATACGCTAGTCCGAACGAAAGTCAACTTTAATTGAACAAAAACAACATAGGGCCTACTCGTTTTTCAGACAATAGCTCTAGAAATACTTAATGTATCGAACTGGAATTACATCTGGTGATTTGAACTGATATAGTTACGCATATCTGTTGAATGTCAAAGAAATTGTCGACTACTTGAAACAATATAACAACCCAATGTTTTCAGTGCAAAAAAGTACACTAGTACGAAGAAAAGTCAACTTTCATGGAAAAAAACACAACATACTCGTTTTCCAGACGATGACTCTAGAAATACCCCATGTATCGAACTGAAATTATATCTGGTGATCAACATGATATAATAACACACATCTGTGGAATGTCAAGAGAAATTGTCCAACAATTGAAATAATAAAGCCCCGAACAACCCAGTGTTTTCAGCGCAAAAAAACCCACTTGTCCAACGAAAAGTCAACTTTCATGGAACAAAAACAACATACGCGTTTTTCAAACAATAGCTCTAGAAATACCCAATGTATCAAACTGAAATAACATCTCGTGTTTTGACACGATTAATGACACAAATCTGTGAAATGGCAAGGGAAATTGTCAAACAATTAAAATAATATTGCCCGAACAGTGTGCTTCGTAGGAAAAATACAAAGTCCGAAAGAAGTAAGTTAAATTTCACGCAAAGAAAACAACATACTCGTTTTCCAGACGATAACTCGAGAAATACCCGATATGTATCGAACTGAAATAACATCTGGTGTTTTGACATGATATAATAACACAAAACTGTTGAATGTCTAAAGAAATTGTCAATTAATTAAAATAATATTGCCCCGAACAACCCAGTGTTTTCAGCGCAAAACAATACACTAGTACGAACGGAAGTCAACTTTAATTAAACAAAAACTACATACTCGTTTTCCAGACGATAACTCTAGAAATACCCGAAGTATCAAACTGAAAGTTATCTTCTGATTTGTCATGATATAATAACACACATCTGTGGAATGTCAAGAGAAAATGTCCAACAATTAAAATAATATAGCCCGAACAACCCAGCGTGTTCAATGCGAAAAATACACTAGTCCGACGGGAGTCAACTTTTATTTAACAAAAACAACATACACGTTTTCAAGAAGATAACTCTATAAATACCCCATGTATTGAACTGAAATTACATCTGGTGATTTGACATGATATAATAACACAAATTTGTGGAATGTCAAGAGAACTTGTCAAATAATTGAAATAATATAGCCCGAACAACCCAATGTGTTCAGCGCGAAAAATACAATAGTCCGAACAAAAGTCAACTTTCGTGTAACAAAAACAGCATACTCGTTGATCCGGAAGTAAAGGTCAAGCGATTTCACGTACACGACAAAATGTGTAATGGGCTATCTGATTGCAACGTATGAACATGATTGAAGTTGTAAGTGAAAGACGTTGGTCATTTTTGAACGAAAGTCGCTTGTAATTTGACACCTGATGTCGTCATCATGACGTCAGAGTAATATGCACCACTCGAGATGATGGTCAATATACAATGAAATCTCGATAAGTCAAATCTGACGGGAACAGCTTCAAAAATTTGGCTTAATAAGCAGATTTTTTATTTGCTAAGCAGGGTTGTATATCATTACTACAAAAAGGGGAATGGATCCTTTGTTTGACTTAACAGTCGTTTTGCGTTATCAGAGTTTGACTTATTTAGATTTCACTGTATGTTGAAAGTTACTAGCTAAATACCGTAAACCGTTAAGGAGAAAACCCGCGGAGAAGAATTGTCCGGAAAAGAAGAAGAAAGAAAGCAAACAAGAAAGAATATTTATCAGAACAATTGTAAGCAGTGGTCGGGTTGTGCCCGACCATTCAAAGAAACAAGATTTATCAGAACAATTTTAAGCAGTTGTCGAGTGGTGACCGACCACTCAATGACCGAAACAATATAGTGTTTTAAACGCTTCTCATATATGTTTGATACCAAACCAGAGTGAAGATGTTCCAGAACGTGATACACGACGGGCGTACATCTGCGGCTTGAGCGGATCAGCAGGTAAGCGGTTCAGTCTCTTGGTTTTATTTAGTTTCCACCGTACAAGATACTGACGGTGTAGTAACTGATGCCCCATATCAACTTCGAATCTCATCTTGCAGAAGGGGCGTGGTTGACATCCTATCGGGAAGGGAGGGGAATGGAGGCATGGGCGTCGCCAGGATTTTTTCTAGAGGGGGCAAAGCACACCCCACCCCCCGAAATCCCGTTACTATTCCAGCATATTCTCGATTTATCATTTGTCCTGGGTTGGCGGGGACATTCTCCCAATCCATTAAATTAACAGCAATATGACTTCGCGCCTCTTTTTCTTTCTCCCCCCCCCTTTCCCCTCTCCCCCCCCCCCTTTTCTTTTCAAGGAGGGTAAAGCGCCTCCCTTGCCCCCCCCCCCGCCGCGACGCCCATGAATGGAGGGAGTTTGTTATCTCTCTGCAAAACCAAGGGCGAACATCACGCTGGGAGGGGGCATATATTCTCCCACCCCTAGATTTTTGAAAGGCTTGGATGGGCCATAGGAACCCCGTCCCCAGATTTTTGTGGTGAAAAACCAAAATCTGCCGATTTCGAGGTTTTCTTTAACATTGAAAATGTAAAAGTTGTCAAAAAAAGAGACCATTCAGTAGAAAAGCTTTTAATGTACCGTTCAGATGTCAAAGTTAAGGCACGTAAGCATACACACATTTTGCTTACGACGTAGAGTTGTATCTACAACAGCGCCCCGTGGTGTCATATGGTTTTCAGCCCCAGAGGAACATCAATCAATACTGTAACCCGCAAAATTGCGACGGTTTGGGCAAAAACCATCCATTTTTTAAGAAACAAAAGTTATAACTTTTGAGTTTTTTTACCTCAAATTTTCTCCGAAATTTTCTTATTTTTTTTATAGCAAATCTGTCAAGAAATCGATTTGGAATGTGATCTAGGGCTCTTTAGCCAGCTTTCCAGCAACTTTCAAGCAATTTCATTTTTTGGCCAAAGTTGAAGAAAATACAAGGGGTTCACCTTACATTTTGAGTCATATTTAGCCAAATATTGACTTTTTCTCAAAACAAGGCAGAAATTTATATGGATGGAAGAGGAACATCAATCAATATTGTAACCCGCAAAAGTTGTGACGATTTAGGCAAAAACCATCAATTTTTGAAGAAACAAAGTAATCATTTTTGAATGATTTCACCTTAATTTTTCGACGAAATTTCCCTTCTTATAGCACATCTGTCCAGACATCGATTTGGAATGTGTTCTAGGGCTCTTTAGCCAGCTTTCCAGCAACTTTCAAGCAATTTAATTTTCTGCCAAAATTAAAGAAAAAACAAGGGGTTTCTGTTATACATTTTTAATAAAATTTAGCAAAATATTGACTTTTTCTCAAAACAAGGAAGCAATTCATCTGGATGCAAGAGGAACATCAATCAATACTCTTACCCGCAAAATGGTGAAGATTTGGGCAAAAAACATTCATTTTTGAAGAAACAAAAGTTATCATTTTTGAATGATTTCACCTTAAAATTTCGACGAAATTTCCCTTTTTATAGCACATCTGTCCAGAAATCGATTTGGAATGTGTTCTAGGGCTCTTAAGGCAGCGTTCCAGCAACTTTCAAGCAATTTCATTTTTTTGCCAAAATTGAAGAAAATCCAAGGGGTTAACATTACATTTTGAGTCAAATTTGGCCAAAAATTGACTTTTTCTCAAAACAAGGCAGCAATTCATCTGGATGCTAGAGGAACATCAATCAATACTCTTACTCGCAAAAAAATGAAGATTTGGGCAAAAACCATCCATTTTTGAAGAAACAAAAGTTATCATTTTTGAGGTATATTACCTGAAATTTTCGCGGAAATTTCCCCCTTTTTTGGGGGCACATCTGTCCAGAAATCGATTTGGAATGTATTCTAGGGCTCTATAGCCAGCTTTCCAGCATTTTTCAAGCAATTTCATTTGTTGCCAAAATTGAAGAAAAAACAAGGGGTTGATTGATGTTCCTGATACATTTTGAATCAAATTTAGCCAAATATTGACTTTTTCTCAAAAAAAAGCAGCAATTCATCTGGATGCAAGAGGAACATCAATCAATACTTTTACCCGCAAAATGGTGAAGATTTGGGCAAAAACCATCCATTTTTGAAGAAACAAAAGTTATAATTTTTGAGTGATTTCACCTTAAATTTTTGCCGAAATTTCCTTTTTTATAGCACATCTGTCCAGAAATCGATTTGGAATGTGTTCTAGGGCTCTTTAGCCAGCTTTTCAGCAACTTTCAAGCAATTTCAATTTTTGCCAAAATTGAAGAAAAAACAAGGGGTTAACCTTACATTTTGAGTCAAATTTAGCCAAATATTGACTTTTTCTCAAAACAAGGCAGCAATTCATCTGGATGCAATAGGAACATCAATCAATACTCTTACCCGCAAAATGGTGAAGATTTGGGCAAAAACCATCCATTTTTGAAGAAACAAAAGTTATAATTTTTGAGTGATTTCACCTTAAATTTTCGCCGAAATTTCCTTTTTTATAGTACATCTGTCCAGACATCGATTTGGAATGTGCTCTAGTGCTCTTTAGCCAGCTTTCCAGCAACTTTCAAGCAATTTCATTTTTTTGCCAAAATTGAAGAAAATCCAAGGGGTTAACCTTACATTTTGAGTCAAATTTAGCCAAAAATTGACTTTTTCTCAAAACAAGGAAGCAATTCATCTGGATGCAAGAGGAACATCAATCAATACTCTTACCCGCAAAATGGTGAAGATTTGGGCAAAAACCATCCATTTTTGAAGAAACAAAAGTTATCATTTTTGAATGATTTCACCTTAAAATTTCGACGAAATTTCCCTTTTTATAGCACATCTGTCCAGAAATCGATTTGGAATGTGTTCTAGGGCTCTTAAGGCAGCGTTCCAGCAACTTTCAAGCAATTTCATTTTTTTGCCAAAATTGTAGAAAATCCAAGGGGTTAACATTACATTTTGAGTCAAATTTGGCCAAAAATTGACTTTTTCTCAAAACAAGGCAGCAATTCATCTGGATGCTAGAGGAACATCAATCAATACTCTTACTCGCAAAAAAATGAAGATTTGGGCAAAAACCATCCATTTTTGAAGAAACAAAAGTTATCATTTTTGAGTGATTTCACCTTAAATTTTCGCCGAAATTTCTTTTTTTATAGCACATCTGTCCAGAAATCGATTTGGAATGTGTTCTAGGGCTCTTTAGCCAGCTTTCCAGCAACTTTCAAGCAATTTCAATTTTTGCCAAAATTGAAGTAAAAACAAGGGGTTAACCTTACATTTTGAATCAAATTTAGCCAAATATTGACTTTTTCTCAAAACAAGGCAGCAATTCATCTGGATGCAAGAGGAACATCAATCAATACTCTTACCCGCAAAATGGTGAAGATTTAGGCAAAAACCATCCATTTTTGAAGAAACAAAAGTTATCATTTTTGAGTGATTTCACCTTAAATTTTCGCCGAAATTTCTTTTTTTATAGCACATCTGTCCAGAAATCGATTTTGAATGTGATCTATGGCTCTTAAGGCAGCGTTCCAGCAACTTTCAAGCAATTTCATTTTTTGGCCAAAATTGAAGAAATTACAAGGGGTTAATCTTACATTTTTAGTCAAATTTGGCCAAAAATTGACTTTTTCTCAAAACAAGGCAGCAATTCATCTGGATGCAAGAGGAACATCAATCAATACTCTTACCCGCAAAATGGTGAAGATTTAGGCAAAAACCATCCATTTTTGAAGAAACAAAAGTTATAATTTTTGAGTGATTTCACCTTAAATTTTCGCCGAAATTTCCTTTTTTTATAGCACATCTGTCCAGAAATCGATTTGGAATGTGTTCTAGGGCTCTTTAGCCAGCTTTCCAGCAACTTTCAAGCAATTTCAATTTTTGCCAAAATTGAAGTAAAAACAAGGGGTTAACCTTACATTTTGAATCAAATTTAGCCAAATATTGACTTTTTCTCAAAACAAGGCAGCAATTCATCTGGATGCAAGAGGAACATCAATCAATACTCTTACCCGCAAAATGGTGAAGATTTAGGCAAAAACCATCCATTTTTGAAGAAACAAAAGTTATCATTTTTGAATGATTTTACCTTAATTTTTTAAGAAATTTCCATTCTTTTAGCACATCTGACCAGACATCGATTTGGAATGTGTTCTAGGGCTCTTTAGCCAGCTTTCAGGAACTTTCAAGCAATTTCAATTTTTGCCAAAATTGAAGTAAAAACAAGGGGTTAACCTTACATTTTGAATCAAATTTAGCCAAATATTGACTTTTTCTCAAAACAAGGCAGCAATTCATCTGGATGCAAGAGGAACATCAATCAATACTCTTACCCGCAAAATAATGAAGATTTGGGCAAAAACCATCCATTTTTGAAGAAACAAAAGTTATAATTTTTGAGTGATTTCACCTTAAATTTTCGCCGAAATTTCCTTTTTTTATAGCACATCTGTCCAGAAATCGATTTGGAATGTGTTCTAGGGCTCTTTAGCCAGCTTTCCAGCAACTTTCAAGCAATTTCATTTTTTGGCCAAAATTGTAGAAAATACAAGGGGTTAACCTTACATTTTTAGTCTAATTTGGCCAAATATTGACTTTTTCTCAAAACAAGGCAGCAATTCATCTGGATGCAAGAGGAACATCAATCAATACTCTTACCCGCAAAATGGTGAAGATTCGGGCAAAAACCATCCTTTTTTGAAGAAACAAAAGTTATAATTTTTGAGTGATTTCACCTTAAAATTTCGACGAAATTTCCTTTTTTATAGCACATCAGTCCAGAAATCGATTTTGAATGTGATCTAGGGCTCTTTAGCCAGCTTTCCAGCAACTTTCAAGCAATTCCGTTTTTTGCCAAAATTGAAGAAAAAACAAGGGGTTAACATTACATTTTGAATCAAATTTAGCCAAATATTTACTTTTTCTCAAAACAAGGCAGCAATTCATATGGATGCAAGAGGAACATCAATCAATACTCTTACCCGCAAAATGGTGAAGATTTGGGCAAAAACCATCCGTTTTTGAAGAAACAAAAGTTATCATTTTTGAGTGATTTCACCTTAAATTTTCGCCGAAATTTCCTTTTTTATAGCTCATCTGTCCAGAAATCGATTTGGAATGTGTTCTAGGGCTCTTTAGCCAGCTTTCCAGCAACTTTCAAGCAATTTCATTTTTTGGCCAAAATTGTAGAAAATACAAGGGGTTAACCTTACATTTTTAGTCTTATTTGGCCAAAAATTGACTTTTTCTCAAAACAAGGCAGCAATTCATCTGGCTGCAAAAGGAACATCAATCAATACTGTAACCCGCAAAATTGTGACGATTTGGGCAAAAATCACCCATTTTTGAAGAAACAAAAGTTAACATTTTTGAGTTTTTTTACCTTAAATTTTCGCCGAAATTTCCTTTTTGTATAGCTCATCTGTCCAGAAATCGATTCGGAATGTGTTCTAGGGCTCTTTAGCCAGCTTTCCAGTAACTTTCAAGCAATTTCATTTTTTGGCCAAAATTGAAGAAAATACAAGGGGTTAACCTTACATTTTTAGTCAAATTCAGCCAAAAATTGACTTTTTCTCAAAACAAGGCAGAAATTCATCTGGATACAAGAGGAACATCAATCAATACTCTAACCCTCAAAATGGTGCACATTTGGGCAAAAAACAGCCTTTTTTTGAAGAAACAAATTTTTCATTTTTGAGTGATTTTACCTTACATTTTGACGAAATTACCCTTTGTATAGCACATCTGTGCTGAAGTCGATTTGGAGTGTGTTCTAGTGCCCTTTAGGCAGTTTTCCAGCTACTTTCAAGCAATTTCATATTTTGGCAAAAATTGAATAAAAAAATACAAGGGGTTAACCCTACATTTTAGTCAAACTTGGGAAACATTGACTTTTTCTAAAAACAAGGCAGAAATTCATCAATACTCTAGCTCGCAAAATTGTGAAGATTTGGGCAGAAAACATCCATTTTTGAAGAAAATAAATGAAAATGTTTGAGTGATTTTACCTTAATTTTTCGACGAAATTCCCTTTTGACTGACCCGGTATAAGCTTAGATCTGCTCCTTTTAGGCAAAATTCAGATCATTTCCTGATGATACTTCTAACGGGTGTTTTTAAATATTTTTTTCCCCCATTCAGGATACGCGATAGTAACGGCCAGCGATGGTGCCTACATATGGACTGACTCGCGTTACTTCGTACAGGCCAGGCGACAGCTGGATTGCAACTGGAACCTTATGGAACAAGGTTGGCAAATAATACAGGGTGGACCAAAATAAACGAAACAGAGATATTATTGCTATTTGGAACAGAAGTAGAGCACATGTGAACCAAAGGGAGATATCTTCTGTTAGGGTTGAATCTCCTCTTTAAAATGACACCCTGATCAAGTCATCACATGCACGGTTGACTGAGCAGTAACCTATTTTATGAAAGGGTCTATTTAGAGAATTGCGCCACTTTTCAATTGTGTTTTTTGTTGTGTCAGTTGTCACGGAGTGAAAGGCTATGGTTGCCAATCAAGGCAGGTGGGAAAAAAAGAGATTTCAACATGAAAAGTGGCGCAATTCTCTAAGTAGACCCTTTCATAAAATTGGTCACTGCTCAGTCAACCGTGAATGTAAGGACATGATCAGGATATCATTTTAGAGAGGAGATTTACTTGTGCCCTAATTCTGTTCCAATTAGCAGGTTACAGCCCGATTGTCCGAAGGTTCTTTAGTCCGAAGGGTCATTAGTCCGAAGGTTCGTTGGTCCGAAGGCTCAATAGTCCGAAGGTTCGATAACCCGAAGGTTCGATAGTCCGAAGGGCCCATTAGTCCGAAAATTGAATAAGGTTAATTAATCCGAAGGTTCGATAGTCCGAATAGACGATAGGGCTCGATAGTCCGAATTGACAATAAGGTTCGATAGTCCGAATAGATGATAAGGTTCGATAGTCCGAATATATGGTAGGGTTCGATAGTCCGAATTGACAATAAGGTTTGATAGTCCGAATTGAGAATAAGGTTCGATAGTCCGAATGGGCAACACGGTTCGTCAGTATGACACTTCGGACTGTCGGACCTTACTGTTGATTCGGACTATCGGACCTTATTGTCGATTCGGACTATCGGACCTTTTTGTCGATTCGGACTATCGGACCTTATAGTCTTTTCGGACTATCGAACCTTATTATCAATTCGGAATAATGAACCTTCGGACTATGGAACTTTATTTTCGTTTCGGACTATTGAACCTTCGGACTGATTAACCTTATTCTAAATTCGAACCATCGAACCTTCTGATAAATTAACCTTCGGACAAATGAACCTTCGGATTAATGAACCTTCGGACTATTGCATCAAATGGTCGGATAAACGAACCTTATTTCATTTTCGGACTAACGAACCCCCTCTTATGGAAATTTTGTGCATTCGGACTATCGAACCTTCGGACTAAAGAACCTTCGGACTATCGGACCTTCGGACTATCGGGCGGCCCCCAATTAGCAATAATATCTCGGTTTCGGTTTTTTCCCCACCCTGTAAAGGCCTATGTGTGAGAATGTCACGAGGGTGAATGGTATACACACCAATCCAGGCACCCACATTTGTTTATGGTGTAAATCGAGGATTTTCTTTTGTTTCACTTTCCTTTTACCATGTTGGCAACAGCTCTCATTGGTTTAGTACACGTTTTGTAATCGAGGTCGTCCTCCATTTGGTCCCTGTCCTCGATTCACCGATGATGTTGCACCTGTAAGTCCTCGATTTACAACATAAACAAAGTCACGCTGTCACGTCTATCACGAAGGCCTCCTTCAATGGCGAGAGCAATGCGCTAGCTATACTGTTCAGATAATCCTTTGAGGGACAGTTGTTTTTAATTGCACTATAGCGTGCAGCATAGTTGCTCCATTCAGGGGGGGGGGCGTGGTTATGTAAACACTGGCAATCGTGGACCTAGGACAAAAGGGTTAGGGCACAAACAATACGTCCACGATTGACCGACAGTCCACGATTGAAATTCGTGTGCAAAACTAATGAGAGCTTTTTAGTACAAACAAAGAAATGAGGATTAGGGACAATAGGGGGTCCACGATTTCCGGTGTTTGCACACTTGTGTGAGAGTACAAGCATTACATTCAATGTGTGGACTTCCGAACAAAAGATGTCCACATAAAACAGGTAGCAGCGATGCTGTGGTTTCCCCCTCTCTGGAAAACAGATTAAGAGGCATTTAGGGGTCAGGTTTATCCGTGGCAAAATGAAGAGAAACACTAAAGGGCATCATAGAAACTAAGAATTTGGGTTGAAAGAGTTTTCACAGTTTGAGTAAAACGGGTTTTTCACTGTTTTTTCTTAACTACACGCAAACAAAGGAATGTCCACACTATGTATGTAAAACAAACATTGTGTGTAGGGTGAGTAAAAATAAATAAGGAAACCGATATTCCTCTTCAATTGGCATTTCGATAAAGATTAAGCTCGCACCAATTTTGAAATGAGTGTATTTACGTTGGCATCGTATAGGTTCAGCTGGAGTTCTTTACCCTGACGATTGGATGGCTACAAACATGGCCAATGGCAGCCGGATAGGGTTCGATCCTACCCTCATATCAGCAAGTAAGTCCTTTTTTTGTAGTTGTCCAAAATTCCTTCCTCACCAAATTCTCCACGCATTTGCCCTTCTGCCCTTGCACTCCACGCGTTTGCATTATGTCGAAGAAACAAACCCCGTAATATTAGTGGCTTGAGGTATGCAGTCCTTCAAAGGGATTTATAATTTCAAGAAGATTTTCCGATGCAATTTTTGCACCATGACGCCACTTGTTTTCATCAGATATTATGTCAATAGAGATAAGTCATTGCAAAAATGTTGAAAGACATGAATCTGGGACTGAGACACATTTCCAATTTGGTTAGAAAACACTTGTACTCAACTCTCCATGGACTAGACAACGAATTAAAACAAGTGACGTCTGCAACAATAAAAAAATTCCTGGATTAATTTCACCCAAGCAAGGGTGAAAAACTGCGACTACCCAAAATTGGGTTGTCCTTTACCCAATTGTTTGAGTTAGAATTTCTGAAAATTCAACCAAAACTTGTGGTCATACCAGACTTAATGTAATTCGGTTTTGTATGACCACAAGTTTCGGTTGAATTCAATGTAACCCAAACAATAATTGTGTAAAGGAAAACCCAATTTTGGGTAGTTGCAGTTTTCAACCTTGCTTGAGTAAAATTAACCCAGGCAATTTTTCAGTGCATAGATGCTACACTGTTTCCAAAATTTGGTCCCAAATTTGAAAATGAAAGTTGAAGTAATCTGTTCAAATCAACCCAAATGATTTGATGTTGTGTTAATTCAATTACAGGCGAATATCTTGACTATCTGAGTGTGTTCGCTGAGGAGAAGGATAAGGTCTTGTACCTGGTCTCCGAGACTACCAATTTGGTGGACACCGTATGGGGCGCGGACACTCCCTCGCAGCCAAGTTACCCGACTGATCCTCTGACGATTCTCGACTCGACAATATACACAGGTATTAAGAAATATCGGCATCGGTGTTTGACATAATAATATATGCAGTGGTAAAACGATTTGTTTGATGAGTGTATGGTTAACTGTACATTAGATCAGTACAGCTGCATTCTCTATACTATGGGTCAGAATGATGTGGACCCAAATTAAAGAAAATATTAAAAAGATAAGTATCAATTATCAAAACAAATGCAACTGAGATATGTTATAGGCTGGTATTTTGGACATGTTTGGTGAAAGTTTCATGGGATATCTATAACACCGTTTGAAGAAAAGTGCTATCAAAGAACACACGCTAAAAACACTCTGACCACGGTTCCATAGTTCAACAAGTTGATTGAATTCGCGTACTGATGTGACTTCATTTCAAACAGTAACATATCCCATATGCACATGTTTTGATAATTGCTACTCGTTTTTAATATTTTCTTTAATTTGGGTCCAAATCACTCTGACTCACCCTGTACAGTGTACTTTCCATTCACTGCACATCTACGTTTGTTTATGTTATTATGATTTTACAAGTAAACATTTCATTCCTGTTATACTGTTGTATACTGGAATTCTTTTTAATGGAAGGATGGAACTCCTGTTATATTGAACCAATTGAATTGAATTTAATTGGTAATTTGCCACCAAATTTGCTGATTGCTTAACTCTGACATGACCAAAGTTACCACTATAGTCCAGTTAAATCTGAATAAGTTGATCACTGATTGATTTAATTGACAATTACCAAGTAATACAATGCAGATGGAATGATTACTTATTCTTTTCTTGATTAACAAGGCGAGACATGGCAGCAGAAGATTTATTCCTTTCCCGATGACGACAGCGTTCGCGGCAAAATGAAGGACTTAAAACCGGAGGCGGCCAACGCCTTGGTGATCAGCGCGCTGGATGAGATTGCCTGTAAGTGGCTAGTTTAGTTTTCAAGACCTTCCTGACTTTCTGTATGGAGTTTTCTTGCACAGATATTTTCCAAGCTTCCTCGTTTTAAATAGATTCGTCAAGTAACTTAGTTTTTTATGCTATCATTTTACTTAATTCCGAGTTGTGGTGGGAATACATAATTCAAACTTAGTTAAGGTGATGCAATTGCGCACATTGTTTCGCAGTTAATTGTTGTATAAACGAGTCAATGATTTTTGTGACTCGAGTCGAGTCGAGTCATTTTAAAGAAGTGCTCGAGTCGAGTCAAGTCAATAGGTCAAGAAGGTCGAGTCGAGACGAGTCGAGTCAAATATATAGATCGAGTCAATTCGAGTCACGAATATTTGAAAACCCTAATAAAACTTATAAAAGGAGGGCATAAATTTAGCCGGCGTTCGAATCCAAGGGCTTTATAGGAAATCGCCCAAAGCCAATGATGTAACAACGAATTTGAAAGTGTGTTTAAAGTCCGGTTCCTGGATAGTATTTTGTGCGTTCCAGAACCATGAGGTGGGAGTCTGCGACACGTTGTATGTTTGCATATGACAAGCGGCCGCTGTACCATACTCTATTCGCAAAGTGACGTGACGTGAACATAAATTTTGAACCGTGAGTCATTGCAAATAGTTTTAGCAAAGTTGTGTTTTTAGTTTTGGGACTCGAGTCTTATTAGCCTTCGCTTGAGTCGAGTCGAGTCTTCTAATGAGGAACTCGAGTCGAGTTGAGTCATTTACCCTTAGGGACTCGAGTCGAGTCGAGTCACAAAAACTTGTGACTCGAGTCGGAGTCATTGACTCGAGTCATTACTGATGACACACAGAAAGTGCAAACTGCTCCATTTTGAAATGATTAATTTTTATGCCTCATTAGCAAGATGTACATGTCAATTTAGACCGCATGCAAGTTTGTGTTGATAGGATAATGGTTCTAATTTTGATCGGCGTTAATTTACTATTCCATCGTCTTTTTACCAAGGGCTGTTCAACATGCGGAGCAGGGACGTGCCGAATAACCCTATGATCATATCCTATCTGATTATCACTGAAGATGACATCAAGTAAGTACAAATTAAAATCGGAATTAAAATTTGGGGTTTTCAATAGTTCCTGGAGTTGCTAAACTAAATTATTACAACAGCAAGTTAGACCAATAAAGAAAACGCTACAGTGAACAGGCAGGCACATGTAAAATATGTAAATTGACGAATAGTGCACAATTTCTATTTCGATACATTCTCTGTAGACTTTTTAAGACAAAGTTGTTTTCAAAACATAATATTTCAAGAGTAAATCAATATTCATTTGTTTTCCTTGTTAGGTTGTACGTAAATGGACGTGATGCACGTGCAACCACTGCAGTTATGGATCACCTGAATGCTAACGGCTGTGCAGCAGCTGGTAAAAAAATATAACAATTCAGCATTATTCTTTATACTCTTATACCTCTTCAAATTCTCAACACATTGGAAGCATAATACACGGTCAGTGGGTAGCCAGTTAAGGCTTGCGCTTAACTTAAAAATTACGGTAGTCGATCCGAAATTTATTTTATCTATCTCTGATCGTAGACCGACTAACTATATTGCGATGGCTCATTAGAAATCTTATAACAAAAACATTAAAAAAATATGTATTTTCATCGGAAAACAATACGAGTACTTAGGTAAGACCGCAATTGTAATTCATATCTCATTTGATTTCCCGTTAGATTGCACACAGTTTCTGCCCTACAGTCAGTTCCTGCAGGATCTGCGAACCCTGGGCGAGTCTGACATCGGCAAGATATGGATCAGTGATGCCTCAAGCTACGCCATCTATGAACGAGTCCCAGAAGTAAGGGGTAGATTCTGAGCTGTTTATTTTTCCAGAGATTGAAATTGCTTTGTAAAATACACCAAAAAAACCCCAGGAAATTGGATTTGAAAAACGGGTATTTCTGTAAGTGTCCATCTTTTCAAACCGTGGACGAAAAATACCAGAGAACAAAAGAAAATAATATCGTCCACGATTCCCAGCATACGTCCGCGATTGTTGTCGTGTACGAAACCTATGGGAGTCTTCCTAAAAAGTACAAACAAAAGAGGGACAATAGGACGTCCACGATCGCCGGTGAACCCACGTTTGGCTGAATGTTTATAAAACCTGAACAGCTTTCGAACACGGTATTTGTTTCATTTTTTATTCCTTGTGTATTTGAATCTTTCTTGTAGCTCTGTTTTATTCTCAATGCTCTTGCTGTCATTTTGTACTGCATTTTTAAAAATTGTATTTGCCGGAATAAAGAATCTGTACATATGTTAATGGTACATGTTAAGGAGACCTTTTTGTTGTCAAAAATTATACCTTAGGGAGACACCGGACATCGGGGATGTCTCCCGAATGTCACAACTCCTATTTAGAGGCAAAAGTTTCCTGTCGCGAATAGGCTAGATAGATTGCTCGTGGTCCAAAACATAATTTTACCAAAATTTGGTAAGGTCAAATTGGGGTTAGGTGACATTAAAGTTAGAAAACAACTTGTGCACAAGTCTATGGAGATGTTGTTCCTGTTAAAGTACCCTTCAGGAGACATTTTTCGTCATAAGTTCTACCTTAGGGAGACACCGGACATTAAGGAGACATTTCTATGTCACAACTCCTATAAAGAGGCAAAATTTTACCGTCGCAAATATTAATGTTGCCACATTCATATAGAAAACTCCTGCACACTTTACCGAATTGGTACGATGATATTCAAATTAGTATTTCGGAACCAAATAATTAAGTCTAAATAGAACTATTATTTTATACTAGGATTATGCTTGACTGTTTTTACCGAGCTCTGCATTTTCTACGTGGTTATAACTACAATTTCTCCCCATAGAATATATGTGCACAATTGTGCCGGGGCCTGAGATACGTGTTTGTTATAACCGGATTTCGTCCTAACCGTTTTCGTTATAACGGGAGCCGACTGTACTTTTTTTTTTGGATTGTCAGGACAAGCGCATCATGTCTCCTTCCCCGATCCTTCTGATGAAAGCCGTGAAAAGCGAGAAGGAAATCGAGGGCATGAAACGAGCTCACGTAAGTCTGCCTGGGAACTACTACTACTAAGGTGTGTTCGTCACAAGCTTGTTATACGGATAACAGCTTAGAATGTGATGTCCACTTAGTTAAGTCCATTTCTGTGATATATACAAGGAATTGTGGTGTGTACTAAGACAGGGTTGGATGAGAGAAATAATATAACCCTCCCACTACTTCGAAAAAAAAATTAGAATAATCACAGGAAACAGGACGATTTTTTTCTTAAGAGTATAAAATTTAATAGCAACTTGCTTGAAATAAGTGCCTTTAAGTAAACTAACTCAAACTGTTTTGAAACCTATTATCTTTCTAAAACTGGATTTAAGGACTTAAAGGCATTTCTGTAACTTGTTTAGTAGGTCATTGTAATTGAGTTGAGCCAGTATTGTAGACAGCAAAAACCCCGATTTTTATAGTTACTTCTGCGTAACTTCGTCATAAAATTAGGCCAAGTAGTAGCATGGAGCTTCATACGATTCTTCCACAACACACCCAGCACAGTCCCGATCTATTAACAGTATCAGAGCAATCAACAAGCGGCTAAATCTCCATCCTTCCATCAAAGCTGAGCCCTCTTTGTATGATTAATAATATGTTATCTTTTCTGCCGCACAGCTGAAGGATTCTGTGGCACTCGTGGAGTTGGGAGGCTGGCTGCAAGAGACATTCGACGCTTTAGAGGTGAGTTCATTTGCAAAGTAATTAAAAGTAAAGTAAAGTAAAGTAAAGGGGACGAACATGTGTTCACAGGAACGGAGTGCCCATCTCTCTTTCATTAGCGATTGGGCCAGACTAATATGCTGCTGTGGGGGGATGGCCACACTTCCTCCACAGCGAGTCTGTTACCTTCCCAGCGTTGAATAATGCCGGTACCCATTTAACACCGTCACCTGGGTTGAGAGGAGTAATTGAGTTAAAGCGCCTTACCCAAGGGCACAACACGCATGACCACGGCGGGGCTCGAACCCACAACCTCACGATCATGAATCCTGTGCTCTACCGCTAGACCACACGTGCTCACAAAGTGACGTACTGGTAAAAAGGCAAGCGATTGAAGAAAAAAAACAGAATCACAATTTACTGGTTATATGTGCGTGTTTATTTCTTATTAGGAGCCAAGTTCGTGAGTCAATTTTTGACAGGAATATGATCAATTTTTTTGTGCCACTAAAATAACAGGACCCTGCAGTTGGAGCCGATACCTTGATGGAACTGGACGTGGAAAAGATGGCTTACGACTTCAGAAAGTAAGTCACCAAAAAGTTTCCAATGAGTTTTCAACAAGAAAACAGAGGGCATTGTGAAAAGTCTCAAATCTACATTTGTTCAATACATCGGTTTACGGTGTGTTTGAAAGCATTCAAAGACGTCACTGCGTCATATGGAGACATTCCTTAAAGAGTTTTCACTGAGCCGTTCGGTACCCGATGTAGTGTTGCAGTAACGTTCAACAACGTATATGCCTATCCTTAAACTTTGTGCGTACGAGACAGCCCGAGTATTAACGTCGAAAGGTACGACTTCACTCATCTTTTTTTTCATGCAGAGATGACGAGGAGTTTGACACCCTAAGTTTCGGAACCATCACTGGATTTGGCGCAAACGCAGCTGTAATCCACTACAGGTTTGCCATTACTTTATGTTCGTAATATCAATTTATAATATTTGTTTTCAAAGTAGGCCTAATTAATCACCCAACCAAATACGAGGAACACCGAAAAATATAGCTTGCGCATAATACACAAGTAAAGCACAGGATATTTCTTATAATAAAGCATTTCCCGGAAAAATTCCTGAAATGTTCATTCACTTCTGAAAATCGGTCATTCAATTTTTTTCGGAGTTTGAATGCACGTCTTTAATCCCATTTCAATTCAACGAAAGTTCAATCGTTTTCATTGTCCGTGCATTCGGTTTTGAGAAACAGACGGCCAATTATGTTATCCCTGCGTTTTAATTTACGCAAGCATACATTTTCGCGCAGAGTTCTGGAATACAATTTCGTGAATGTGCAATCAAAAGCGCTTTTTCTCATTCAAAATACTATATTACATCACAGAACATTAAACTAAAATTGAAATAGAGTAGTCAAGGTTTGAAATAAAAGCGAAAAAAGAAGTCTTGTGAACAAATCTGAATGGACACAAACGAAAGGTGCTGCTCAATCGCTTAATTAATTGAACTGAAATGGAATCGAAAGTTCTGGTAGCGAAAGTGAAACGCGTGTTCAGAGCGATTCTCAAATTCAGACGAAAATGAATGACCGATTTTCAGAAGTGAATGAACATTTCAGGAAATTGGCCGGGAAAACCTATGTATCGGTGACCGTTTGCACAAGATGCTGACTTAAGTCAAATGGTAAATATTGTTGGCATATGCACTGATCCTCGTCTTCGCTATTTGAGGCAATAAATTTGACAAAGAGCAAACAGTGGTGAAGTACATGTATAAAAGACGACATTCACAGAGGCACTGCACAAGCTTATTTCGAAGCAGCACCCGAAACACAATAAAATCAGAGGCCTCGAATGTCCAATTTACACATTTTAACTTGGAATTCTACCGCAGCTCGTCTGAAGAAACCAACGTACGAATCACCGACAAAAGCACACTACTGCTGGACTCTGGCGGCCAGTATTTGTAAGTTTGTGAGGCGTCAAACCCAATTAATGCCATAATCATGAATGTGTAAAGATCAATTTTCCGTCCACCTAAACTATGTCATATATACTTTTACTCAAACAACGTCCAGCATTTTTAAATTGAAAATTGATCAAAAGGTAGCATGCACGTGTTGTTTGAATTTCCACATCACCAACGTTCCACTTGCAATGAAACGTAGCCATAATTTGTTGTGTGAAATAAATAATTGATTACAAAATGTATCGTTGTAGGCGCCTAACTTTCCCCATTTTATTTCTCCACAAGTTGAAAGTTCAGAGCTCCACGAATCTAAATATACTAAGTTGAAGTATATAGAAACCCGTCTCCTAAACCAGCCATGTTTTTTTTCAACACACGACCGAAATCATTACAAAAACAATATGTGAGATGTTCAATATATAAACGTGTCCAACGTGACTCCACGTGCGTGTCCTTTGCTTTACATTTACAGATCTGGTACAACCGATATAACTCGTACATTCCACTTCGGAGACCCTAAGACCAAAACAAAGGTAAATGCCTATTAAATAGAATAAAACTATCAACATTTTGTAGACGTTTATATCATGAAAAGATCTCGTATTGAAAAATCTTGTGTATTGTCAAAATGACCTCATTATAATACGTAAAGGGCCTACCCAATATACGTGTTTCGGCAACAGACCTAAAATGCTATTTTCCCCACCAAAATAATTGATCATTGCAAATGTGCAAAACCACTAAATAAAGAAAATAAAAATATCTGAAAATAACACATTTTGATAGAACATCTCCCACTCTGTCTTCAAATATTTGTTAATTTTCTCCAAGGTACAATCCTTTTTGTTGTATCTGCTGTATATAAAGATGTTGTGGTTAGCCTACTTTTGAAATACGTGTATATTTTGGTAAATGCAAACCGAAATTCTTAATGTTTGTTATTTTGTACATAACAGGAAGCCTACACACGTGTCCTGATGGGACACATCGATCTAGTGACAAGCCACTTCCGCACAAATGTTTACGGTAAATATACAGTTATTTGTTTCAATTTGTAATACCATTAAGAAGCGTTATGTAATTATTCCCCAGTATGATAAAATAAATTTGCATTATTTGTCCTAATGCCGGGTGTCGAAAAGCATACTTGTACATACTCTGTTGAAACTTGGGCAACAAGTTTTATAATAAATTGAACATGATCACGGCTTGTATTATGAAGCCGCATCCAGCACGAAGAATGTAGCAAACAACTTTTCGACAAAATTTAGATAATACTGGAGAATGACTACGTAATGTACTAATTAAACCACTACCTAAATTTGTCTCTCAATTTTTCACCATCTAATTTAGTGACTGTTTTTGCTTCTTCTAAAGGTCGTTCTCTTGATGCGATCGCTCGAAATCCACTGTGGAGTAATGGGCTGGACTACCGCCATGGAACAGGTCATGGCATCGGCAGTTTTCTGAATGTGCATGAAGGTACAAAAACAATATCATGCTACGACAAACTCCGGAGGGGGGGGGGGGCTTACATACCCTTCGCCGGCCGAGCCGCTAGTTGATTTATTATTCACAATTAAGTCATGTTCATGATTCTTGTAAAATTCTGGCGATTTAGCTGACCTCAGAGACACATATACACAGTCGATGCAAATTACAAAATTTGGCATAAAAGTCGCATTATGAAGTCAGGAAAGTTGTGAGGCCTATTAGGGTCGTCATGCATACAGCTTGGTTACTCCTAAATGTCATCTCTTGGGGGCGCTTTATCCCCTTAATCAACTTCTTACAACTTCTTCAAAACTTCTTTGCTTTCCATCTTTGTCATTTACTTTTATGTTTTGTTTATCTTTTAAGTGACGTACTTTATTTGTGTTCATTATGAAGTTATGAAATAAAAACTAGATTAAAATTGTGAACACAGACCTGGTCATGAAGGTGCTGTATCCACATGGCGCCCTATAGAATCTCATCAAATAAATCGGCATGGATAACCATGACAGATGCCCTAACTTCTAAAAACATTTTGGGTTTTTTTTACCCATAGGACCAGCGAGGATAAGCCTTGGCTACGTCTCGTCGGAGAAACCCATCGAAATTGGAATGTTCTTCTCCGATGGTAAATCCCTTACATTTTTTTTTTAATCGAACGTTAGGATTTGATTTTCATGTTATGATCAACCAAGAGAAAAAAATAAACTTCTGACATGTATGTGAAGGTTCTTTCTATGGCAAATAAATCAATGTGATTATTAGATACTAAATCAAACTTTATCATTATTTGATTACATGTGATTTCTCGTTTGATTCCACCAGAGCCTGGCTACTATGAAGATTACGACTTCGGGATCCGTATAGAGAACGTCATGATGTCTGTGGCAGCCCAAACTGATGTAATTAAGAAAAACTCTCCTAAAACTATAGTTCCTATGCAAACATACATTCTGTGCAAAGTTGTCTTTTCAGTCAAAATCAATCAAGGGACTGTTTTCAACAGTTACATGAAAGAGCTCCAAGCCTACATGAAGAAGGATTGACCGGTTGTAACTGTTTATGCAACTTGGTACACCTGTGTTTTGAACGTAGGTCATTAAGACAGCTGTGCGAACCAGTTTATTTCCTGCTTTTGTCTGTTGACTGAATTTTAGTAGTCAGCCTGCTTGCTTGAAATATGATCTGACTGTTTGTGACTAGCCTGTGTAAAAGCCTTGGCATGGAAAGTGGATGGACTTTATGACTGTCTGTGACTGTTTAAACAGTAGGTGTAACATCTTCACAAATTTCCAGTACCAGTTTGCTGCTCTTCAGGGCCAACTGGTGTACTCTTTGTACCTATCTCACTAACTGACTCACCGACTGACTGTCACTCGTCAGCCGGGTAGTGCTGTCATATAGGATTACCCATATTAATGGCCAATTAATGGGGCTAAATCCGGTCCATTGTGTAGAACAGATGGTTCATGGATAGACTTCCATGAATGGGAGTCTGTGGAATTTGTGATTCTGCTTGTCTTGTTTTGTTAACTTTGATTGTCAGGAAGTATAATTAGAGGTGGGTTTGGGAAATTACTTTGAAACTTATTGTACAAGTACCTCTGCTAAAGGCTCGTATATTTATACCAAAGGTTTCCCTTTTTCTGAAAAACTAATGATACAATTCCTTAGGTAATAATAACATTAAACAAAACTATATTTTGTCGTTGCAGTACCAGTTTTACACCTACAAGTACATGACGTTTGAAATGATTTCACTGGTGCCCTTCGAGCCGAATCTCATCGACTTCAACCTCATGACGCCTAAACAGGTAACAGTTAGTTTTGTTTACATTTACTTGCGATCTCCACATTTCCACAGGAGTATACCTATACGCCGTAGAAGTGTGACGCCATGCGGGGTCGTCTTAATTTGGGTCTACCCGATGTTCCCCATACCTATGTTCCCCAATACAGATGTTCGCCGAAATCCTTAGGATTAGGATTTGGGTAAGGCCAGGGTTCGGGTAAGGATTTCGGGGAACATCGGTATTGGGGGAAATAGGTATTGGGGAACATAGGTATGCACCCGTCTTCATTAGTAATGTGTCCTGAAACAATGTCTCGTCTGCCATTTTTTACCATATAGGATTTGCACGGGCGATTTAGGTGAATATTTACTAGTTGAAATTTTTCAGACATTTAGAGTAAATAAGACCGAAAAATAGGACGGTGCTTTGAAGCTGACTGCAGTTATCACTCAAAACGTGACGGATTCGTATATTTATCTTTTCTAGCGGATGAACATGTAAAGTGGGCGCCGTGCGTATCGCGTGTCCAGGTTTGCGTGGAAACATCAGCCCAGGCAACGCGTGACTTCGGGGACGTATGATGTGACATAACCACTTCTAATGCGTATAAAATTTCCATAACAAATGACGACATACATGGTACACTTCCAACTGGTGAAAATAATGGAAAACGGTTTTGATACCTCTTTTAATTTTTTTTTTGGTATACAGCTGACTTACTACAACGCCTACAACAAGCGGATCCGCGACGAGGTGGGGCCGCTGCTCAAGACAGACCGCGCCCGGGACTGGATGAACAAGAAGACCGCGCCCGTGGAGTTCGTGTATCAAGTCTGCATGCCGGACTGCAGTAGTGGGTCCGTGGCCAGACCAACGGCAGGGATAGGCTTCATCGCACTGCTCTCAATATTGTGGACCTTTAGCCTACATTAGTAGTTTAGTATCAAAATTCCGTTCAACTGGTTTTTATTGCTATTGAAGTATGTAATCGGTGGATTTGCTAGGATTTAGTAAGAGTGGTTCTTCAACAATACTTGCAAGGATAAATTTGTACTCAAAGTGTACTCCCAACTTTATGCTAAAATGATATCAGCGTGCTTGAGGATTATATACTCGGCAAATCCTTTATAATTTGCGTCTCATGAATTTCTGAGCTGCTCCAATAAATAAGTAATTGCTTCAAAAATGAAAAAAGTCAACTCCCGATAACACTAACTAAACCCAAGCTAGCTAAAATGTTATATCAGAATTTTGTAGTAAAGGTAGAGTATATGATTTGTCATTTGTGCATTTGTTTCCACTGAAGCAACAAAAGTGCTCAAAATCTTAAGAAGGGTGCTTAACAACTAACCTGATGAAATTTTAGCTCTGTGAATGCTGTATATTCTGAGAAAACAATACTCTAGGATCTCGACTTCAATTCAAATTTGCCGAGTCACATTTTGAATTGCGCCTGTAATCAGCGTCCGGAACACGCGCTCATTCAGCCGATAGCACGCACCGAACCGACAAATAACAGCAACTGCGTGCATGTGCTTAGTGTCAATGCTTGCGTGCACCCATTCACGGATTTGCCCAATTACAAACCAACTAACAGAAATTTCCGAAAATGTGTCACTTGACTCATCTTTGGAAATGACCTTTTATTGTTATCTTCAACATGACAGCATGCCAGAAGGAATAACTTCACAGGGAGTTTAGTGCCATTACTATCCATAAACCAAGTAAGCTTTTTAACAATAATTTGGTCAGTTACTTTTTGGATAGCTGCAAACGATCTACTCTACCTGAAGGCAGAGTGGTGGTACCATTCATTGAGCACATAAATGCACAGTTCGACCCAAAGCTTTAGGCCAAAAAAAAAATATTCGATCTCTGGTCAGACCAAAGTTCCGGAATTGACGCGGCCACGCAGCTTTTTTTTTTTTTTTTTTTTTTTTTTTTCTTCAAGCTTGGATTGTACAGACAAGGTGGGGTACTATTTTGCTTTTTTGGTGTCCTCATGTACATTGGTGTCCTCCATAATTTGCCTTGGTGCTTTCGATCATTTGCCTTGGTGCAATTTCCCATTCCTTGGTGTTCTTTGGTAAAAAAATTGAGGAGGTGCGGAAATAGAGGACACTGTTGGAGCTACCACGGAATATTTTGGGAAAAAAAAAGATCGACGCGCATGATTAAAATCGACGCGCGCACTGACCAGAGACCGACTTATTTTTTTTTTTTGGCCTTATGTCGGCTATGACCAGATCTACAAATTTGTATCGAGTTAGAGTTTGTATTAGCGAGATTCAACTGTACCTGTATTAACGTCATTCATCATGGAACACGATTCGAATTTCTCAATTTAGGTTTTTTTTATTATTCAATCCTGCCAATAAATACGTAAACATCATTCAATAAATTAGATTATGCAAAATGTTCGTACTGAATTATGTTAAATAAATATCTGTATTAAAATAAATCATGGAAGTTCATTTTTCAATTTCAATTTGTTTTATGCTCTCCTGCAAATAAATAAGTACATTAGGTACACACAAATTAGATTACGGGATATTCTGGAGTTATGCAAGGGAGTTGTAATGTCCGTGACAGAGCCAATGAACCATGATATCTAATTAACGATTCAGAGAAATGATCCCAAACTCCTAGTCTGTAATCTCCTTGACCATTACTAGATAATGGGTGTAGACGATTTGAAAAATTCATTTTCGGGTTTATTCACTGAGCTCTTAAAAGCTCGGTCACACACATAACGCTGGAAATTGCCCTTTTGCAAATGCGTGTATTGGACTATGTTTATTATAAGATGGAATTTTGCGTCGGGGTGATATAAATTAAAATAGGTTTGCCCTTCACCGATGTTTAAACACTGTATACTCAGTGTGCTACCTCCCGAGTGAAAGATGGAAAAAATCACTCGGGTGGGACTCAAACCCACAACCTCCTGCTTTCTAGTGCAGATGTCTTACCACTCAACCACCGAGCTAACGGGATCGGCTGACTGGTTCGAATCTGATGTACATAGCAGCGGGTATCGCATAAACTATTATAAGATGGAATTTTAACTTATAAACTATTATAAGACGCAAAATTCCATCTTATAATAGTTTATGTGGTACCCGCTGCTATGTACATCAGATTCGAACCAGTCAGCCGATCCCGTTAGCTCGGTGGTTGAGTGGTAAGACATCTGCACTAGAAAGCAGGAGGTCGTGGGTTCGAGTCCCACCCGAGTGATTTTTTTTCCATCTTTCACTCGGGAGGTAACACACGGATTATGTTGAATAAACTACGGGACGGCGGTAAACTCGGCAGAGTAACCTGGTCGGGGTACAAAGTTGTCGCTGTGCAGGGTTACTCTGACTGCGTCGGTCGTCGATTGGTAGTCCAGGCCACTGCTGTACACGCCGCAGTACTTGATCGCTTCGTTGGTGCCCAAGTCCGTAATCTGTCACGGGGAATCACAGGAGAAAATTGGAGAAAAGAAAAATTGAAAATGGGGAGGAAGAGTCAATCACAGGTCCTCACAAGTCCATCACAAGTCCATCACAAGTCACTCACAAGTCCATCACAAGTCCATCACAAGGCCATCACAAGTCCATCACAAGTCCATCACAAGTCCATCACAAGTCCATCACAAGTCCATCACAAGTCCATCACAAGTCCATCACAAGTCCACACAAGTCCATCACAAGTCCACACAAGTCCATCACAAGTCCATCACAAGTCCATCACAAGTCCATCACAAGTCCATCACAAGTCCTCATAAGTCCACATAATAATAAAAAATACAGTGCTTATATAGCGCTTTATACCAAAGGTCTCAAAGCGCTTCACAATTATTACCCCTGTTCATCAGGCCATGAGACCAGTTTATGCAGCAGCTCGAGATCAGCGCATTCTGGTCTCTACCTTCACAGGTACCCATTTATACTCCTGGGTGGAGAGAGGCAATTGTAGTAAAGTGTCTTGCCCAAGAACACAAGCACCATGTTCCCCGTCCGGGTTCGAACCCACGTACCCCGGCAAGTGAGTCGAACACTGTAACCATTGGACCACAACGCTCCACAAGCCACATAAGCCCCCATTCAAGTCCATCACAAGTCTACATAAGTCCTCACAAATCCATCACAAGTCCATCACAAGTCCTCTCAAGTCCATCACAAGTCCTCTCAAGTCCATCACAAATCCTCTCAAGTCCATCACAAGCCATCACAAGTCCTCTCAAGTCCATCACAAGCCATCACAAGTCATCACAAGCCATCACAAGTCATTACAAGTCCTCTCAAGTCCATCACAAGTCATCACAAGCCATCACAAGTCCATCACAAGTCATCACAAGCCATCACAAGTCCATCACAAGCCATCACAACTCATCACAAGCCATCACAAGTCCATCACAAGTCCATCACAATCGTTGGTGTTAGACTATTTCATTTGAAAATAATACAACAGGGTTCCCAGCACTTTATGAGAACAAAATCACTTGAGTTTTCCCCGATATTTCCCTGAAAAATTTACAAAATTCCATGAGAATTGTTTTTTACTTTAACGAGGTTGTTGGGAAGTTAAGAAATGGTTGCAGCAAGGCAACTAAGAAACTTATTATATTCACACTGCATAAACACTTAAAAACCACAGCCAGTCAGTCAATGGACACAGCTTGGAACACATGGCACAAGACGCACATAAACCAAACTGGCGAAAACCTTTCCCTTCTGGGTCACTGTTACATTCCCTGAGTTTTCCCCGACTAGAAAAAAAATGGAAACTCGTTTTCCAGGTTTTCCCTGATTTCCAGAGTGTTTGGGAACCTTGTATTCTAAGTAATGAACAGATTCGCTGATTAATTAGGCAAGACGACTGCATCTTGACCTCTAGATTTTGACCAATCAGCGGGCGCTTTCTATGTCGCGTCTTCGGTCATTCCCCTTTTGTCGCGTCTATACATGGATAAAAAACAACCCCGCTAGACACAGCAACAAAGGCTTTGGTCACGTGCTATTATGTTACGCGACACGTACGCCCGCGGCTGTTGTTGCATTACAAAACACTGCGTTCGAATTGATCAATCAAACCATTTGTCCTGATTTGGGAATGTAATGACGTCACGATTTAGTAAAGTCGACTCCGATTGGCTGAGGCGCGGGATCGCATAAATCTGCATGCTTTGACATATCAGACGTTAGACAGGAGACTTGACTCAAAGGATAATGCGTGATACTCCGACTGGAAACCTTGTACAAGAGTAGAAAAAAGTTCTGACGATAATTACCTGAACCCAGTCCCACCCGCATTGATCTTCGTACTCGACGTCAAACTTATCGAACACGATCTTCACTCTCTTGCCAGTGGCCACCGTGATTGTGGTGACACAGTCCACGTTCTTGGGGTAGTTATTTGGGAAGTTGGGGGACGTGAAGGTCCCCGCCGGACCCCCGAGATCCTGCATGCATGCCGAGGAGGGGGGTGCGGTCTGGGCGGGGCCAGAGGTAGGCGTCGGGGAGGCGCCCACCGCTTCGTAGGTGGCCTTGTAGCCCTCGGCGGGTTGAACAGAGTCGCTGTAGAACAGGATCTCGCAGGACTTGGATTTGGAGCGCCAAGTGGAGGGGGTGGACATGGTGCCACAGTACGACACGGTGTCGCCATCGGGAATGCTCGTCAGCTGATGAATAATAAAATAAATCATAATTGCATATTCATAAAGCAAAAATACATTCATATCGCAGCTGTGATTGGTCAACTTGAAAGCGTCTTGGGGCAGGGATTAATTAATAGCCGCAGTATGACATGGTGTGACCGTCAGGGATGCTTGTCAGCTCATGAATAATAAAATAGTCATAATGCATATTCATAAAGCAAAAATACATTCATCGCAGCTGTGATTGGTCAACTTGAAAGCGTCTTGGGGCAGGGCTTAAAAGATCATGCTATTTGTGCTCCTCAATATTACCCCTGCTCATTGGGCCAATGAAACATTCCAAAGACAATCTCAGCTCCCTGGGGACTATACAGCTCGATGCTGCCATTTCGGAGCAAAGCAGCTAAATCAACCACAATAACCATCTCTGCCCACACAGGTACCCATTTACTCCTCGGTGGAGAGAAGCAACGAGTGACGAAGTGCCTTGCCCAAGGGCACACGCACCATGACCCCAGGCTGGACTCGAACCCACTACCTGCAGAATCACTCAAAGATCTTGAGTTTGATTTATCTGCTGGGGAATATAACCACAGAAGGACATTTCTATCCACAACAGGTTTTTTTTACAAACCTTTTTCTATCGATTCATCGATATTTTGGCACTTTATAATTTGGATTGAGTGAATGACCGATTTTTTTTGGTGTACGTTTATTTTCTCACAAGTCCTAACCAGCCGTCTTCACGCCATTTTTGTTAACCCTTTAGTCACTGTAGAGATGAAACCACCAGGGCTCTCCATGGTTTTACTGATTCTTCAATGAAAAAACACAATGTACTACATTGTATTACATTGTATTTATACACTGAAGAATCAATAAGTGCTCATGGGTTAAAGGCAGTGCACTGGCTTACCTACTCCTCCCCTTCCCCTCCCCTCCCCTCCCCCCCTCAAAAAAAGAGAAGACATGCAAAGATTTCTGTTCTAAAAGGAGTTGACCGTATAGAGTACCGAAGTGAATACATCAAGCGCACAATTATGTGTGTAAAAGACATTAGCGCGTGATTCAGCCCGTGAACCAACACGCGCGCGTACTCCATTCGTTTGCACTACACTTCCCGGATCAAAACGACGTCACACTTCGGTACTCTATGAAGATTTACCTGCACATAGTCATAACACCAGTTGCCTTGGTAATAATCCTCCAATTGGAAGTCCGTGAAGGTGATTTCGCACAGCATGCCGTCTGGTAGCTCGATGCGCATCTTGCATTCGATGTTGAGGGGGTAATCGCGGGGGTAGCCTGGTGACGTCATTTTGCCTGTGCTGTCCCTCAGGATGATGTTGTAGTCATTCCCACAACCTGAACGTCGGAGAAACGGGTCATTTAAGCCAGACTGCCATGTGCTGCATATTGCTCATGTAAGTTAAAGTAAAGTCTGTCACGAGCCAATATAGCGCATCAGGCAGGCGTTTATCTCCGGTTCCTTAGCATGAAACGATTGAGCGTATCTCTATTCCCCCTGGATGGGATGCCGATCCATCGCAGGTTATCTGCCCAGCTAATGCCAGTACTGATATGTACTCCTGGGTGGAGAGAGGCAAGTGGAGATGAAGTGGCTTGCCCAAGGACACAACATATGACCAGCAGCTAGACTCGAACCCCTGATCCTCTGATCATGAGTTGCAAACCCTAACCACTAGGCCACACTTCCCCCATATTGCTTATGACAAGGGCCTAATTTCATGGCGCTTCTAAGCAGGGAATAATGTTAGCAAGTGCTAAACATGAATCAGCTGGGAACCAGTTGCAAGTAATGTACATCCCATGACAATTTGGCTGGTAATCAGTTTCTGCTCAGCAAATATTTTCTGCGCTTAGAAAATTCCGCTAGGAACCAGTCACAAGTAAGGCCAAAAAAAAAAAATATTCGGTCTCTGGTCAGACCAAAGTTCCGGAATTGACGCGGCCACGCGGCTTTTTTTTTTTTTTCTTCAAGCTTGGATTGTACAGACAAGGTGGGTACTATTTTGCTTTTTTGGTGTCCTCATGTACATTGGTGTCCTCCATAATTTGCCTTGGTGCTTTCGATCATTTGCCTTGGTGCAATTTCCCATTCCTTGGTGCTCTTTGGTAAAAAAAATTGAGGAGGTGCAGAAATAGAGGGCGCTGTTGGAGCTACCGCGGAACATTTTTGAAAAAAAAAAGATCGACGCGCACGATTAAAATCTAAGCGCGCGCTGACCAGAGACCGACTTATTTATTTTTTTGGCCTAATGTACATCACATTAAGGTTGGCTGGTAACCGATTTTGCTAGTAAACATGTTCTGCGCTTAGCAAATTTCTGCTGGGGACCAATCACAAGTAATGCTATAAGCCTGAATCAGCGGGACCAGAAGCAAGCAAATTAACCTGATTTTGCTAAACAAATATTTTCTGCGCTGAGCAAAAATCTACAGGGAACCAGTCACAAGTAATGTACATCACATTACAGGTTGGCTGGTAACCTGATTTTGCTAAGCAAATATTTTCTGCGCTTAGCACAAATCTCCTGGGAACCAGTCACATCAAATTTGCATTTCATACAGTTTTGACTGGTAACCTGTTTTTGCTAAGCAGATAAATTGACCCTACTTGTCAGTAGAAACGCAACTGGCTAAGCAGGAAACCTACCCATGTTGACAGCAGCCTGCACTGGTAAGGCCTCGGACTCGTACTTTGCGTTGAAGCCGGTAGAGGGCGTCCTATCGTTGCTGTGGAACAGCACCATGACGTCGTTGGTCTCAGACGACCAGCTGAAGGGGTTCACCTTCCTGCCGCAGAATTTCTCCTCGTTATTTCGCCCGACGTCCGAAACCTGATCAAAAATGTACATCCAATTTTGAAAATTGAGAAAATATATAAAGGGATCTGCAAGTAAAATCATGGACAGCGCAACAATCACTGACAAATTAGTTTGATTAAAGCCAGAGTCCATCATTTGCAGCTATCCAAAAAGTGACTGACGTAATTAGTGATGAAAAACATACTGTCATTTTGAAGAAATCAACCAAAAAAGGCCTTTCCAACGGTGCTTCTTAAGACGCACCGTAGGAAATTTAAATTAGTTGTTCGTTTTGTTATTCGGCGAAGCGTGCGCAAGCATTGGCACAACGCACACGCGCGCTTAGTTGCTGTAATTCGTCGGATCAGTGCGCGACATCGCGTAGCTGCAATCGGCTCAGTGAGAACGTGTATCGGACGCTGAATTCAGGCCCAATTCAAAACATGATTCAGCAACTTTTGATTTGAAATTGAGATCTTAGAATGCTGTTTTTCTCGGAATATACAGCTGAAGCTGAGCTGAAACTTCATCAGGTTAGTTGTTCAGCACCCTTCTTTAGATTTTGAGCACTTTCGTTGCTTCAAACGAACAAAATGCACAAATTACAAATGATGGACTATACCTTTAAATTTCACCTCAGTGGATACTTCAAATTTTGAGAAAACAGCGGAATCGTACGCACAATTTTGAAGGTCTCCTAACTGGACTAGGTTAGTAATGCACATTAAAAATCCTTTCCCCGCAGGTACGTTATCTTAAAATTTTCTTCAATGATTGTTTTTCAGGCTGAATAATTTCACAGGGTATTTGGTACCAGTCCTATCTTCAGTTTGAAGGAAGATTTTCTCATTTAAAGGGAAGATACAACATTTGCAAACATCAAAAAATTGAAATGCTCAAATTATTACAAAATACCTAACTGGATTATTAGGGAATGACAGTCTAGAGCGTCCAGTAAAATCCTGGCTGCTGGTATGCTGACACTTTCAAGAAACATTGTATTTTTCCAATCCTGATCGGCCGACCAGCATTGGAAAATACTGGCTTTTTTGCAAAAACCGCTCCTGTTTTTTTTCATATTGAGTTGTTCCGCATTTTCTTTGCAATTGATACACACCTGTGAAGAGGCACAAGCCTGCTAGACTGATTCTTTGACCCTACAATTCCCCAAAGTCTATAAATTGCTCTGTTTCATCTTAAGAGGGGTTAGGGAACCAGACTACAAGGACAGGATTGGTTTTCTTGGTTTTTCCAGCATCTACAAGCCCAAAATGTGAAACAAGTAAGTTTAACAATTTTTGCCACAACACACTCCTTCAAATCCATTTTTTTCCCAGAAAATTGCAACAAAAGCAAATGTTGTACATTCCCTTTAAATCGGTAGATACGTTTCCAGATAACTGGGTACTCCCCCCCAAAAATAATAACTTAAGAAAACCTTAGGAAATGAATTTAGATATTGATATATCGCAGCCTTTGAGGGAATATGAGGACCATCCACCAACCTGGCTAGTGACCCCACCCAGCCCTTGTGCCCAATCACATCACCCCCCCCCCCCCCCCCCCCCCCCCCCCCGTTGCTCAGAATTTGGGAAAGGCAAAAAGTGCCCCTTCCCCAGCAAAAGGCCCCTCAACTGCCCCATTTTTTCCACTGGACTCAGAACACACCTCAACGTAGTCAAACAGGCAGTTTGAAGAGCTCTCGAGACCAAAGGCGGAAAACGTGATCTTGACGCGCTGGTCCTGCGCCACAACAATGCGGTAGCGACACTCCTTGCTGTTCGGGTAGTTGGCGGGATAGTTGGGACTTGTGAAGATACCAGATGGAGTCTTGAAATCCTTATCGCAATCTACATGATAAAAAAAAGAAAATGGATTTTCAAAGGAGTGCATCGTTTAGAACTGAGCCCTTGTAGAGTAAATTTTTTTTTTTAAAATGGGAACAATTAACCTAATGTGTGAAATTTTTTGAAAACTGAGAGCAAGTTGGCTTGGGACTCGGACTCAACCCAATGACTCAAGACTCAGACTCAAGACTCAGACTCAAGACTCAGACTCAAGACTCAGACTCGACTCAAACTAAGTGTCTGGAGACTAGAACTTCAACAAAGTGACTCAAGTTCGAAACAAGTGACTTGAGACTTGAAGTGACTTGAAGTGACTTAAGACTCTGACTCAGACTCAAAAACCAAGTCACTCAGACTCACACTAAGTGACTCGGGACTCAAATTTTGACTCAAACTGACTTCACTCAGGTCAACTTGTTTATAGTCTACCCTTAATCCCTTAAAGAGACTCACGACTCAGACTCAAACCAACTGACTCAGACTTAGACTCAAAACCCGGGACTTAACCTAACTTTGCTTTAACAAACTTTAACAGAATATGTGCTGAGGTCTACTAAAGCCGGCCTCAGGTCGACCTTGCGACGGCAAAGATCAGTCGGCGACTGACTTTTTAGGATCAAGCCGCGCCTGAGCTACGACCGTCGGGAACAACTCAGTCGCTGATTTTGTGCGACCTGAGTGTAACTGTGACGATATTAAGATGATCAGCAACTTGGCGCTCAAATCACCAGTTGCAAGAGTAGAAAAATTTCAACTTCTGCGACGTGTTCCGCGACCATCACACGATTTCTCAGTTTTGTGACCTGAGCATAACTTGTGTGCTTGATGCCGACGGTTGCGTCTTGGCACAAGCAAATCGTGGGTCGACCTGAGGCCCGCTTTATTTAAAGGTGGCCCAGAATCCCTTGTAGTGACTCATAAAGTGAACTCAACAATTTAGACTTGGGGCCCAGACTCAAGGCAAGTGACTCGTGACTCAGACTTGACTTAATTTTACCGACACCATCTTTGTTTTACCTGAGGGAGCGCTGAGGTCTACTTGCTCGTAGACGGCCCTGAATCCCTTGTAGAAGACAATGAGGTCACTCTTGAAGATCAACTGGACCTGGTTGGTCCCGATGACGCGCTCAAAGGGATCCTTGATGCCGCACAGCTTGTCCGAAGAGCCGGAAACGGCATCTTCAATCTACAGACAGAGAGAATACAGGAACATGGCAGGAATATGCATAAGATCTAGCGAGAAAGTTAACGGCCAACCATACTCGGCCACTAATTTTTCATCTCATTGGAAAAACAGAATGGCATCAACAGAATACTTCTTTTGAAATGGTATTGAAGGGAATGTACAACATTTGCTTTCGCTGTAATTTTCAGAAATAAATAAATTTGGAGGAATAGTATGTTCAAGCAAGTATTGTTACACTGACTTGTTTCACGTTTTGGGCTTGTAGATGCTGGAAAAACCAAGAAAACCAATCATGTTCTTGTAGTCTGGTTCCCTGACCCCACTTAAGATGAAACGAAGCAATTTATAGACGTTGGGGAATTATAGGCCTACGGTCAGAGAATCTGTCCAGCTGGCTTGTACCCCCTCACAGGTGTGTAATCAATTGCAAAGAAAATGCGGAATAACTAAATATGAAAAATTAGGAGCAGTTTTTGAAAAAAAAAGCCAGTTTTCTCCAACGGGCTGACCTGCGTTGGGAATTGATACAAAAATACCACTTTACTTAAAAATGTCAGCATACCAGGAGCCAGGATTGTACAGGATGCTTTAGACTGTCATTCACTAACAGTCCAGTAAAGAATTAATGTCGTGGTCATTTGATCATTTTGTTTTTTTGATGTTTGCAAATGTTGCATCTTCCCTTTAATTTTTTTGGGAGAAACCTTGCAGTCAGTGCACAAACAGAGATACAAAACATTGGAAATTACACAATTTCTGTATTTATTTCACGCATAATATTCAGCTCTGTTGATTTACATTAACCCTTTTGTTTGTCAATCCTCTTCCCCTGCCATGCCTTGTACACAGGCCAGTCATCAACAGTCAGATCACATTTCTCGTAGGCACCGTGACTAGTCAAATTCCATCGACAGACAAAAGCAGGTGACTGGTAGGCACAGCTGACTTATCAATCTCCGACAGTCAAAGCATAGCTATATCAGTTTTCATATCAATCACAGCCAGTCAATCCTGCTTTATGAAAGCAGGGAGCACTCAACTGTGAAAAACAGTCACTTGATTTATTTTGACTGCTGGGCTGGCCTCGTTGAAATTGCCAGCCAGAGAGGGAAGGTTAATTAACCAGTGCAAGCCGGGAATATTTTTACATGAACAGACCGAGGCATGGGATTACTTTTCACTCGACCTCAACGCCAGGCGGTTTGAAGCCATCACCCTCGGGCAGCACACTCATATTTCCGGCCTCGCTCGCTGCGAGCGGGTTGCTGACAGATATTTCTGGCCTCGCTCCCAGCGTGTTTATCCGCCATCCGTTCCGAATACCGCAAAACCTTTGCGTGTATACACGTCATCCGGCGCAAACTGATTAAGTTGCAAAATTATTTGATGGATAAACCTCGGTCAGTGGTTTTTTTCTTCCAGCGCACACACACTTACCTGAAGGTAGTCGTACTCGCATTCTCCGTTTGGTGCCGGACCCTCCAGGTTGAACTCTACAAATGTCAGGTGGATACCGAAACCGGACTCCACGGTAACAACGTAGTTGCACTCTCTGAGGTTCGGGTATTCGCCCGATGACATGGGGCTCTGGATCTCACCGGATTGATCGTCAAAGTTGTACTGGCAGACTACGAAGAAAACCAAACGGTCAAGAAGATGAGTGTCATTCAGTGCTATAGACTCTGTGTTCAAGGTTCAGGGTTCCCAGAAAACAAAATTCACTGAGTTTTTCTCTGATATTTCCCCGAGAAATTTCCAAAATGCAACGAGAAATATTTTCACTATAACGAGATTGCTGGGAAGTTAAGGGGCGGTTGCAGCAAAGAGTTTAAAATCCTGATAATACACAAGCAACTTGTTGACAAGCTATGGCATCCCTTCTCCCCTTATAGGCCTTTATCATGCTGCCACCATTTCAGTCCTGTTCCCTGTATCCAACAACAGTCCTGAAAGATGATGTTTTTGTGCAAATAGCAACCAGACTATTTTTCCTTCCAACCTCACTTTTTCTACTTTGATTTAAATGGCAAAAATCAAGATGGCTGCAACATGATAATGGTCTATAGCAATCCTTTCAGTTAGTCAATAGACAACTTGGACACATGGCACAAGACAATGGCACTGACGAAAACCTTTCCGTTCTGGGTCACTGTCAACTTGCCCGAGTTTTCTCCTGATTTTTGGTGTTTATCTCGAATTCCCTGAGTTTGCCTTACTGGAAAAATGAAAACTAATTTTGAAGGTTTTCCCAGATTTCCAGAGATACTGGGAACCCTGCAAGTACGCTTTTCACTTTTGACAAAGAGAGAATAGGCGGGAAGACATGGGCGGGCCGTCACTGCGTTAAGGGGAAGTTTTTTTATTGTTAGGCAAATTAGGACCGAGTTATGGGGACTTTCTGCTGTCCCCACAGCGTCTTCGGTCCCCATAGTACCATGGGTACAACTCATATGTAGTCCCCACAGTTGCGGAACAAGTATATGCGTACATGTAGTTAATACACTGCCACGCGTACAACTGATGTTTGGGCTGGTTAACTTTGTGTCCATACTTTCCAAATGGTAGAGCAATACAATGCTTAAGTTAGAAAAAGTGAGTGATATTTTTTTCCAAAATATTAATTATTGCGATGAGTCTGCTTTCCGATGGTTATGACATTGTGGAGCTGGCCTAAAGTTGCTCTATGAAAATTCTCAATAATAATTTTGTGTAAATAGCCCTTCATGGAAAATTGGTAGAATTTTGTTGGTTAATGAGCAAGTAAAGTTTGTCGCGTCAATGCAACAAGGTTGTATCCCCTAAAATGGCATGAACACAAAACGTGAGTTTTAGAATGTCATTAGGTCGTATCTCGCTTACAATAACCTGGATGTACACACAAAGTCAACGGACGTCGAGATACGACCTTGTTGCACGGAGCGTATTTGCGCGAGATATGATTTGTTGCAGAATGGAGTTACGACCTTGTTGTACTAACAGGACGAGTTCATCTCATTTTTTTTTTTGCCTGCTTTTCTGCACTCAAGGACTCACATTACCTGTATTTTCAGGTCGGTCTTCAAATTCGTACTTGGCGGTGAATCCCCCATACTGTCTCTGACCGTCGCTTTGGAAGATGACAAACACCAGATTGGAGTCTGACGTCCAGCTGAATGGAGTCTGTTGGTTGCCGCAGTAACGGTCCGCCTTGGAACTCAGTTTGTCTGTGACCTAAGTTGGGGAAGGAGGAACATTTCAAATTAACAAGGCTCAATTTCATAAAGGAGAGAATTATTGATTGCGACCTGACTTGTGACCTGACTTGCCACTGACTGGTGACTGATTTGTGACGGTCTTGTTACTGATTTGCGACTGCCGTGCAACTTCCTTGCAACTGCATAGCGACTGACTTGCAAGTTGCAACCTGACTTGTCACCGACTTGCGACTAATAACTACTATGTGACCAACTTGTGACTGAGTTGTGACTGCCACGCAACTTCCTTGCAACTGCCTTGCGACTGACTTGCAAGTTGCACCCAGACTTACAACCTCACTTACAACTGACTTGTTACTGATCTGCGACCGACTTTTGACTGCCTTGCAACCTCCTTGCAACTGCCATGTGACTGACTTTGAAGTTGCAACCTGACTTGTCACTGACTTGTGACTAATTTGTGACCAACTTGTGACTGAATTGTGACTGCCTTGCAACTTTTTTGCAACTGCCTTGTGACTGACTTGCGAGATGCAACCTCACTTACAACTGACTTGTGACTGATCAGCGACCGACTTGTGACTGCCTTGCAACCTCCCTGCAACTGCCTTGTGACTGATTTGCGAGTTTCAATTTAACTTGCAAACTCACTTACAACTGACTTGTGACTGACCTGCGACCAACTTGCAACTGCCTTGCAACCTCCTTGCAACTGCCTCACGACTGGCTTGCAAGTTGCACCCTGACTTGCCACTGACCCTTGCCTAATTTGTGACCAACTTGTGACTGATTTGCAACTGCCGCGCAACTTCCTTGCAACTGCCTTGCGACTGACTTGTGAGTTGCAACCTGACTTGCAACCTCACTTACAACCCGCTTGTGACTGACTTGCGACTGACTTGTGAATGACTTGCAACTGACTTGTGACTGACTGGTGACTGACTTGTGACTGACTTGTGAATGCTTTGTGACCGACTTGCAACCTCCTTGCAACTGTCTCACGACTGACTTTCAAGTTGCAACCTGACTTGTCACTGACTTGTGACTAATTTGTGACCAACTTGTGACTGAATTGTGACTGCCTTGCAACTTTTTTGCAACTGCCTTGTGACTGACTTGCGAGATGCAACCTCACTTACAACTGACATGTGACTGATCAGCGACCGACTTGTGACTGCCTTGCAACCTCCTTGCAACTGCCTTGTGACTGACTTGTGAGTTTCAACCTGACTTGCATCTCACTTACAACTGACTTGTGACTGACCTGCGACCAAGTTGCGACTGCCTTGCAACCTCCTTGCAACTGCCTCACGACTGGCTTGCAAGTTGCAACCTGACTTGCCACTGACCCGTGCCTAATTTGTGACCAACATGTGACTGAGTTGCGACTGACTTGTGAGTTGCAACCTGACTTTCAACCTGACTTGCAACCTCACTTACAACTGACTTGTGACTGACCTGCGACCGACTTGCGACTGCCTTGCAACCTCCTTGCAACTGCCTCACGACTGGCTTGCAAGTTGCAACCTAACTTACCACTGACCCGTGCCTAATTTGTGACCAACATATGACTGAGTTGCGACTGACTTGTGAGTTGCAACCTGACTTGCAACCTCACTTAAAATGACTTGCGACTGACTTGCGACTGCCTTGCAACCTCCTTGCAACGGCCTAATGACTGACTTGCGAGTGGCAACATGACTTCTGACCTGACTTGCCACTGACTTGTGACTTGATTTATGACAGACTCATGACGGACCTGTGATGGATTTGGAATACAACTCTACAACTAACCTCCACACTGTCCTTTTCGCACGTGTCGTCCGACTCTGTGTTGAAGCTGTTGAACGTGAGCCTGACACGCTGATTGGCCAACGCCAGGATGGAGTAGGTGCACTCCGAGTTGCGTGGGTAAATCCCGGGGTAGCCGGGTGAGTTAAAGCCCCCACTGGAGGTCTCATAGATCCCTCCGCATCCTGCAAAAAGGATAAAAAACAAACCATATTGAATTTATGTCACCCTGACGCCAATTCCATCTTATGAATAGTTTGGTTGTGGTACCCACTGCTATACCAGACTCCAACCAGCCAGCCGACCCCGGCAAGCTCGGTGGTTGAGTGTTAAGACGTCTGCACTGGTAAGCAGGAGGTCCTGGGTTCGAGTCCCACCCGAGTACTCTGTGATTTTTTTTCTTACAATCACTCAGGACAACGAGTAAACACCGTTTATAAAAAACGTTCGTGATCATATTGAAATTACGTCACACCGATGCAAATTCCATCTTATGAATAGTTTGGTTGCGGTACCCGCTGCTGTACCAGACTTCAACCAGCCAACCAACCCCAGGAAGCTCGGTGGTCGAGTGGCAAGACGTCTGCACTAGCAAGCACCAGGTCCTGGGTTCGGGTCCCACCTGATGAATACTCTGTGATTTTTTTTCTTACAATCACTCAGGACAGCAATGAGTAACAGCGTTTATAAAATACGTCTGTAATTATTGAAATTACATCACCCAGATGGAAATCCCATCTTAGGAACCAATAAATAATGAAAACATCAGCGAGGTTAAAAAGTTTCTTTTCTCCCAAGGTCTGGGAAAACACAAAGTTTACAATTTTGGTCAGTGTTGTAGTCAAGACCGGATAGTCCGAGACCGAGACCGAGACCGAGACTGAGACCAAGACCTGGAGGTCCGAGACCGAGACCTGGAGTTCCGAGACCTTCAAGAGAGATCGAGATGGTCCGAGACCGAGACCGAGACCGAGATGGTCGGAGAACGCGGATAGTACAGAGAATAAATGTAAAAAAAATTATAATAAATTAATGAATAAATAAAAAGTTCATTGCATGTAGACATTTAATTGAACTTGTAACCTTTTTAATGACGTCAGAATATAGCAAGGAGCAAATTAAATAAAAGAACAAATACGGGCATGTCACACTGCAGTGATAAACTACATCAAAAACGAGACGAAAAATCAATATAATGTTGGTTATGATAACCAACGAGACTTAACAAAAACAACAATCAATGTAAGTGGTATTATGAGCGATAAACGCTGCATATTGCTGGTCTTGACTCGAGACTAGCAAAAATATCGAGACCACAGGGTACCAAAACCGAGATCAAGACTGAGATTACAGGGTAACAAGACCGAGACCGAGACTGAGACCGGCAAAAAAAGTGGTCTCAAGACCGGTCTCGAGACCTACATCACTGATTTTAGTACGTTATTTTTTCTTCTGCATGTGTAACATCTGTAGTGAATGTTTGCCTACCGGTTGGATCCGGCCGCTGTTGGAATATGTATTCTGCCTTAAAACCCTTCTTGACGACGCTGCCGTCCGTGATGAACGTCACCAACGCCTCATTGGCAGATGAAACCCAGCTGAAGGGTAACTGGTTGCCACAATACTTGACGTTCCTGGAGGTGTCCAAGTTATCTTTAATCTACAACAGTGGTAAATTGGGAGAAACGGATGACAAACAAAAATAAGCAACAAATTGCGTTGCTTTTCTAGTCACTACAAAACACCCTTTCAAAATATAAGACAGGATTGTCGATACAACATGTGAGCTAAAACTTACTGTAAAAAGAGAGGTGGTTCTTTGAAGAAACAGGTCTGGCAAGAGCAAAGAACCAGACTCTGGTAATAAGAAGAACTAAGAACCTGGTGCTTAGAATAACTAGAGTTTTGGTGCATCTGTTTGTTCTCAAAATCAATTTTCTGTTAAGAGTTATTAACATCAGGTATCTAGTGATTCTTAGAAAAAACAGAGGTTCTAGTTTGTTTTCATTATTGGTTCAGATGTGGGCTTTGCACCATACACTCGCAAAACCGGTGCAAGAGCACAGTGTGTCCTGCTCACTAGAGCTCTCGTGAGTGGTCGCAAAGTGCCACCTACTACTATTGCACCTGATAATAGCACTCCGCACTAATGCTAAAAATAGAAGCTGAACGTCGCGCAAGTGCCCGGATCTCAGACAACCATGGCGTCCAGGGTACCATGGCGAAAAAATAAAGCAATTTTTTTTCATATTTTTACCTGATGGAGGAAGCTGAAATTTTGTTTGCACACTTCTTGTGCCCAGAATGAAGCCCGGTTCATACTCGGCGCGAATGCGAATGCGAATTTCACGTCAAGAAACGTTCGCTGCGAAATTCGCCCGAGTTGAAATGTGTTCAACTTTAACAAATTCGCAGCGCGAATACTTGCCATGACGTCACCAATTCGCGTTCGCTTTCGCACCGAGTATGAACCGGGCTTTATGCATGCGCCAGGTTTAGAAATGATTATGTCCATGGGCCAGCGACGTGTTAACCGAAAATAAATTGCAGATCCATCCTTTTTTGTTGTAATCATCCTGTACAAACTTCTTGTGTGAAGATTACGTGCCTGTGTGTGTGCGGCCAGGTGTGTGTGCACGCGCACTTGATTGTTCGAAAGTTTGTCTGACATCCAGGGTATGCGCGCATACGACGCGGAGCAAAAGTGATGTCATTAGTGCGGAGCGCTATTAACACAAAATAGCACTAGGCCAACGAAAATAGTCTCCGGCTTCTGGTCTGCGCGCGCATCGCCATAGCCATGCGCGTCAGCAAAATTAAAAAGTTTTTTTCAATGTAAGACGATGTCTCAAAACCGCCAAACTCACTGGTTTGACTGGAATCCTGCTGCTGCACAATTTCAACATGTTTTTCGATGGGGTTACGATCGAGTATAAGCTGCATGTGGCCTCTCTGGGCTCTATTTCCAGAAGGTGTTGTAATTTTGTTATTGTGCGTCTGGAAGCCAGACTGAGGGAGCGATGGTTGTGTATCTGGAACCTGTAAACGCTTTTGAATTAGCGCAATATGTAAGGGAGCAGACTAATGACCAGCCTGGCAGCGCATGCATGATGTCGATGCATGGTCTGAAATTACCGTTTTCTCTAATTTTGCTCTTGACTATCCAAATTTCCCGAAGAACGTTTGTGTCGGTCGAGATCTTCAGCGGGTGCAGAATTCTCAAGCCTTATGGCCTTACTGAGGTCACCTCAAGCTCCACCCTGATGGATATTTTTGAGAGTTTTAAGGGGATCGAATTGTCATCTGCAATATCAGCCAACATTTGAAGAAAAAACAAGTGGGGGAAAAAAAAACCCTTGCATCCCCGCACCACTTTGGTGGCAAGCTCCATACAAGAACCCGGAGACTTTTTTTTTTGCCTAACGAATAGATTTTTTGACATATCCAAGGCTCATCATATCAGATCTTTTTTTTTTAAAAGCCCTCAAAACCAACCCAGGTACCTGTAGAACCTCAGGTTTTGAACTCCGTTCAGTTTCTCTGTTTATAATAGGATTTATTCACGAGGCGGCCATATTAAATTGGAACTTAGGAAAAATCTTCATTTGTGGTCAATGCGAATATAAATGAAAGCAATGAAATGAAGTTAATTAAGAGAATAAATGTGTGCTCCTGAGGTTTTGATCACTCTGTTTAAGACCGCTTAGAGTCTGGGTGCTGATAATTACCCGAGCCGGAGGCGAGGGTAATTATCAGCACCCAGACTCTAAGCGGTATTAAACAGAGTGATAAATACCGACCGAGCACATATTTATTCCCATTCATAAATACCTTTTCGGTAAAGAAAAAATCAAATAATTCGTTCAAAAATCCCGATTTTGTTCAACAAGTTCACTTCATGCTTTTTGAAACATCCCTTTAGCAAAATAATGGAGTGTTCAGTTGGCGAGTAAGATGTAAACAACCCTTTTATGGAGATTGACGCGCGCGTAACATGTTCTGCGCGATGTCGCGCAGAACGCACCTGGGGCGTTGCATTTTGAATTTAGAACTATAAAATTCTTACTCGCTGGTAGTGTTGCGCATGCCTACGTGAGGATTGTGAACGTTCAACCAATAAAACGGTAAGAGGCACTGGATTTTTGGAGTCCACATTTTATTGTGACACTGGAAAAGTGTTTAAGACCAGCTAGCCATGTCTTTATCATCTGTTTAAGACCGGCCACGTGACGGGCTCTCGACCAATAGGAATAACTAAACTGTCTGAGGTATCTATGAATAAAAATTAACACCAGTCTGCTTTGTGATTAAACATACCCTAACGTTTTAAGCCACATTTAAATAACAACAATTGAAAGTGAGGCTTGGAATGCCAAAGTACTCAGGCACCATCCCATTCAACAGTTTACAATTTATAAAACACATTCAGGGACTAATGATCAAATGACCATTTAATAATAATAATAAGAATAATAGGCATTTAAGAACGCTCTTATGAGTAAACTAAATCACAGCGCTTACAGTATTATTATTACCCCTGATCATTGGGCCAATTAAACATTCCAAATACCATCTCAGCTCCCTGGGGAGTATGCAGCTGGATGCTGCCTGTTAGGCGCAAGCAAGCTTATTCAATCACAATAACCATCTCTGCCCTCACAGGTACCCATTTACTCCTGGGTGAAGAGAAGCAATGAGTGACAAAGTGCCTTGCTCAAGGGCGCAAGCACCATGACCCCGGCCGGACTCGAACCCACAACCCGCAGCTTTACCCACAGACCACGAATCCAGTGCCCTTAACCACGAGGCCACAGCACTCCGAGATGTTCCCCAACGTGGCATGCAGAGTGTAACATGAACCATGATATTAGGTACATGGGAGTAATTGCAGAATACCCCGCCACTCGGAAATACACTCCTAAATTCTCTGGCTACGAGGTTGGAATCACTGGAAAAGAAACAATTCAAGTCCATGCCAGCTACGCGGATACTGAGTGGGGGTCCATTATTTGAGAACGAAGCAACACAAAAGGAATGGGAGTTGCTGAAAAAAATTCTAAGTCCAAACCAACTACCCTGTTGGCGGCTACGCGGTTACGAAGTGGGAGTGCAATGGAGCATGACGCATAGTACATACAAGTAGCGCTGAGAATGTTTATTGAGGTCAATCAACCGTGACTCCGTAGCCGGCTACGAGGTGGATAGATCGAGTGGCGGGGTATTCTGCAATTGTGCCGGTACATGTACTGTTGTTGCCATGGATCAACCAATCAGGATGGAGGATAATTTTTGAAATCATACCTCAATGTAGTCGTACTCGCATGCCGTCTTGGTGGTGGTTATGGCCTGTCGTTTGTACAGTATGTGGCGAGGGAGGTGTCGCTTGTCGCGCGGGCTGCCGACAGGCGTAGTGCTTGGCAACTCCAGGTTCAGTTCCTGGAAGTTGAGAAAGACAATCTCATGGGCCTTGCCGTGGAACAGGTAGTCCATCCTTAGGTTGGAGGGGTAGTCCTTAGGGTAGTTGGGGCTGGTAAATGAGCCCTGGGTACCAGTGAACGTCTGGCTTTCTGTTACGAGAGGAGACAAAATGTACCAAACATGGTGATTGGGCAATTCCATGGTAACGGAATGACATTCAGACTTTTTTTCTTTTCAACTTCAAAGCATGTGTACTACAAATACCATTTTTTTGGGTTGCAATTCTTGTACTCTAACCACTCCCTTTTATTTTCAATTTTCAATTTTTGGAAAACTTCTTTTCGTTTACGAATTACGAAGAACAATCGAGTCCGTAACGGAATAACGCTAAAATGGACATTGCTTTTTAAAGTAATGTACATTTTGCCAAATCTCTGTGATTTTTTTAAAGGCAGTCTTGATTTAACGGGTTGCAATCCCAAAACAAGAGTTTAGGCAGTAACATCAATGATTTTTAATTGAACGTTTGTTGTTCAGTAATTAAGTACAGACATTTATTAAGGAGATGAAGAATCGGTAACGGAATGACAGTAACAGAATGACCACAGGTTTACCCATACAAGTGTGTACAAAATGACAGCTTTCTGAATTGTACATTTTCACATTTGCACTAAAATCAACTGTGAGCCTTTCTCCCTGTAAACCCTCCTATGCAAATATACACTGTGCCGAGTTGTGCCTTCGGTCAAAATCAATCAAGTGACTGTTTTCAACGGTAAAGAGCTCCCAGCCTAAACAAAGCAGGATTGACTGGCTGTGGCTGTTTATGTAACTTGATACAGCTTTGCTGATTGTTAAAGGGAATATACAACATTTGCAAACATCGAAAAATAAAACTACCAAGTTTTTAAGAACTACCTTACTAGGATGTTGGTAAATGAGAGTCTAAAGCATCCTGTAAAATTATGGCACCTGGTGTGAAGTCATTTTCAAGAAAATGGTATTTTTGTATACATTTCCAACGGTGATCGGCCGACCACCGTTGGAAAAACCTAACTATATTTCAACTACTGCTCCAAATTTACCTTTTTTCAGTCCAAATTTTGTTTGGTATTGGTTACATGTTCATGAACGGGTGCAGGCCAGCTAGACTGGTTCCCTTACCTTACAATTTTCTGGCAACTATAAATTGATCCATTTCATCTTTAGTGGAGTCAGGGAACCAGACTACTTGAACAATTTTGTTTTTCCAGCATTTTCGAACATAAAACTTCAAACATGTCAGTGTAACAATATTTGATATATTATACTAACCCCTCAAATACTCCATTTCTGAAAATTACAGCAAAAGCCAATGATGTACATTCCCTTTAAGATAACTGCGCCACCAGTTTCCTGCTTTTGTCTGTTGACTGAATGTGACTAGTCAGAGTGCTTGCTTGCAAAAGTAACAAGTCACTCAGTCAAGTGATAATTGTTTCCTGCTGGTGGAGGCCGGTCAACTGGTGATACACTGCCCACGGGGATTCATTGTGAAAACCTGGTAAAGACTCTGGGAAAAAAACGGAATGAATGCTCTATGGGCTCCGTGCGCCAACAAAAGAGGGCGTGTTTTTACCACTTTTTAGAGCTCTGTGGGCGCGGGACACACAGCTTGTGCGTACTGTACTGAACTGGTTCGCGCACGAAGTACGCCGACTTCTTGAATGTGAATGTGCCAAAGCTATTAGCCACAGTGTCTTCCTGTGAGCGTCAGGCGTCGTCAGCGCAGGAATACGTTCAAATTTAACTTGTCTCCCAGACTAATCCCTGCCACCAATACCTTTGGATCATTCAAAATACGCAGTGGATGGACCGGGAACCAGTGTAGGTCTCCCCAACTCTCCTTTTCTGGCCGTTGAAGGGGTACTTGTGCACGGAGCCCATGCATACTCGGGTTTTCTCTTGAAGGAGGATTTCACGGCACGATTAAAAGTGAACTCACCACTGAGTCTGGGACGGGGACCGCTGGAGAAGTACCCATCCACTGTGTGTACGCTGACCGAGGAACCACTGAGGAACTGCACTATCACCTGTAGCGAGAAACAAAGGGAAAAAGTTAACAATGGCATAACTTCATGGAGGTGCAAAGCAAGACAGTTAACAATTATTGACTGCTGTGATGTGGGATATGACGTTTTTAACACCCGAGGGGCACCTAGCATGGTATATCCCACATCACAGCAGTCAACAATAGACCATTATCATGTTGCGGCCATCCTGATTACATAGTCTGGTTCCTATTTGCACAAAAAACATAATCATTCAGTACTGTTATTGGATACAGGGAACATGACTGAAATGGTGGCAGCATGATAAAGGCCTATTGTTTTGTTATATCGTGCCAATCAATTGAAAAGGTAAATGATTGTTAATTACTGTCGGAGAAATAAATTAAATCACTGCGATGTAACCTTTGATAACTGCAGGTTTTGATGTCCTGCCGGTCATGAGGCTGATGAGCGTTTGATGTTGCAGTTCTCATCGCGCAAAGCTAGCGTACCGGCAGATTCCTTACGCAAGCAACGAGCGCATTGAACACAGGGCGATATCACCCTCTGTGTGGGACATGCATGTTTATTGTCCAGACACGTGGCCCTCCTAGACCAATGAAATTACAGTATCCAAGCACACGATATAACAATACTGCTTAACCAATTGCTGCGCTAAATAAAAGTCAGCTGAGACAGCATTCCCAGCACTTTATGAATACAAAATTCCCTGAGCTTTCCCTGATATTTCCCTGAGAAATTTCCAAAATTCTGTGAGAATTATGTTTGTTTTTAGCGACGTTGCTGGGAAGTCAAGAGGTGGTTGCGGCAAAGCAACTAAGATACTGATAATATACAGGCAACTTGTTGACAAGCTGTGGCCTCTTTTCTCCCCTATTATAGCCATCCTTTCGTCAACATAAGCAACAGAGACACCAGGCATGCAACTGGGAATTTAGAAAAAACGAGCAAACTCCAAACCACACAAGACTTTGTACAGTATTTTTCCATTTGTAATGGCATTCATGGAAAGTAAAAAAATTAGGAAATCAGTGGATCCGAGGAAAAGTTGCATGCATGACTGACACACAATATGCCAAATTGGGGAAAACCTTTCCCTTCTGGGTCGCCGTCCAATTCGCCGAGTTGGCCCTGATTTTTTGGTGTTTTCCCCAAATTCCCTAAGTTTTCCCTGACTGTAAAAATGGAAACTCATTTACAAGGTTTTCCCTGATTTCCAGAGTGGCTGGGAAACCTGTGAGAACAAGTCAAATGAATAAAGTATAGATTTTCTATGCATGGTAAATGGAAGTGCTTATCATGCGGTAAAAAAACCCCGCCATTTTTTATGGCGGCAAATGCACAAGTGTATCGGTGTATTACATACCTCATTAGCATCAGACGTCCACGTAAACGGTTGCCGTGCTGTCGTGCACGTGGTGTCGCTGCGCTGTGTAGTGGTATCCGTCATCTAAATTAAAATACAGTGTCCATTCCTTAAAACTCAAACTTTCTGCTTCAACTACTTCAAATGTTTTCTGCAGGCCAGGGCCCAATTTCTTGGCTCTGCTTACTGTTAGCGAAAAAAACCTGCTTACTAGAACAGAAAATTCCGTGCTTACAGTAAGCGTATTTGACAGGTTAGCTTGGAATTTTGGCTTATACGCATGTGTACCCGTAACTAAGGATTCTGTGCTTACAGGGTTAGCACAGAATTTTTCTGTTAGCGCAGTTAGCACAAAATGGTGATGGTAAGCATGGAATTGTGTGGTTAGCAGAAATTGGGCCCTGGTCATACTTTAAAGCTATAGTCCATCATTTGCAGCCATCTGAAAAGTTACTGGCGTAATAATTGTTGAAAAACAAACTTGGTTGAAAGATAGTAAGGGAACTAAACTCCCTGTGAAATTATTCTTTCTGGGAAGCTGTCATTTTGAAGTAATCAACGAAAGAAGGCCTTTCCAACGGTGCATCTTAAGACGCACCGTAGGAAAATTTAAATTAGTAGTTCGTTTTGTTATTCGGCGAAGCGCGCGCAAGCATTGGCACGACGCACACGCGCGCGCGGTTGCTATAATTCGTCGGATCAGTGCGCGACGTCGCGTATAGCTGCAATTCAAAACAATTCAAACCATGATTCAGCAACTTTTGATTTGAAATTGAGATCCTAGAATGCCGTTTTTATTGGAATATACAGCTGAAGCTGAGCTGAAACTTCATCAGGTTAGTTGTTCAGTATCCTTCATTAGATTTGAACTCTTTTGTTGCTTCAAACGAACAAATGCACAAATTACAAATGATGGACTATATCTTTAACACGAATGAAAATACAAAGTGAATGCGGCGTCAAGTAAATTTTGTGGCAACACTGCAGAAGTTGATGGGTGTTTAATTTTGCATATTTACGGTGTGAATACTTGTGTCAATGTTTGCTCCCGAATTAAGTGTGAAGTGAACTTATCAATGTAGAAAAACTTGTCCATGTTTTGCATTGTAAACAGCATTTTCGATGGGTCAACTCACAAACGTTTTCAAAAGATAGCCACGAGAAATCTCCAACGATTTGGCCTCTGAGAAACCACTGAAGTTTTCCATGCACGATTTCTGTTTTCTTCAAATATTTTTTTGAATACATTTTTGCAAAAAGTTTGGCACCATTTCTGTCTTTATACCCGAGTCTGCTCATTTTGGAGTCAGGTATTAGTAAAAGCTGTAAAATGTTTTTATCAAATTGTGATTCTTTAAAAACTTTTATCCCATTAGCAACTGCACTACGTTGTATTGCATTTACATTTATTTCCTCATGAATCCATGAACAGCCAGCATTGGGGTGGTTTTGGATAAGTACATGGACTAAGGGCCCATCTTAATTCATGTTGTGGACAAGTTCCGGACAAGTTCCAGACATTGTATCGGGTATAAGTTGCAGGATTCTGAACAACTTCCCTGCAATTTTCCCCGCAATGAAGTTATCAGTATTGGTGAGTCAAGCAGTTGCTAATCAAAAATCAAAACATGTCAAAAACTAGAAGTTGCCAAGCATTTTGTTCATCAATTTTGCTTCATGTTTTACGAAACACCCTCTGACTATAATATGGAATGCCCCTCCACAACTCGTTACCTTGTAAGGACAATGGCGTGCGCGTCGCGCGTACTACGTGATTTCGCACAAAACGCAGCTAGGCTGGTGTAATGTGAATTTTTGGACCATGAAATACTGATTCACTGGTAGTACATTGCGCATGCATACATGAGAAATGTGAACATTCAACCAATGAAACGTTAATAGACAATTTCATGTGACACTGAAAAAGTGTTTAAGACCAGCTAGCCATGTCTTTATCATCCGTTTAAGACCGGCCTCGTGACGGGCTCTCGACCAATAGGAATGCGTAAACTTTCTAAGGTATTTATGAATATTTTTTCAGTAAAAACTTCTTATTTTTCATAACGATAAGCCTTGCGATCTGACATACCTTGATGTAGCTATTGCAATCTTTGTCCTTCAGGACGAGATTCTTGATGGTCAAGATGATTCGGTAGTTCAGCACCGGATGGGTGCGTATGACGATGTAGCAATTCTCCGCGCCCGTTGTCAGGGACGTCGACGGCCAATCAAAGGTGCCGGGGAACTCCGCATCGAAATACTGAACGCATGCTAAACAAGGAAAAAGAAATCTTTCTGTATCAATTCAAGCAATTGTGGTGAACATTAAGGAAATCAGCAGAATGTCTTGGCAGTCATGCTGGACAATCAATGTTTTACCGTTAAAACAAAGAAATGTCCATGCAGACATTAATCATTTCACTTCGTCCTTCTTTAAAGGGAAAATACAACATTTGCAAACATCAAAAAATAAAACTACCAAATCATTTTGAAATACCTTGCTGGACTGTTAGTGAATGACAGTGTAAAGCATCCTGTAAAATCATGGCACCTGGTATACTGTCATTTTCAAGAAAAGTGGTATTTTTGTATCAATTTCCAACGCTGGTCGGCCGACCAGCGTTGGAAAAAACTGGCTTTTTTTCAAATACTGGCCCCAATTGACCATCGCACTTGTTTGCAATCGATTACACACCTATGAACGGGTACAAGCCAGCTAGACTGGTTCCCTGGCCTTACAATTCCCCAATGTATGTAAACTGCTCTGTTTCTTCTTATATGGAGTCAGGGAACCAGGCTACAGGAAAGTGATTGTTTTTCTTGGTTTTTATAGCATTTTCGAACCCAAAACCTCAAAAAAGTCAGTGTAACTATATTTGCTATATATTTCCAACCCCCCAATTCCATCCATTTCTGAAAATTACAGCAAAAGCAAATGATGTACATTGTATATTCCATTTAAGATGAAAAGTAAATATAAAACAATTAAGACCATGGCACGCAAACTCAACTAAGCTGGTCCCATAGTGCACAAAATTGTTTCAATTGAATCAAGTGCCGTTTACAGTGGCAGATCCCGGGGGTGCCGAAGGAGCACCTGCCCCCCCGGCAGAGACCGAAGTTTTTCAAATGTGACCTACTGAGGCCAACTGAGGAATGTCTCCCAAAAACTTGTTTTGAGTAATTTAGCACTGATCCGTGATCTGATCTGTGAGTGCTTGCCTACAGCGCTCGTGCTCAGAAAGTGTTTGCAATGTAACAAAACCGTCCCACACACGTAGGTACGTACACGTCGCGCATAAAGTTTGCAATGCACAACATGCCACGTGCAACTTTTTTTCAAAGCTGTTTTTCTCGAAATTAGGTCACGGAAGTTCCGCGACGTACTACCAACTTTCCCACGATATATCTTTGGAATTAATGGCGATACAGAAATAAATTTGGTATCATTAACACACATCACTCCCCAGCCGCCAAACCCTCCCCCCCCCCCCCACAGTAACCTCTCTGGATCCGCCCTTGATTTTACCCCCAAGGTTTAACCACGGACCCTCTACGAGTACAAAACGCCATGGCCCACCCTTGAGATGCAACACCAGATGAACCACATTAAAGACAATTTCGTAGTTGCATACTTGCTGGAGAAGGGCTGATGGTGGCTCGGAAGTTGCCCTCGTAGTAGAGATAGGAGCGATACGGCAGGCTGGCGCAGTACCACAGAATCAGCTCGTTGGATACGGACGTCCAGGAAAACGGCAGGATCCTGCCGGAGACTTCAACGACGGGGGTAGATGACACATGATCAATAATCTGTACAACAAAAACCAATAAAATAAAACTGAGCAAACAATTTTTAAAAACAAATACTTGTGCTTAGGCCAAAAAAAAAAATAGTTCTGCTTCCGATTACATGCCTTTCAAAAATAGGGTCGGTCGGTCGGAAAATATATTTTTTTTGCCAATTTTTTTTATGCAGATTGAATGGGGTATTCAATTATATGCGAAGTTTTAGCCTGAACTATTTCCATTGCACTACGAAAGCTATAAACGAAATGGCAACAAAAAGTGAATAAAACCTACCTTTAATTATTGTCAATATATGTACGTTCGATAATTTCAAAAAAAAATGGAAAATTCAGGTCATTCGCACCATATGCACAACGCTAGTCAAGACGCGGGGAGCTGGCCAAAACTCCGAGGTGTGTGATGCGTGCGTGTGTGGCGAGCGGCCCACCATGGGCCAACAGACCTGTTTTTACGGTCAAAAATTTCGGAAAACACGCGGCATGTATCACTTGAAATGCGAGTAGTGCGATCTCAAAATGAACTCTTGAACACAGAAAATACATACACAGACAAGCTAGATCAATTCTGTAAATTAACTTGCAAAAATGTTCTTTCTCCATCGGTGTTTTCTTGGCATTTTTACGATGTCGAATCCGACCAGCTGACCAGTTGACAGTGGCCTGCACTGCTAGCGCGCTATCGGTCGCATAGCTGTGGACTGGTTACCGCATTTTCATCATGTCTTCTAAATTGGCCCCTGCGCGGCGCGGCGGGAACCAGTCGTCGCCACGTGATTATCTTTGATTATAGTCACCGTGACATCGAATTGCGAAGTAGTTATATCGCGAAGTGAATTTGTAAAAATAACGGAGGTTTCTTTTGAAAAAAAGCGAATGTAAGTAAGAAAACAAATAAATACAAGCATTTTTTGATGCAAAAGGGTTGTTGAGAGGTATTTTGTGAAGACAGAAAGACAACAAGATTTTATTTTTATTTATTCAATTTTTTTTTAAATTTTTTTTGGGAATTGCCGTTAAAATTTTTAGGGTCGCAGCCTAAAAATAGGGTCGGTCGGGTAACCGGAAGCAGAACTATTCTTTTTTTTGGCCTTAGGAAATGTACATGCTAAGCAGATGTGCAGCCGGGAACCAGTGACAGGCAATGTACATCAATAGCGTTTTGGCTGGTAACCAGTTTGTGCTAAGCCAATTTTTTTTGTCATGCTTAGTAAGTTTCTGTGATTAGGTAGCTCCTTGAATTGGCCCCCAGCAGCCGATTCCACGAATCAGAAAAGTTGTTGCGCAGCTGTGCAATAAGACTTAATACATCATTTTTATCGTACATCTTGTACGAGGAGCAAATCAGCATTTATGACGACAGTTTTTGAATACTTTCTGCCCGTCACAAAACAGAATCACTTCCACACGCTATTTGAAAATAGTTTGGTCTGACTTTCTGTAACGGCTAAAACAGCAATTTATCATTTTCTTCAAGCACAAAACTGCGAGTGTCACAAAACTGGTTACATGCATGATACGGCACTTGCGCGTCGCATGCACGACTGCACAGTCGAATTTGTGGGGCACCAGCTAGCTGTTGGGCACGCACGCGCATTGTTCTACATGTTCTATGTGTTGTTCTGTGCGCAGACAGAACAACTTTGAGTTGAGCGATGACAGGCTCCACGATGATCACGATTTGCCAGTGAAATAGTTGACTTTCAGTTGACATGACATAACTGACTCCAACTAAAGAGATTGCTTAAGTTACGCCAAAGCTTGTTGCGTAAGTCGTGGACTTAAGTACAATTTTTTTACAAAACTTTCGTGAAATGTGTCAAAAACTTTCAGTGTCACGCAGCATGGAATGAAGTGAAACTTTAAAACACAATCAATTACGGCGCAAGTGGAGTTACGCCATTGTATAAAGTTTTGCGAAATCGGCCGCCGGACTTACAGTCAATTCGGGGCAGTCCTCCAGATCAACCATGACTTTGGTGAAAGATGCGGTCACACGGTGAGCAATGTGACCGTGGAGGAGGGTCTCGCAGCCCTGCAGTCTGAAGTGGGTCAACGGCAATGGATAATCCGCATTGGTCAGGTTCCCTGAGGTGTCTGTCACAATGGACGAACAATCTGCGTGGAAGATGATAAGACGAGAAACAGAGAAGTCAGGGAGCCTGACTTTTTTGTTGTTGTAAGGCCAGTTATTATGGGCTCCGTGTGCCGACAAAGAGGGCGCCCTTTTACCTAGCAACGACGTCCCATGGGCGAGACATTTTGCTGGTTGACGCGCACCGTTCCTTGTGTGTGACGCACGTACACCAGGGGATTTGTACTATGCACACGCAGTGGCAGCGCTTCGCGGCAAATGAATTGCAGTCAGGCAAGATGGCGTCGGTCGGTCACCCCCAACTGTACTTGCTTTGCCGGTGAGGGGGTACTTGTGAACGGAGCGGATAGTCACCAACAACAATTGATTTCACACTTTTTCCTCAAAATCCTCATTCTCTAAATTTCTATTCCTTTCATACACAAACGACTGGACAGCGTATCCCTGTGCAAAATGGGCTCCATGGGCAAACAAGACAGGGCGTTCTTTTTATTACTTTGAAGAGCCAAGTGGACAGGCCACAGTGGGCGCATACTGGCTCTTTGTGAAAAGCACCAATTCCGTTGCTTGTGCATCAATTAAAACGATAAAAAAGAAAGAGAACGTATTTCAAATACTGGACAAAAACAAATATTAAGGGATATTAAATTTATGAAAAATCCACGTGCGTTTAGGCCACTGAAGAATGATTCAGGCATGCCTAACGAGTCCTTCAGTCAAGCGATACTACCTGTTCCCTGCTGGTGGTAGGCATTCATTAGGTGATCATCTGCCCTAAGGAGCTTTAATCTCAAGATAAGAGAGATCTGAAATCCTGGTACGACTTTGGGCCAATACCCGAATATACCGGCTATACTCAAGTTTTCTGGTAGAGGATTCACGGCATGCTTGAGCGCCAGGCGTCCAGCAGGAATATGTTTCACGCAAATGCAAGCGTGATGCAAAATTGACGTCACGCAATTACATTCACTGCAGATTAGCCGGATTTGAAACGTGTTCCCCTTTTTCCGAATTCGCAGCGTGAAAACTTGACGTGATGCCAAAAAATCAGCTTTCGCGCTTGCATTCGCGCTCGCGTTCGCCATTTGCACTCGCATTTACTTTCGATTTCGCGTTCGCTTTCTCACCGAGTATGAACCGGCCTTAACTGTCCGTAACTATAGAGGGCGTTTTTGTGCATTTCGTCTATACCTTCATTGTTTCTTCCCTCTAGGCTAGCTTCCCCCTTCCAGCCAGGGAAAGTGGAGTAGCTGTCGGTCCGGAACCTCATGATGGCCGCGTTGCCGTCCGTGGTGAACAACGGGTGGTGCTGGTTGCCGCAAAACCGGTCTGTGCGTCCGGTAGTCAGGTCCTCTATCTGCATTGTTATACAAATTTACTGATTGTAATGGGACTACCGAATAGGTAGACAAGGCACCATACAAAGCATAATCATAAATAATAGCAGGTTCTCATAAAGTGCACATATCCTGAACAACTGAAAGCTAGATCAAGGCGCTTGCCAAAAAAAAAAAAAACAGTACAAAAAAAATTAATGAATTAATGAGCTCTGAATAGTTCTGTCTTCAAACGTTTTCGAAATGTTGTCACTGAGTCAGACTGGAGGATTTCTTGAGGGAGTTTGTTCCACAGATGGGGGCCAGAATAACCAAAGGCACCCTGACCGATCGATTTGTTACAGATGGGTGTGGTAAGTGTTGTTGAGTCTACTCGGCTGTTGCGGTGATAGAAGGTGAGGAGATTGTTTAGGTAGACGGGTGCTGTGGAGTGAATGCATTTTCAGACGAAGAGCATGATTTTGAACTTGATTCTCTCAGAAACTGGAAGCCAATGAAGTTCGTGAACATGGTGAAGGATAGGGGTGATGTGTTGAAATTTGCCGGTTCCGGTTATTAAGCGGGCTGCATGGTTTTGGATTCGCTGTAGTCTGGCAATCTGATAAACCACAGCTCCATGCAGGATAGAACTGCAGTAGTCAATATTGGAGAGGACGAGAGATTGGATGGCAGTGCGACATGAGGCTGTGGTCAGGTATTTCTGTATGTATTTTATTCGACGGAGGTGAAAAAGAGCTCTCTCACGACCAGGCCTACATCCGGGCGCCAGAAAGTCAGCGTCGCCATTGTGGTAGGCAAAGATGGTAGAGCACACCGCGCAATAGGTGGTAGGAAAGCCTTCAAAGCTGTGATGGATGGCAAAAAATACGAGAAAAACGCAGAGCCAACACCCAGTGCTGGGTTCGGCACGATTATGACAACTGCACGTGGCACAGGTAATAATAATAATAATAATTTGGGAGGCTAATGGTATGCTGAATTGCGAAGGACGCGGCTACAACGTGGTCGGGCCGCTGGCACGTAAAGGCGCCTATGGCTGCCGGCCACATCGACCCATATATGACCACGGAGCACAGCCTGATATCGAAAGTGTTTGATTTGAAAGTAGTGACCATTATGCCATTTCAGGAAAGAATGTAGTATCCTGACGCCACTTCAGCGGTTGTGCACAAAGTCTATGGAGAGTCACAAACATTTTCAAAAGTATGTCCTAACAAAATTGGAAATGTTTCTCAGTCCCAGATTCAAGTCTTTTCCACATTTTTGTGATGACTGACCTTCATTGAGATAATGTATGGTGAAAAAAATTGGCGTCAGGATGCAACATTCTTCCCCATTTCATGAAGAATTCACGGTTATTTATGTGAAAATAAGTCCTTAACTTTCTAATTTATGATGCAAGACGTGGTTGCTATAAACCCAAAGCTTGCCTGTTGCAATGGTGGCAAATCCAGGGGTGTCAATGGCTTCTCAAAAGTGGGGGGGACATACCTTGATCAGAAATAATGCGAGCGCGAAGTGAAAAGCCCTTACAGCGGATTCTAGATGCTCATGTGGTGTGATCTGAGGCAATTTCTGACCACTTTAACCAATATTTTCTAAGCACAAGATAATGATTTAAACATCATTTTCGAGGTTGAAGTCATTGAATAAGCTATTATATTCTCAGCTAAAGGCGTGGGGTTTGGGGCCCGCTTAAGGGCCCCGAAAAAAAGTCGGATTCTAGATGCTCATGTGGTGTGATCTGAGGCAATTTCTGACCACTTTAACCAATATTTTCTGAGCAAAAGATAATGATTTAAACATCATTTTTCAGGTTGAAGTCATTGAATAAGCTATTATATTCTCAGCTAAAGGCGTGGGGTTCGGGGCCTGAGGGCCCCGAAAAATTTTGCATTCTAAATACTCTGTGGTGCGATCTGAGGCAATTTATGACCACTTTAACCAATATTTTCTTAGCAACAGATACATTGTAGTACATAATAGGGCCCTGTATTAAATGAGGCACGAGTTCAAAAATCTGGGGGGGGGGGGGAACATTTGATATTGTGTCCCCCACCCTTGGTCATGTGATACTTTGACATTATACATTTGGAACCTATTAACAACCTCAACATAATCCTTGCTGCAGTTTTCGTCGTATTCCAGGGAGAACTCGCTGAAGTGTAGAAAGAAACGATCGTAGGGTTGATTCAAGAAGTAGTAGTCGCAATACTCGTTGTTCGGGTAGCCCGCACTAACGCCGTACCCCTCGGACTCAATCTCTACTTTAGAAGGGATGTTTGTGAATATCTGGTCGCAATCTGGGAAGATTAGGAAAATAAATTGCAGTAAATGCCAAGAAAGCACAAATCTGTACAACTCTTTGCTAAGCTTACTTCTTATGCTTTTTGGGATGAAATAACTATGAAGGCTATATCAGGATAAAATTATGTTTTACGGTCAGGCGGTAAGAATAGAAATGTTTTGTTTGCTTTTCCAAGAACTTGTTCATTTTGAAAACTTGTTCTCACATGAGTTATGACAGGATATGTGATTGACATACGAATGACAAGTGATTGGCATGTGATTAACATGCGATTGGCATGTGATTGGCATTATGCTTGACATGTAATTGACATGTGATTGGCATGTGGTTGACATGTGGTTGACATGTGACTGACATGTGATTAACATGCGATTGACACAGTGATTGACAAGTGATTGACACGCTGATTGACACGTGATTGACATGTGATTAACATGTGATTGACACAGTGATTGACACAACGATTGACTTGTAATTGACTTGTGATTGACATGTAATTGACATGTGATTGGCATGTGGTTGACATGTGATTGACATGTGATTAACCTGCGATTGACATGGTGATTGACAAGTGATTGACACGCTGATTGACATGTGATTAACATGTGATTGACACAACGATTGACTTGTGATTGACATGTGATTGACTTGTGATTGACATGTGATTGACATGTGATTGACATGTGATTGACATGTGATTGACAGGTGAATGACAGGTGATTGACATGTGATTGACATGTGATTGACATGTGATTGACATGTGATTCACATACGATTGACATGTGATTGAAATACAATTGACATATGATTTCTCCTAGGAAAATACTCAACATGTTACACTTTCCCGCTCACCTCTTTGAATCCATATCGTCACCACATCGGCAGTTGCTATGTTAGTTCCTGAAAACAAAATGACAGCGAAAAAATTCATTCAGTACAAATCCTTGGTATTAATAAACATGAACTTATTCAAAAAGCCAAACCTTCGTATATCCAGCTATGTTCAGATTATTCACAGGATGGAATTTGCTTGGGGTGATGTAAATTCAATATTGAGTTTTGCCCTTCACCGACGTATTTTTATAAACACTGTATACTCATTGTTGTCCCGAGTAATTGTGAGAAAAAATTCACAAAATACTCAGGTGGGACTTGAACCCACGACCTCCTGCTTACTAGTGCAGACATCTTGCGCCGATTAAGCAATTCTTTTAAGCATATTGCAAATGCAGAAAAAAAAAACTTTTTATGTTTAAAGGTGAAACTCTCAAAGGTCCAAAACTGTTTAGGAGACAAACAAAATCAAAATTGTTGAAAAGCACGGAGAGTGCATCTTTAGTTTTATCGACGTGAACTTGCGAGTACCTTTCTCTGTAAGGCCGGCCTCACGCCCCATGCTGTAGAAGAACTTGGCGACGCTCCTCGCGGAGCGTTCGTAGGGACACGCCGTGGGAATGGCAGGGTTAGGAATACGGTCTTGGATATCCAACCAAAGTCTGGCGGTCTCATTGTTGCAGGTCATGCCGGATGAACCCCAATTGTCACTTTCAAAAAAGAAAATACATAACAAGAATTAAATATCAAATTATAGGTTTCACCCTTCACTGACGTTTAAAAACTGTATACTCAGTATGTTACCTCCCGAGTGAAAGTTGGAAAAAATCAATCGGGTGGGACTCGAACCCACGACCTCCTGCTTTCTAGGAGCATAGCTTATGCGGTACCCGCTGCTATGTACATCAGATTTGAACTAGCCAGCCGATCCCATTAGCTCGGTGGTCGAGTGGTAAGACATCTGCACTAGAAAGCAGGAGGTCGTGGGTTCGAGTCCCACCCGAGTGATTTTGTCCAACTTTCACTTGGGAGGTAACACACTGAGTATACAGTGTTTAAACGTCGGTGAAGGGCAAAACCTAACTTGATTTATATGACCCCGACGCAAAATTCCATCTTATAAGAATTAAATATGTGCACCTCCCACACAAAACCAGTCACCTGCACCAACTTTTGAAAACTGGGATTTGGGGCTCATTTTGGAAAGGACATTGATTAAGCTTTCCAATGACGTATTGAGTGTAGGAAGCGGACAAAATCTAAAGGAGTTTCTCATTTTCGGGCCTCGTAAGTGGAGTGCTGTGGCATCGTGATTAAGGGCACTGATTCGTGGTCTGTGGGTAAAGCTGCAGGTTGTTGGTTCGAGTCCAGCCCGGGGTCATAGCGCGTGTGCCCTTGGGCAAGGCACTTTTTCACTCATTGCTTCTCTCCTCCCATGAGTAAATGGGTACCTGTGAGGGCAGAGATGGTTAGTGTGACTGGTTTAGCTGCTTTGGCAGCATGAAGCTGTATACTCCCCAGTATACATGGAGTGCTTGGGGGGGGTTTAGGGCGGTACAGGAAGTAACGGGAAGGGTGGTTGCAGGTGGGTAAACCCTTCCTTGAACACATTAATTATTGACTTGGCTCTCACCAGAACCAAATTGTCATGCAGAAATAACTTGACCGTGAAAAATGGACAAGTTGAAAACTCACTTTTTTTAACCCAGATTTTCACTGCAAAGGAATGATTAAAATCAAAGATGTCGTGTGAAACTTTTGTCCCTTGAACTTTACTCTTTTATGTGATGTAAACATCAAGGCCATTATGTGCAAAAATAAGAAAGTTATTAGTGTTTTTTTTATCGGTTCCCATTTATCAAACTGCAAGACATTTCACCACATGATCTCAATTTGTGCATGGACACTTTTGAAGCATTTTTCTTAAAATTTTTTTAATGGTAACACTATGAATATACTACACCGCTAGAATGATTCGAAAACACTCTTTCAGGAAAGGGTTAATGGATTAAATGGCTAAACTCACGTAATCGCAAAGTTGTCGGTGGTGCTGAAATCTAAGTCCCCACAGTCGATATGCAAGAGGTCCTCGTAAGATGCATAGATGAGCTGGTCGCAATCAAACCAGTCGTCTATGTCGTCTGTCGGCAGATTCTTAAAATGAAAGGCGGCCACGACTTTCCCAGCCTTGTACAACTCGATTTTGACCTGAACGAAAAAAACAAAACCACGTCGATGTTGCGACACTGAAACTTGGGGATGTGTTTTACAAATTCAACGTGGTTTGACAGGACGAAACTACTGGTTCCTAGCTGTTGGCTGATTTGACTACCTCCTGACGTAAAGTGCAGCAAGTTTTGTGTTTACCGTAACGTGGTTACCAAAATATATCCCGCTACAGATTTTATGATTAACCATTATTTAAAGCTATAGTCCATCATTTGCAGCCATCCGAAAAAGTAACTGGCGTATTATTGTTGAAAAACATACTTGGTTGAAAGATAGTAAGGGGACTAAACTCCCTGTGAAATTAATCTGTCTGGCAAGCTATCATTTAGAAGTAATCAACGAAAGAAGGCCTTTCCAACGGTGCGTCTTAAGACGCACCGTTGGAAATGTCCGTTAGTAGTTCGTTTTTTTATTCGGCGAAGCGCGCACAAGCGTTGACACGACGCACACGCGCGCGCGGTTGCTATAATTCGTTGGATCAGTGCGCAACATCGCGTGGCTGCAATCGGCTCAGTGAGAACGTGTCTCGGACGCTGAATTCAGGCCCAATTCAAAACATGATTCAGCAACTTTTGATTTGAAATTGAGATCCTAGAATGCTGTTTTTCTCGGAATATACAGAAGCTGAGCTGAAACTTCATCAGGTTAGTTGTTCAGTACCCTTCTTTAGATTTTGAGCACTTTTGTTGATTCAAACGAACAAAATGCACAAATTACAAATGATGGACTATATCTTTAATAACTGTAATGGTAGAATACGACTTACCTAATTATCTTAAGGTACTGACATTATTTTTCCATCAGTGCGCAGTATGAGGCAAACTTTCAAATGCAAGGTATTTGAATTGCGTCCACGTCCTTTTTTGTGTAACTCAATAATTACCGATACAAAACTGTTTGCCAAACCAACAGAAGTGTATATTATGTTGGCCTTTTGTTTTCAGTTTTAACAATGAATTCCAAGGGATCTTTTGTGAGAAAAATCCACCCTAAATACTTGGGACTTTTTTTGAATAACAGGACAGAGTTGATGGAAAACCCCCTCCAAATGTAATGTGAGTTACCATGGAATTGCCTTAATTAGGTTAAGGGTAAAAGGGGACGAACCTGTGTTCACAGGAGCGGAGTGCCCATCTCTCTTTCAAAGCGATTGGGCCAGACTCATATGCTGCTGTGGGGGGATCGCCACACCTCCTCCACAGCGAGTCTGTTACCTTCCCAGCATTGAATAATGCCAGTACCCATTTAACACCTGGGTGGAAAGGAGTAATTGAGGTAAAGTGCCTTACTCAAGGGCACAACACGCATGGCCACGGCGGGGCTCGAACCCACAATCTCACGATCAAGAGGCCTGTGCTCTACTGCTAGACCACACGTGCCCTAAGACACAGGTAATTTGTTGACGAGTGATGGCCTCTCTTCTCCCCATCCTTTCAGTCAGTCAATGAACACAACTTGGACACAACCCAAGACGCTCAAATGCCCAACCGGTGAAAATCTTTCCCTTCTGGGTCACTGTCAAATTCCCTGAATTTTCCCTGGTTTTTTTTGGTGTTTCCCTGAATTCCCTGAGATTTCCCCCGACTGGAAAAAAATGGAAACTCGCTTTCAAGGTTTTTCCTGATTTCCAGAGCGTCTTGTAAAGTACCGGTAACCCTGAAAGTGCTTATAACGTTATTGATTGAAGGGCAAACTCCACTATAAAAGTTTACAAACGTCTTATGTTCTCTTTGTGAAAACTTGGGAGGTAATACACTGAGTATACAGTGTTTATACGTCCCTGAAGGTCAAAACCTAATATTGAATTTACATGACCCCGACGCAAATTCCATCTTATGAATAGTTTTACTGCCGTACCCGTCGCTACATCAGATTCAAACCAGCCAGCCGATCCCGGCAAGCTCGGTAGTCAAGTGGTCAGACGTCTGCACTAGAAAGCAGGAGGTCGTGGGTTCGAGTCCCACCCGAGTGATTTTTTCTCACTTACAATTGGGGGTAACATACAGAGTACACAGTGATTATATGTCGGTGAAGGGCAAAATCTAAAATTGAATTTTACATTATCTTATGAATAGTTTTACTGCTGCATCAGATTTGAATTAGCCAGCTGATCCTGTTAGCTCGGTGGTCGAGTGGTAAGACGTCTGCACTAGAAAGCAGGAGGTCATGGGTTCGAGTCCCACCCGGCGAGTGATTTTTTCCAACTTTCACTGGGGGGTAACATACCAAGTATACAGTGTTTATACGTCGGTGAAGGGCAAAAGTTAATATTGAATTGTTCATCACCCCATCGCAAATTGAATCTTTTGAAATCAGATAAAGGCTGCTTATGAGGAAAAATGGTGAGCAATTTCACGGAGAGTTGACTGGAACGTACCTTTCGCACTTGAAGAGCTTGCCAGTCGTTCACTTTCCTGGGTTTGAAAGTCCGCGGCGAGTCCTCCTTAAAGACAGACTTGGCGTTGGGATCCCACTCCGCGTAGCTTCGGCTGGTGTCCTGCCACTTGCGGACAGGCTCGGTCTCTGTGACCGAGGCAGCGCGGAATACCAGCTCCCATTCTGTGCGACAAAAAAAATAAGCAAGTTTATTGTCCGAGGCCCGAGATGTTTACGAAACTACGGCTCTGTCTCCAACTGGGGATGCTTCTGCAGCAGATTTTCAGTAATCGTTCAACGTTCAAATTAAATACCAAGCCAAGGCAAGTCTAGTAAAGCTGGTCCCAGAGTGCATGAACTGTTATTCAATTGATTTAGAAAGGCTACTTACTGGAAATTTTTATGTGTGCGTGTGCATGTATGGCTTTACGATAGGGGACCGACACACTAAGGGAGAACAAAAGATCCTTTAAGTCCTCGAGCGTTGGGTCTTTTGTTGATAAAAGTTCCTCGATCATATGGTTATGTGTTTATTAATCTATTGAAGGGTGTTATTACAGGGACAAAGGGAAACACAAAGCATTGTCCTCGGGCGTATAGAAATTCACAACTGTATGTGTCGTTGAACATAACTGTGCATGATGTTGTAAGTGTGTTTGTTGGGACCCGGTTTCGCATTAAGCTGGACGCGAGTTGAAATTAACACTAGTTGGGGATAATATTGTGAATCGGGTTGGGTTGACCAGGCTATTAAAAACCAACATAAAACATTATAGATATAAACGGAATCTGAATCGAAACCGATTTAAACTCCCCAAATCTGACCCGCCTTGACCTGCCAAAACTCAAGCAAAACCCCAAACCAAACCAACCCCCGTGCAACTCCCCACGGGACCTGAAGTTGGTTACGGGTCGGGTTTACACAACATTAGTCGGGGTGACTGGATTTGTGGTTCATATCTCCTGTTACTTGTTACCAGACTTGTATTATGACTTATGATTTACTTGTGACTGGCCTTTTGATGTACACATGCCCCCGTTATTTGTGATTGGATTTTTGAATTGAGTCGCGATTTTACTTTACCTGATGCTGGTCGCTTTTCAACGGTTCTGTAGTCGGCGCTGAATCCCTTGTAGTTCTCGTCCGCGTCACTCACGAATCGTATGATGACTTCGTTGCTCTGAGAGAACCAGGTGAAAGGCGGAAGCTTGCCGCAGTAGTCATCGGAGAGTCCGGCTAGTTTGTCATAAATCTGTTAGGCCAATCAAAAAATCAAAATTGAAATAAAAATGTATTCAGTCAAGGCCTAGTGTCCAAGCCATTTGCTAGTTAAATTTGAATAAAATCTGGAACGCTGACTTAATCCAATGCTTTGCACGTTTAGGGCTATTTGCATTCTCCTGATCAAATTGACTTACTATATCACGTCATTCGGGGCAAGCCTTATGCTAGCAACCCCCAGCTCCGGCATGGTCTGCTGTCTTTGTGCCATTCTCACCCATTGTGAACAATGTATTGGTGCTGAGCGTCTCTTACGTAACTATGCAAGAGCTTACCCCGAATCGTTTGATTATCAACAATGTCTTTGGTCTGGAGACTTCAAAGTTAAATTGTGCCAAGCATTCTGAGCAAGTCAATTTAAATCCATAAGGGTATAGGTCACTCGCAAATGGCTAATTAAATTTTATCAGGTCGGCGCGCTCCGCCTCACCGCGCCGGAGAGCACCGGGCTAACGGCCTCCCACGGCGAGCCGGGTGCTATGCTGACCTACCTAAATCTGTTTGCAGATGAACATTTCATTCCCAGATTTGGCCAACAAAATTGGATTATAGTGTCAACTCACATTGATGTAATCCACTTCATCGCAGTCGCCTCCCTTCTCGTATTGCAGCACGTCCAGTGTGCTGCGGCGTTGTCGCGGCAACGGGATGGGCTGCCCCTGGGAGTCCTCCCGTTCCATCTCGAACTCCGTAAACTTGATCACGATGATCCGGCCGGGATCGGCAAGGATGCGGTAGTGGGCGCTGGTGTCCGGCGGGTAGACAAGCGGGTAGCCCGGCGAGGTGATCGTACCCTCGGGTTCCGTGAAAATCTGGCTACCTTCTACAAAGAAAAAACACCAAAAGAAACTGAACGAATCAAGGTAAGCCATGTAGAGCTGGTCTCAAAGTGCACAGAAGTCTATTCAACTGATTTAAAATAGCTTTTCACTGGATGTCTTTTCATGCATCAGTCTTCGCACTGGACCAAATTAACCCTAACCCTGCCAGACGCAACACAGTGAGTGCATCAGGTGGAAAAGTCTGGTGCACTTTGATGCATTCAGCTGCAAACACCAGTGCGTAAACGGCCACTTCTGAGACAATGAGAGCCAGTCCCATAGAACAATGCCACAGTTGTATTCTGCTGCGTGCGGTGACCACAGACTCTGAGGCAGTTTGGCGTTGAGACTTTTTGCCTGATGGATCTTGCTACACTGAGCAGGCTTGTCACTTAGTCAAGTGTTGCATGTTGCTACGTTTGGCAGGGTTCTAGCAAACATACCCTGGAGGGTTAGGGTTAGGGTTAAGCCCATTCATGGGTGTTAAAGGGTAATCCTATACGATAACACTGCCCGGCTCACAAATTGTTTTCAGTCAGTCATTGATTCAGTCAGTCAGTCAGGTACAGAGAGGACCACAGGCAGGCCCTCTGGGACCACCAAAAGATTAACTTCTTGAAGAACTGGGCACATCGGATTGGCCAAGTGTCAGGCTTTGTTGGTTTTTTTTTTTTTGCTATTTGTTTGCTAACATTGATTATACAATTATGCCTGATTGGAATCCTGTGACCGTGTGCATCGTTAAAGGCATACAGGATCATTTGCTTTTCATGCATTTTGTTCGTTTTCCAATAATAACATCACTCAAGATCTAAAGAAGAATGTTCAAAACCTAATGTGTTGAAGTTTCAGCTCAGTGGATATTACACTTTTGAAGAAAATAGTGAAAAACCATGCACAACCTTTTGACCGCGAAACACGATTTTGTAAATACAGTCGAGTCTCGTTATAACAAACTCGTTCAGACCTAGCCAAATTGTTTTTTATATCACAATTTTGTATTAAGAGGAATATCAGTCCCATTCATTGTGCACATAAATGCACAGTCGGGACCACGGCTTTATGTTTGTTATAACCAGAATTTTGTATTAACAGAGTTTGTACTAACGAGAGTCAACTGTAGCCCTCTTTATTCAAAAATCTGTCAATTGACTGATTTTTGGAAATCACCTACATTTCTTAGCCTTGACCAAGTCTGTCAAGCCAAGCTTTCTCCCTGAACAAACAGTCCGGCAGTTGTTTTACCCTACTTGTCACGGTACACGTACGCCACGCGCAGCTCCCTGGCTAGCCTTGGTCAAGGCGCTAGTTGTTATTCATCCGGCCGTAACGCGGTAAACGATATCTTCCCTAGGGCTATGCATGCAGTCTTATGTCTATGCATGCAGTGCATTAAAAATACAGCGCGAACAGCGACCTCACGCAGCCACTATTTTTATGCAAATCAGTTGGACCCAATCTAGCGCCTTGGTTCAATCGTCCATGTGAGGTTTTGGGGGTGGTGCTCATTATGTTAATAGCCTTAGCTGACCTTAAATGTCGTTTTCTTATTGGTCGATCGTTGCGTGGAAACTTGCATAGTGAAACGCGCACCGTACATAATCCATACACGTACACGTTGTGTGTCTCTGCACACGGCACCAATGCACAAAAACTGTGGTTCCTGTCACATCCGCAAAAGGTGAATAGCTGCAAATAATTTGATGACGTCCGGATTTACCAAGGTGTGATTGGACACTCCACATATTAGCCCCGCCTACACTTATCTGTATTCGCATACGAGGTCGTGCGCTAGAAATCCAGCGCAAAATAAAGAAAAACATAAGCTTTTGCCGACGATTGAACCAAGGCGCTAGATTGGGTCCAACTGATTTGCATAGAAATGGTGGCCGCGTGAGGACGCTGTTCGCGCTGTACTTAGCACCGCATGCATAGCGCTAGCGAGGATATCGTTTACCGCGCTACGGCCGGGATAAATAACAACTAGCGCCTTGATTAAGGCTACCCCCTGGCTAGGCTAGTTCCTCTTTGCCTGTGCAATGCCCCAGACACAAATACAAATCAGCACTGTACATGGACGTACAGTATATACAGTAACCATGCCGTGGGAGTCACGCAGAAGACAGCCCTGATGCAACGGTACCGGTATATGCTCATTATGATAATAAGCATGCGCTATGGTAAATAGTCTTCTCTCATTGGATAATGGTGACAATATAATGAATATTCATCACTGCTGCACGATGCAGTCGAAGGTCAATAAACTTTGTACACGTGCGTGTGGTTTGTTTTGTTTGGGTCAAAGTGCAAAGGCTCTGATTGGCTATCGTCTAGAATATGTGCATCAGAAATTTTCGGCCAATATCGGCCGAGAATGAGAAGAAACACGTAAGGAATTGGAAATGGTTGCGTCAAGGCTGACATTTCTTGATTTTTCTCTGAATGACAGCAAGCCAGACGGAATAATTTCTCAGGGTGTTTTTGATAATTCGGTAGGTTAAAGAGGTTGTGGAATGCTCGAAGACATTTCCGTCATTTTTCGGGTATATGTAGCCTAAGGTGTGATGAAATAAAAACGACTATTGTTTCTGTCATGAAATGAGTACAAAGGGTACTTTTGAGAGCTATTTTTCAGGTCCTGTTTCGACCCGAACGTGCAATTTGTGTAAAAGTCGTCGTTGCGGGCAGCAAACAAAACACAGTAAATCGTGACGTAATAAACAGGACTCGTTTATGCTACTCTGCATCGGGAGTCCTGTTTATAACGTCACGATACACTGTGTTTGGTTTGCTGCCCGCAACGACGACTTTTACACAAATTGCACCTTCGGGTCGAAACAGGCATGACAGGACTTGAAAAACAGCTCTCAAAAGTACCTTTTGTACTCATTTTATGACAGAAACAATAGACGTTTTTATTTCATCACACCTAAGGCTACATATACCCGAAAAATGACGGAAATGTCTTCGAGCATTCCACAACCTCTTTAATTTTGGGATCAAGACAAATAAGCCAATATGCCTTAAACAAGCCCTTACTTGGCGCTCGATCTTCGGACTCATACAGTATGGCGAACCCTTTGTACGGGTCGTAAGCATTGGAATGAAAGACGAGTCGGACTTCGTTGGAATCCGAGGTCCACAAAGCATCGCCCAGCGTACCGCAAAACTTCTGCTGACGTCGACTGTACATGTCTTCAATCTGACAACCCAAAACAAAAAATAACTAAAGTAATTTCTGAAGTAACTAAAGTAATTTCTGAGGAAGTTGTTTCAAATTCTGCAACAAAAAGCCGCTAGATGGAGCCAACTGCAAATAAACTTTTCTAGCAAAACGTCCACAGAAATTTCTTGTCCGGCACTTACAAAGAATTATAAGCAACAGTAATTGGTTCCTTCAAGCTTTTACATGGAACAAGTGGGGCCAAGAAAGAACATGCAAAGTACCTTTTTGATGATTTTCTGCCTGAAATAATTAAATGGGTTTAAAGGGAATATACAACATTTGCAAACATCGAAAAATAAAACTACCAAGTTTTTACGAAATACCTTACTAGGATGTTGGTAAATGACAGTCTCAAGCATCTTGTAAAATTATGGCACCTGGTGTGAAGTCATTTTCAAGAAAATGGTATTTTTGTATACATTTCCAACGGTGGTCGGCCGACCAGCGTTGGAAAAACCTAACTATTTTTCAAATACTGCTCCAAATTTACCATTTTTTCCAGTCCAAATTGTGTTTGCTATTGGTTACATGTTCATGAACGGGTGCAGGCCAGCTAGACTGGTTCCCTTGCCTTACAATTTTCCATCATCTATAAATTGATCTATTTTATCTTTTGTGGAGTCAGGGAACCAGACTACTTGAACATTTTTGTTTTTCTTGGTTTTTCCAACGTTTTCGAACACAAAACTTCAAAAATGTCATTGTAACAATATTTGATCTATTATTCTAACCCCTCAAATAGTTCATTTCTGAAAATTACAGCGAAAGCCAATGATGTACATTCCCTTTAATCGTTTCATTTTTATATTCCTTACGCTACTTAAATAGATATGACATACATATGGAGGTCTTTGGCACTCAACCACGTCTTAAAAATTGAATTGAACATGAATAAAACTGCCACAAACTGCTGACTGACTGGATTAACCTGAAATATACAAATCAGCAAAATTATACGGCCTAACTCTTCGATCCTAACAGAATCTTAAAATATTAAATATTAAATTAAAGTTTACCACGAGATAGTCCAGATCACAATCAGGACTGGGCTCCAGTTGGAATTCTAGCAGGGTCAGGGCAATGGCGTGTAGCGGGTCTGCATGCAGCACGTACTCACAATGGAGACCGTTGCCGTATTTGTTGGGGTGGCCGGGCGATCGGACGTAACCCTTACCGACTTCGGACAGGTCCCTGCGCTCAAAACAAGCTAGGGGCAAGGACACAGCAGTGATGTGGTCAAGTCAATCACAAGTCTTAACAAGTCATAACAAGTCCCAAGAATGCATCATTAGTCAATAACAAGTCATTACAAGTCAACAAGTCAATAACTAGTCAATCACAAGTCATAACAAGTCCCAAGAATGCATCATCAGTCAATCACAAGTCATCACAAGTCATCACAATTAGTCAATCACAAGTCAATCACAAGTCAATCACAAGTCATCACAAGTCATTCACAAGTCATTCACAAGTCAATCACAAGTCAATCACAAGTCAATCACAAGTCAATCACAAGTCATCACAAGTCATCACAAGTCATCACAAGTCAATCACAAGTCAATCACAAGGCAATAACAAGTCATCACAAGTCAATCACAAGTCAATCACAAGTCAATCACAAGTCAATCACAAGTCATCACAAGTCAATCACAAGTCATCACAAGTCATCACAAGTCATCACAAGTCCATAACATGTCATCACAAGTCATCACAAGTCCATAAAAAGTCAATCACAAGTCCTAACAAGTGGAAGAATTCCATACATGGACATCCCTAAATTTTCCCTGCAGTGACCTATTAGCCATCAGAAAGCGAGAACATGCCCTAAAAAGTCAAATTTAGCAGGGAAAAGATTGAAGCTTTCACTGAGAAAACACTTGGAACTTTTCAGACCAGTCTGATAGGGTTTATGCACAGGGTGTCAAGTGATGTCCAGGTATGGCATTCTTTCCATTACAAGTCCTATCATACAAGTTAATCACAAGTCTATGAAAAGTCATCACAAATCAATCACAAGTCATCACAAGTCTATGAAAAGTCATCACAAGTCAATCACACAATTCATCGCAAGTCAATCACAAGTCATCACAAATTATCGTAAGTTAATCACAAGTTATCGCAAGTCAATCAGAAGTCATTGCAAGTCAATCACACAAGTCAATCACACAAGTCAATCACAGTTCATCACAAGTCAATCACAAATTCGCCAGGCCCAAGTCACGTCACAAGCTATTCAAACAAACTGTGACGGAGGCACTTCCTTGTTGATTTGTGTAGCCCTTGTAGTTGTGTTCAGACTTGTGAATGTTTTTGTGACTTGACTTGGGACGGACTTACAGGTATAATGAACTTCACTTCAAAACTGAGAAACAGAATTAAGGGAATAAATGTGTGCTTTGGAGGTTTTAATCACTCTGTTTATTAAGACCGCTTGGAGTCTGGGTGCTGATAATTACCCGAGCCGAAGGTCAAAAAAATCAAACCTATTCGGTCAAAAACCCCGATTTTGTTCAACAAGTTCACTTCATGTTTTTTGAAACACCCTCTAGCTAAATAATGGAGTGTCCAGCTCACGAATAACATGTAAACAAGTCTTTTTATGGAGATTGGCGCGCGTGACGCGTGTACTGCGCGATGTTGCACAGAATGCACCTGGGGCGTTGCGTTGTGAATTTACGACTATAAAATACCTTCTCACTGGTAGTATTGCGCATGCCTACGTGAGGATTGTGAACGTTCAACCAATACAACGGTAAGAGGCACTGGATTTTTAGGAGTCCAATTTCATGTGACACTGGAAAAGTGTTTAAGACCAGCTAGCCATGCCTTTATCTGTTTAAGACCGGCCAAGTGACAGGCTCTCGACCAATAGAAATGAGTGAACTGTCTTAGGTATTTATGAATAGGTTTTAATGCCAACTGTATTCAAATGGAAACTCATTTTCAAGGTTTTTCCTGATTCTCAGAGTGGCTGACTCTCTGAGACTCAGTGGCCCTATAAAAGCTTCCCTACCGGGCTTTGCAGTGATGGCCTCATAGTGTCCCTTGAAGCGGTTGAAGAGATGCGAGGATTCTGTGACAAACTCCAGCAGCACCGAGTTGGAGTCAGACAGCCAGCTGAAGGTCTGCTTGGTGCCACAGTACGTGTTGGAACGTCCATTTTGCTCCTGGTCGGTAATCTTAATACACAGCGAAATAAACCAACCAAATAGGTAGAATAATTTTACACTTTTGGTTGCCCTGACTTTCCTAATTTCCTGTAAGCCCGAGTTAAGGCCAAAAAAAAATAATATTCAGTCTCTGGTCAGACCGAAGTTCCGGAATTGATGCGGCGACGTGTTTTTTTTTTTGTAAGCTTGAATTGTACAGACAAGGTTGGTACTATTTTGCTTTTTTGTGTCCTCATTATACATTGGTGTCCTCAATAATTTGCCTTGGTGCCCTTTATCATTTGCCTTGGTGCGGCAATAGAGGGCGCTGTTGTAGCTTCCGTGTTAATTTGAAGAAGAAAAAAAGGTTGACGCGCAAGATTAAAATCGACGCGCGCGCTGACCAGAGACCGAGGTATTTTTTTTTTGGCCTAATCAGTAACTTATTTTTATCTAGGGACCTTCAACTCCAGAATATTGTGATTTTATTTATGTTATTTATTGATTTATTTATTTCGTGTTATTTTACCAGGGTAGCCCCAGCAGCTGTCAATGAACTGTTCTCCCTGGGGGGCCCAGGATAATGAAACGTACTTCTTACTTCAAATTTCAATCCTGGACACAAAGCCCACTGTGAAGTAATTGTGACCGTCACCGATCCCCAATTCTGAAAATCTGAATCCTCAACACCCACCTGGTGTATGCTGCAGCCGATTTCACGAAACTTGACGCAATGGCATAAGTCCTCTTGCGCCACAATTTACTGCGCAAGTTGAGCAACGTTGCGCGGTGTGAAATGTTCAGTTATGACAATTTCACGAACGTTTCATAGTGCGTTAGTCCGCGACTTGCGCAATAATTTATGGCGTTACTTGCGCTATGATTTTAGGTGGCGTAAGTTGTGGCGTAGCGACTGAAAATGACCTATTTAACCAGCAAATCGTGATCGTTGTAAAGCCTGTTGGTGCACAACTTAAAGGTTGATACAAGACACTCACAGCTTTGTGTTTGAAGTAAATGAATTGCTATTTTACTTGTAACAGAGTTTTTAGAGTTGCCGCACGATTACGAAGAAAGTCATGTTTTTCATGCCCCAGGGTGGGGATTTTGGTCACTCAAATTACATTGTTAACATTGGCGTACTACATGAAAGACAATCACTAGTGAGCCCCACGTATGTATGTCGGGGCATGGTCGGGGATTGTCACTTAAATTTTGCCCGAGGGGTGGGGATTTTGTCACTTCAAAAGTGACAATCCCCACGTCTTGGGGGGGGGGGGGAGGGGGAAACAATTGATAGGCGCATAATTTCAAAATGGCAGGTGGGGTGATTTCAAGACTGTTTTATGAACGAATAAAATCGAACACAAGTAGCCTCAGTAAATGTTGTTATTATCCTCGTCCAAGATGTTTAGATATACATGCATGTATTTAAAACGTTGCGTAGCTACGATATGTTTCTCAAAATCGATCGTCACTTTATTGTGCAGTTGCACAATAAATTTGTTGCATGGCGTAGGTTACGCAGCGTTTCGTGAAATCGGCTGCAGGACCTGCAGAGTTTGGGTAAAACGTAAGCATCCAACAATAAAGAACGGGCAGAAAATCTATGTACAAGGATACAATGTATACCAACTATCTATTCCAAGTATTTTCAAATTTAAGGGATGTGACCGTGAATACAGTCAACGTGCAGAATATGATGGGATGAGATATTATTGGTTTAATTAATAGCAGTCTAAAATTATATTACATTACATTACCAAGTAACTTGGACCCAACTTATCGCCTTTTAACATTCGGACATGGTCTGGCAATAGTGGGGTCCAAGCTAATCATTATATGCCGAGCAACACAATTCTGTCATTGACCCAAAAACCCAACATTGCCCAACAAAAACATCAGATTTCACCCTCAAAATGGCCTCCAAATTACTTGATACGCCACCCAAGGTACAAGTAGACATCGATAATTAAGATGGTTGTACTGAAGTTTATTACGATCCGGATGAAAAGTGAAATTTCCCGTTCAATTCCGAGAGCTCCCCTCGCGATCGTGAACACGTTAAATTTCCGACTCGTGTTTGAATTGCTATGTGGTCTTCATGCCCAGCGTTCATTCGATGGTCCCCGTATCCCGAGTGCGATTCCGTTGCCGATGTCTACTTGTACCTCAGGTGGCGTATTTAGTAATTTGGAGGCCGTTTGAGGGTGAAATCTGATGTTTTTGTTGGGCAATGTTGGGTTTTTGGGTCAATGACAGAATTGTGTTGCTCGGCATATAACCATTAGCTTGGACCCCACTATCGCCAGACCATGTCCGAATGTTAAAAAGGCGATAAGTTGGGTCCAAGTTACTCGGACTATTCCAATACATGCTTTGAAATTTCCATCATACTCCAAGGGCCTGCAGGACATGCCCTGAAAGTCCACCACTATGGGGGGGGGGGGTGGATTTTGATGGAGTTGGGAAGGTTAGAGATTCAATACTCAAGGATCAAAAGGCAGATTTTCTTCATAATAGTACCTGCACTAGCGTACCACACAGGCAAACGGTACTCTCCTCCAAGTCCGAGAAGGCAGCCAAATTCAATCCCTCCAGAACAAACTCCGAGAAACCCAGCAGGACCCGGTTATCAGGGGGTAGGGTGATGAACAACCGGCAGTACCGCGGTATCGAGAACTTGTCCGGGTAATGGGGCGAAGTGATGGTTCCACTTGGGCTGGTGTAGGTCCGTTCACAGGCTACAGAAAATAATAGGACAATTGATTATTCTTTTACATATGGATACAACTGTACTATTACTACTACTAAGTTCTGTGTGTGTCTTCAAGTTCTATGAAAATCTAGTAAATATAACTGGGGAGCTTGAACACTTTCTTCAGTTCTTGTTTTGTTGGCAAATTATCCAAATATAAAAAACCAATGCAGTGGTTATCGTTACGGCAGTCGACCGACTGGTTCCCTGACCTGACAATATTCAATCAATGTCAGGATCTTTGCTCCTTGGAACCAGACTTTCGACCAAACTGTTCTCAGACTTTTACTTTCCCTTTTTCAAATAATCCTCTAAAGCCACGGATTACGAAAAAAACAAAATGAAATCTAGGCCTACTTTAAAAAGTAGGATTTGACAAAAGTAGGCCTAGGCCTAGGCCTATATGAAAGTTGAACCTGTTTAGAATAGTGCGGATTCGATCACGAAACCTTCGGCATGGTAGTCAAGCGGGAAAGATTCCCATATCTGGCCATCACTTGTCACCCTGTGCACAAACCCTATGGGACTGGTCTGAAAATTTTAAGTGTTTTCTCAGTAAAAATTCAAAATTGTCCCTGCTAATTTAGACTTTTTAGAACATATTATCACTTTATATTGATGGCTGATAGGTCATTTAAGGGGAAAATTACTGATGGCCAGATATGGGAATCTTTCCGTCAAGCGAATAAACCAATCGAGCTACCTTAAAAAGCAAATTGGCTGGAACTGGAAAGTGGAAGCTTGCATATGCCTAGGCCTAGATTAGCAATGGTAAATTTGCAATGACGAAATGCATCAGAATCATGATCATTTAAAACTTAAAAGCCAGGCCATAATTACTTCTGAAATCAGAAGGCTTCTCTGCGTCAGAGAGAAGCCTTCTGATTTCAGAAGTAGGCCCTAATTACTTATTAAGAGTTGAAAATCACATGTAATGTGCACCACAAAAGTACACAAGTTGCTCCCTTGCATAAAAAATCATTGAAATCTACAGTAATTTTACAGCATCACTGCATCAGTTACTTTCAAATTTTCCCGGCAGTGACGGAAGTCAGGTTCGTCCTAGCCCGACTGCGTCTGGCCGTACAGTACTATCGCAAGCTCTGTAGTACGGCCAGACGCCCGATGCTTCCAAAAAGACTGAATTTTTTTGGCCGCCGATGTAGCGATTTTGCTACATCTTTCGATCGCGATTATCTTTTCATCCAGGACACAAATTTCCAAAGTTAAGGTTCGTAGTCGTAGAGCAACTCATACCTTTTCGAAAAAACGTTCTTTGGTCTCAATATTTTCATCCATTTGGCCACAAGACGAATTTCAGTCATCAGATTCCACAAATATCGTCCCCCATGCGATCCCCCATGCGATTTCAAAATGGCGGCCGCGCTGTAATGTATGCATTAGGCGAGCGCGCTTGGGCAAGATAATGAATATGCATTATTTAGTTCATGACCTCGTGTTTGTATGGCCAGCCGCGCTGAGTGTCCGACATACGTCATAAACTATGATGCATATTCATTATCTTGCCCAAGCGCGCTCGCCTAATGCATACATTACAGCGCGGCCGCCATTTTGAAATCGCATGGGGGATCGCATGGGGGACGATATTTGTGGAATCTGATGACTGAAATTCGTCTTGTGGCCAGATGGATGAAAATATTGAGACCAAAGAACGTTTTTTTCGAAAAGGTATGAGTTGCTCTACGACTACGAACCTTAACTTTGGAAATTTGTGTCCTGGATGAAAAGATAATCGCGATCGAAAGATGTAGCAAAATCGCTACATCGGCGGCCAAAAAAATTCAGTCTTTTTGGAAGCATCGGGCGTCTGGCCGTACTACAGAGCTTGCGATAGTAGGATGGGTTGCCCTATTATCGCGGTACTTATCACGTTTTTCGTTCGGAATAGAGATTGCCCACTAACCTTCCTGAATTGTCCTGTCTTTTGTGTAGTATAACTCTTCCTTTTTAAAGTAATATAAAAAAATCTGACGGCGGTGCGGTCTATTCCGTGTACGATGCCTGTGAAAATAGACATGCGCGGAGTATGCGAACGGAGGTGGACTCCCTATTATCGCGGTATGTGGGAAGTGGTTTTTATAATGATCCCAACTTTTTTGTTCATAATTAATGTTTGACCAAAACATCCCCTGAATAAAGTCTGATATTTTCCCTGTAACGTTCAAGTTGATTAAGGACTATATTTCTGCAGGATGATTTCTTAAGACCCTGCCCTTCCCCCGAAAGGAGAACACAAATCCCTGAGGCAAGTCTACTGATCGGCGATTGAGGGCGCCATTCACTTTACACGGTGTGCCGTTTTATTTTCGCTAACGCGCGGTGCTTATTTTGATCCCGTAAAAGTTGTTACGATTTCGCGCTGCAAATATCGTCGTTCGACTTCATTTTACATTTGCAGCTGAAGAATGGGAACCAGACAATGGAACTTTCATGGACAGAGCACAATTAAAGATTTATGTTAAAATATAAACGGTACCTTTTAGCAGACACGGTGAGGGAACATTTTGCAAGTTTTGGAAAACGTTAATATTTATTAAAATCGTTAAAAGTCCCGAAAGACACAACATTATTTAATCGTCCTTTTTATACAACTCGGTAGAAAATCCTTGATGACTGGTGAACTGGATAAAAATCGCCACTTGAAGGAGTTTTGACAACGCAAAAAGAGAAATTTCCCATGCCGCGATAATAGGGATGCCGCGATAATAGGGAGTCCGAGTATACTGTACGGCCAGACGCAGTCGGGCTAGGTTCGTCCATGCAAAGCATGCAAAGGCAGCATGCGCGTCTGGCAGGGCGCCACCAAGAGACGATCGACGCACAGTCGAAGACTGCGGCACCGATCCGCCATCCGGGGGCTGGCCGTCGGGCAGCCGCGCCGACACACACCGGCACGTGTTTGCTTTTAACTTATGGCTTCGTAAGTTCACATCAACTTCAATCAAACGTGTGTTTTTGATGCACTGCAGTGCACTGCAGTTGAAAAACAAATTGAAAAAGATTCTCCCCCTAAAGAGCCCTCAATTCTTCCCCCTTGTCTATTTTTAATGACAGATTTTCGACAGGGGCGGATTCGATTTCGCGGTCCCCATCGCTGAACTATATACTTCGGATGATGCTGAGTTTTTTTTTTTGTATTTCCTTTTATTCTGTTCTGTAACTGACCGTCATTCGAATGTTCATGTAAAGCACAACTTTGTTTGCATCTATTTAGGTTTTAAATAACGCAACTAAGTACGCGGTAGATGACTTTTTAAGTTGTTTGAAGTCATGCACTAATTTACTTTAATATTTAGACAGTGTAGTAGATGGCCCTAGTATTTTCATTTTTTATTGTCCCCCCCCCCCCTCTTTTTACTCGGCGGAGCTTTTGGGACATGTTTTCATCGTAGGTCTATTAAAGTTAGGTGAGCAGATTCGCTGATTAATTAGGCAAGACAACCGTCTCTTGACCTCTACATTTTGACCAATCAGCGGGCGCTTTCTATATGGGGTCTTCGGTCATTCACCGCCCGTTGCCTGTCATAGACAATGGATAAAACAAGCCTGTGTCACGCCCTCTGTATCATGTTACGCGATATATGCCCAGCTGTTTACCAATTTACCAATCAAACCATTTCGTCCTGACATAGGAATGAAATGACGTCAACATTTGAGTCGACTCCGATTGGCTGAGGTGCGGCTTGCATATCTGCATGTCTAGACATATCAGACGTTATAGAAGGGACTTGGCTCCGTGGATAATGGGTGCTACTCGGACTATAGTAGGCCAATTTCATAAAAGGAAAAGAGGTACGGCCTTTGCACGGTAAACACAAGGGGAAAAAAAGTTTATCCAAAGTCTCAGAAGAAGAATGCTCAAAGTTAATTATCTAACACTGCGTCAAACGTTTCTGAAATAAAAGCCTGATATAGCATTATTACAGGCCTGATATCGCATTCTCTGCACTGAGCAGTGCCAAATCACGTATGCCTACTCACTGCCACAGGGGAACGTATTGCAGGAGATGACGTCCTTCTCTCGGATGGGAATGCCACTACAGAAGGACTCCAGGGCTGGCTTGGGGATCTGCTCCGTGGTAAAACAATACTTCTGTAGAGTCTGGATACCTGGTGGTTGATGAAAGGATATTGGGATTAGTATTAGGTCGTGCGGCAAAATGGACGCAAGCTATGGCTACGGCTATGTCGGCCTTCCATAAGCCCCGCCCACCTTTGGTCACTGACCAAAAGTCGTGATCTAATTGGTCAATGTGCTTAGTTTGACTGACAGATAGGGAGGGTCCATAGAATAACGCAGTTTGGACGCAGCCTTATCTAAAGGGGAAAACACTCCCTCCAGTTTGGCCAGTGTCTTTAACACGCTTCAATTTTTGACACTGTTGCTAAACTTCATTTTCCCTTATTATTGTCTTCTTAAATTGTGTTTCAATATAGTTTATAAAAACCCGTCGAAACTGACTGTGGGCAGCCAGGAGTGGGAGAGATTCTCAATGGTAACAAAATGGCTTTATCGCGTTTTGGAAATGTCTTCTAACCGGACACCAGTTGGAACATTCATAGAGTTCGCACCGTTCGAGCAAACTTGGGGCCCGGCGGCGGCGCCCGGCGCTGTTTTAGTTGCGGCGAATCACTGCATCAACGCACTAAAATTTTAATCAGCACCACCCACCTTCACCGCACTGCTTTGTACAGGATGAGTATCTGTTCTTCCATTGGTGGGTCTGGCACACGACTTCAGCCTAAAAGAAAAGGCAAAATTGAAGATTTCTTTAAAAAAAAATACGAAAAGAAAAAAAACGCCACAATAGTTAAATTCATCAGGGGGCATCATTATCTGGAGGGATTCCCCAATGGGGGGAGGGGACATGTGTCCCCCCCCGTCCCTCACCGATCGACGCCATGCCCCTCCCCCTCCCCTCCCCGTTCAGGATTTGGGGAAGTCAAAAATTAGCTTTGGATTGTTTCAAACTATGACCGAACCCTTTGTGTGACCTATCATATCGTTTGTCCCCCCCCCCCCCACATTGTTCGTCCCCGAATAAAAATTGTAGGCCTCATTTGTTTCTATAGCTCAGAATATCTGATTCAATGACTCCAAACTCAAAAATGATGTAAATGATGATCAAAACATTCACACTGTAAAAGTGGTCAGAAATTGCCTCAGATCGCACCACAGACCATCTATCCAAAATGTTCCAAACCCCACGCCGTTAGGGCTTCACGCTCGCATTAGTTCTGATCAAGGTATGCCCCCTCCCCCCCCCCCCCCCCCACACACACACACACACACCCATACTTGTTTTACATGACTAGTGTGGACTTTCCATTGCTTTCGTGTAGTTAAGAAAAACCAGTGAAAAAACTCATTTTTCTCAAACTGTGAAAACTCTTTCAACCCAATTTTTTTCTATGATTCCCTTTAGTGTTTCTCTTCATTCTGCTACAGATAAACCTAACCCAAAAATGCCTCTAAACCTGTTTTCCAGAAATGGGGAAACACTGTGTGGACGTGGGGTAAGTCCACACAACGTCGGTGCTACCTACATTATGTGGACGTCTTTTGTTCGGAAGTCCACACTGCGTATGTAAGACAAACTCACCCACCCACACACACACTTTTGAGAAGCGGTTGACTTTCTCGCGTACTTTTGTTGGCAATTGGGCGAGTTCGTATAGGCCTATAATGGTAACAAAATCGGCCCTCTACTATGAGAAAACAGTAAGAGTAAATTGAACACTTTCAAAAAAATATAGCTGTTGTACAAAAAAAATAAATCAAGATTAACTTGTGTGAATATAATAAACTAAGACCTGCACATTGTATTTCAATGTGATTTTGCTCAAACGTTTTTCTGTTAAAATAATTAGGCGTTTATCAACATGTTTTAATCTTAGGTATACGTTTACTCACAGGGTAGAGAAAGACCGAGACAACTGCCACACACAGCCACAGGGTTGGGGAAAGTCCTGCGGGGGAATTCATGATCAGCCCCCGGTAGCTAGCTCCCGATCGGTGCGGTTCCTCGTAAAAAAAATCCAGTGGTCTGGAGGCAGCCCCCACGACGCACGTGTCTATCTATACCAGGATTGGAATCGTCAGGCACGGGCGTGGCTTACTGCGGAATTCTTGACATCTATATTGTCATGCATGAATAATTTAGAACCCGTGCGGAGCGCTTCAATTTTTGACACAGGGGTGGGGCTTTATATTTCACAAAAAAATATGTTTTAGTACATGTCAGCATTTAACAACTTTTTTCCGGCAACATTAATCTTGATCTAAGCCTACTAAAGTTCAGAAATGTGGCTTAATTTTCAGTGACGATTCCAATTTTTGTTGGCACTGGTAGATGTTGCCGTGAAAGAAAATGTGAACAGATACCCCGGGAGTAATGGACTAGTCTATACCATAGAAATCACTTGTTGCCGACATTCCAATTGCAAAAGATGAGGGGGAAAGGAAGTATGAGAAAAGTTCGTTTCACGAAATCAGGATGAACGATTTCTGCTCATAAACAATCCCGAATATGAATGGCATTCTTGAGGGTTATCTCGACCATTTCATCTGTGATGTCATGCCTGCTGGTTGCCGACAGCGGTGTTTTTATCTGCAGCGCACATCGTCAACGGATCATGATTATTCAGCTAGTTTGATGTTTATTCATACGAAAATAACATGGCGTCACATCATTGCTATTACTCTGTAATGCACTAGCGGGATGCCGCGCTTCGCGCGGCACCCGCTAGATGGGTGGAGTTGACTGTTTCGTAATAATTACTGTATACAATGAAATCTCAATAATTTAAACTCCAATAACTCCAAACAACTGTTAAGTTAAATAAAGAATCAGACCCTCTGCTGCACGCGAGCCTATTTGGACTCGCCATCAGTCTCACCTAAGTTGTATTGGCGTTAATTAGCAACGTGCGCGCACATAACGTTTCCTGCGGAGATTGTGCGAGGGTCCGGGTCCAGGACATATTGTCAATATAGGGGAAGGGGCTAGCTAGGGTGAAGGGTGCTAGTTGGAACGCCAAATTTCCGTAAAACCCGTCAACCGTGTCACCAATATTTCCGGGGATGGGGAGAAATATTTCCAGGGATGGGGAGAAATGGTTTTTGTTATAGAGGGGAGATGGTGATATTGAAATCGTTGATATTGTGGAGGTTTATGTTTGTGCTGGGATTCATACCGTTTAAATGTTGTTTTAAATTGCGCGCCAATTAGGAGGTCTTGCTGTCAACAGTTGAATGAAATTAAGTATTTATTGCCGACCGATTGTCTCATGCGATGTCTCATTATATAAAGCTCATAAATAATGTGCTAGAATATTGTCCAGTCAATTTGAACATTGATTTTTCAAGGTGCCAAACCATTAAGGACGTATACACCAACTGTACAAATAGGTAATTTAGATGAAACGCGGTTTGATCTTGGCCTATACAACGTCGTATCCATCGTTCTCACTACAGAGGAGAGAAGGGGGCAGCCAGTGGGGGTGGGGGTTGGATATTGTGTGGGCGTCGCCAGGATTTTTTCTAGAGGGGGCAAAATATATTTTTGCCCAAAAAATGCCTGTTTTTCTCAACACATTCTCGATTTATCAGTTTCAGAGGGGGGCAGGGACATTTTGCCCCCCCCCCCCAACCCATTAAATTCACACCACTATGACTTCGGGCCGCCCTTTTTTTTTTTTTTTGCTTTTCCGGAGTGCCCCCCCTCCCCCCCCCCCCCCCCCCCCCCCTTCGAGACGCCCATGCCTATTTATGTTACACCTGTGAATGGTCACTTATATTTCCGGGGAAGTGGGCAACAATTTATATTTGTTATGGTGAAGGGGGTGTTTCTTATTAAAGTAGAAGTTAATGTCATTATAGCCGTTGGTGTTTTTATTATGGTGATGGGGTTGTACAGCAAAGTATCGTAACACGTTTATTTGCAGAAGAGAGTAAAACTAAAAGAAAGGACATATTGGAGCACTTCATAATTATGTCAAGCACTACATGTAAAATGTATTTATTACAAAACTGTGAAAATGAAATCAGGTATACACACATTTTTTTGTAATAATGTATTTGCATTCATTACTGTACAGGGTAGTACTTCGACAAAACTCAGGGGATATAATTGTAGTCAGTTTTCGGAGCAATTTTTGCAAGGGACGTCGGTCCAGGCTTGTTTACCATAGGCACGAACATTCCATGAAAGACTTTCAAGCAAGACGGCCAAAGGTTATTATGCAAATGCAGTTTTTTGTGTTAAAAGCTGTAATCATAAATAATGACAGTGGCATTGTAAGTTACAGGACAACATTCTTTTAATGAGTGTTGGTGAAAACTCATGAGAAATGGAGGGGTATGCGAGTATGAATATTTCGTTGTGAAATTTTAAGAGTGATTATGTAATTTGGTAATCAAAGATATTGTTTTGTTATCAAATAAGTTTGCCAGGATCGACACAGTCTGCTTGGCCAGTAATTATCGGGTAATCATTCCATCATTATTCCTGGGTACAACTAAGCCAAGGATATAATTTTTTAAAAAGGATGGACATAAAACAGCAGATAAGAGTGATTTATGTCATGACTTCTAAAAATAAAATTATGGCTAGAAGGAAAATGTGTTTTGAATGGGTAAAGAGAAAAAGCAGGAATCTTGCAGTTGAACTGGAAAGAATAGGTGTGTCACGTCTTCGTCTTGAGTTGAGATTCTTGCTTTGGGAACTGGTTGAAGCATGCACTGGAGCATGCTTGGAGCATGGTTGGAGCTGGTCATGTGATGTGGGTGTCATCGGGAGTCCTGTGTAAAGGAGTTAGAAAGAAAAGAATAACGACTAAGGTGAAGAAAACTTGTAAAAAAAATACATCGGCTAACAATAGCTACAAATAAATTAGACAGGTGTTGCAATACCCCATTTATGCGGAATGCACTACTGAAGTACTAACCAAACATGCCAAACAACGAAACATGTCTTATATGTTGTATTTTTGTGACCCCCCCCCCCCCCCCCCCCCACACATGAGTTTATCTCAGCAGAACAGCAGAGACACTGAACAGTCATCAATGTATTAGTTTCCTCTTTATCCTGCTTGGGTTCATGTCTGTTGTCGAGTCATGTGATTTTCTGCCAGAGTGTATTCTCTAAGATCCACTATTCTAACTGTGTTGGTTTCACTTTCAGGTTTTAGTCTTTGCCTGTATTTTTTGGTTTTTGGCCTGAGGTTTGAACTTGATCACGTCTTTAATTTTGATTTGAGGGTTTCTTTATTAAGTTGGTTATTGGTCTTTGATTTGCAGTAAATTAATTTTGTTTTGCCTATGAGTATGAAAGTCATTTCTTTAAAGGAAGTTTTTAGTATGATTTGCCGTGTTCTAAGATTACCACAAAGATTTAGTTTGCATCATTTGTATGGAATGAATGTACATTTCATGGCCTATATACAAATGCAGCAGTTTTCTTCTAGCTAGTAGGCCAAAAGTTGGCAAAGTTCTACAAACATGTTCGGGTACATGTTCCAAGTGAGGCCTGTATTTACAGAGGTCATGCAGTAAATTGGCCACATTAAGCCTAGCTAAGTAAACCCACGGCCAAACTCTCGATGTCCGAGGCCTCCCCGGGCCCCCGGTACGTACAACCCTCCCCGTACAACCCTCCCCGTACTACCACCAGACTACGCCATCATTGGACACTCACAAACTCACACTTTTCACAAACAACAATGCTTCTCATTGCCAGTGGCGTTCGAAAGAATACCACTGTTCACAAACAACAATATATATCATAAATGAGACTTACCGTTCAAAGAGAAAACTGGAGCAAGGAACAGATACATCGACCATGTCAACGACGCTGTGCTGAAGAAATGTGGGGCAAGTTGCATGCGCTGCATGCTCATAACGAACGTATACGTGGCACGTCAATTATCCGGCCCATACGCTGCATGCTCTCATAACGAACATATACGTACGACGTGGCCACACGCAAGATGGCCGGCGCGGCCGGCGCGGCGCGGCCGGCGCGGCCGGCCGGCTCAATGGGGAAGGGAATTATGGGAAATAGGGGTGGAAATAGCCGGGCCCCGTTCCGCATCCCCCGCAGCCAACAGACGCGATGGGGACAGGAGACCGGTCGGAAAAAATGGCAGCGCCCCCGAATCATTTTCGTGATTGTAGTATAGATGTACATTAAAGCATTTCAAAGAACGGCTTTCGTCGAGCTGCCTAGGTGCAATCCTGCATTGAAATTCCCATAGACACTAGTGCTAAATGTCCATACTTCAAAATTCTTTTTAAAAAAATACTCAGAACTTTCACAGGCATTTTTGCACAGTAAAATGATGATCAACATGTCATCTTTCATTATTATTTTTTATTTTTGTTGGGTTGACCATTGAATTTTCGAGATATTCTCACCCAAAGAAGACGACCCCTATTTTTCCCCAAAGTGGAAAAGTAGCCATCTCGAAAAACGATCTCTCCACAACATGGCAAAATAGCGCCACTTTCGCGCCCAATTACATCCAAAATGCTCAGAATTGGAAGCCCCAAGTCCGGGCCAGAGGTTCATTGCCATATCTGGCGATAAAACCTCAGTTTAAAAGTTAAAAATATTATACAAAGTCCTTTTGAAGGCCCGTCTTTTTTTTTTAATGGATTTTATAAATCATATTGTTTGCATAACCAGGGTTGTTTATAAAGATGTTGTGTACTACAGTTGTTGAAACAAGTATTCTGTGTCATTTTCTTTGTTGTTCCAAGCAGTCAAAACACACGAGAAATTTGTGGGTTTTTTTGACGAGACAGGTTTTAGGGTCATTGCGTTTAAATGGAGATATTTTTTGAACGGATTGAGCAATTTCAGTAATTTCTTTTAATATAAGAGTAGCTTATGAAATTGGCTTTCCAGTCATTATTATTTTGGTGCTACATATTTTTTTCAATATGAAATATATTTTGGGGGTTTGGGTTCCGCTTTTTTGACTCACCCTGTACAATGAAAGTCGGCAACTCAACTTGCCATTTTGGTATATTTTGTATATAAACGTGTGACATGCTCTGAACTTTTGTATGCTGATGGGACGGGGGGTATTTATAATAAGTCTAATATTTAAGCAACTACAAGTACATTGTACGACGATATTTTGAGCCTGAACGGAGTTTAGTGTTCAAACGGTTACTCCAAATATTACAACTGGATTTTTTTCCTACACATGTTGCCATCATTGTTTTAAACAGTGGCAGGCTCAATTAGTTTACTTTCTAAAAAAAAAAAATCGGACCAGAATTTAAACATAAATTGAACAATAATAACGGGTTCTTATACACAACCAGTTCATCCATTTCTTTATTATGCAACAACCAATTCATCAACTTCTAGATGTTTGTTTCTTTTAATTTCTATATACATATATTTCGGAATAGAATATACTTGATAAAAAGTACTTGAAAATATAAATGTCATACAAAACCGAAGCTCACACCTCTTATTCGTTTTAACTGAATTCGGAAACAAAACAAAGTGAGCTGAAAATATTACAGTATCAAAAAGTAAGACGGTTTTCTTTTTTGGATATCTCCGATGTTTAACGTATTAAAAAAAAAGCACGAAAGTCTGTAGCGAGCCAATATGGCCGATCAGGCCGAGGTTTATCTCCGGTTTCAGCGGCATGATGAACCGATTGACAATACAGGGCGAGTAAAAAAAACACGAAACCCAAATGTCGGGACTACTGTTTTAGTGAAGTTCTTCATGTACCACTTTGAAAATCTAGGATATGAAAGCCCAATTCATAAGCTTTCTTTTAATACAAGCATCATTCAAATCACTTGTGTACTTTTCAGGTTACGGAGTTTTAAACACAATCACCGTTTTAAAGTTCTGTTCACAGATCACCAAAAAGGTGCGCGTGCTTTCAGAAAAACGAAAACAATTCGCACACATCCCATGCGATTTGTTTTCGTACGGTTTCGCTGAAAGAACACTGAACTTTTTTTGTGATCCGTGGACAAAACCTTAAAACAGCGGTTGTGTTTAAAAATCCGTAACTTGAAAAGTACATGAGTGATTTAAATGATTCTTGTACTAAAAGAAAGCTTATGAATTGGGCTTTCATATCCTTGATTTCGAAAGTGTTACATGCAGAACTTTACTAAAACAATGGTCCAGACATTTGGGTTTCGTTTTTTTTTTTGACTCACCCTGTAGTTTGTTTTTATGGGATGCCAGTCTGTCGTAGGTTACTCCACAGCTACAGCTGGTGCCTATTTATGCTCCTAGTGGGGTGAAGTGGCTTGCCCAAGGACACAACATAATTATGACCAGCAGCTGGATTCGAGCCCCTGCCCCTCGGAGTCACGAACTCTATAACCACTAGGCCACACTCCACAAAGTTCAAAGAAGCATACCATAATGCCAATATCATGTTGCGGGCAGTTGGATTTTTCCCATTCAAATCAACGTGACCAAAGCGAGGCTGGAAGGAACAATAGTCGGGTTCCTTTTTGCACAAAAACATTATCATTCACTATTGTTATTGGATACAGGGACCATGACTGAAATGGTGACAGCATGATAAGGTCTATACGACAAATTTTGAGCAGGGACAGTGTGGGGATAGTGTATGTACCATTAAACAAAACAAAAATAAGTAACCAGCTCCTTTAAAAGAATAAAATAGCTATACTTCGCATGTTAAGCCCGGTTCATAGGGGCGTGAAAGTGAGAGCGAACGCGAATTTGTGACGTCATGGCAAGTATTCGCGCTGCGAATTCGTAAAATTCGAACATAATCAACTCGGGCGAATTTCGCAGCGAATGTTTCACGACGTCAAATTCGCTTCGTATTCGCATGAAGTAGGAACCGGGCTTTATGCCGTTTAAAATGAACGATGTGCCTCACAGAATGTGCAGGAGCCACGTATATATTCCACATCTCTCTATCTACCATACACTACAAATACGTACCGTTATCTGGTCAAAAGCAACCAAAGAATACCCCCGCAAGTAATATCAGTTTGTAAAATCCAGCGACACGAGATTCCATAAAAAAATTCAACAATATACATACCCTGTAAATAGTACTTCTAGTATTATCGACCCCCAAAAGCATACCAAAACACGCACGTCGCCGGTTTCCGATTTGTGACAAAACAACGGCATCCCCTTCCCCCCTGGAAAAACTGACTTTATAAAGCCCTCTTTTGCAGGCACTCTTGCGATTGATAATGCGTTTACGAGTCAAAGACTCGCCGTAGTTACGAACAGTTTAAGAAGCCTACATCTGACTTTCGTAAGGCCAAAAAAGGTCTCCGGTTTCTGGCGTGCTCACGCGTCGCCGTAGCAAAATTTAAAAAAAAAATTCAATTTCAGGTGATGTCTCAAAACTAGATTTAGTCGGGCACCATATGCAGTAATCAGCCGACATTTTAAGGGGAAAAAACGGTTTAAAAAAAGCCGCGTCGCCGCACCACTTTTGGGGCAAGCTCCATACCAGACACCGAAGACTTTTTTTAGCCTAAATGATCACTTTACAGTAAGTCTCTTCATATGTTTTTTTTTCGAGGAAAACATGTTTAAAATGATTACAATATGTTCGTAGACGATTTTAAGTAACAAACAATTTGTGCAAATAACCAGCAAATTCAAACCATAAGGATAAAAATCAAAGACCCAGCCGTTACACAAAAAAGGTAAGTTCTCCATCCGCTCCACATTAGGGCGTGTTCAGCTTGTTTCCCACGGCCTGATTATACCTGCAACAATACATAAAAGTCAAGATCAATAAAAGCACAGAGGATCGTTTGCTCTTCATGCATTTTGTTCGTTTCCAGTAATAACACCACTCAACATCCAACGAAGAATTAAAGCCTAACCTGTTGAAGTTTCAGCTCAGTGGATGTTACGCTTTTCGAGAAAACAGTGGAAACCATGCACAACTTTTTGATCACGAAGACGATTTCGTTTTAATAGAACGCTTTCCATATTCAGTCAATTGGCCTTTTGATAACAATTTGAAAGGTTACTTTTGGGACAATGGTCATAATTATGTGTCCTTTTAGGTCGGATCCAAATTTCACGGAGTTTCGGACAATTTCAAGAAGACTCCATTTGCTTATATCAAAATACAGCTTGGAACCCGTCTAGCATTACAAGACGCATGATATTTGCGTCGCTGGTATTTTCTTGGCTTCGCAAGTATCTCTGCTAATAGAAGGTAAACACTATTAACAAGGTTAATATTATTACATGAGGGAAATATACTGGACTAGTGTCTCAGGCAATAAAAGACGCACGCTATTTGAGCCGCTGGTCACTTTGATTCGCAAGTATCTGGGCATAGCAGGTACATATTGCACGAGGTTAATATTATTACCGAAGTTTTGTTATCTATAGTCTCCAATTATCTATAGCTAAAGCTGTTCGAAAAAAAATGTCTCTCGATACTTACATACAACGATGACAGCAATTATTAGCAGAACAACAATGACGCCGATGACTTTATACTGAAAGTATGAAATTGAGACCAACGAATTATACACTAAATTACGAGTCACACCAACAGTCACACTAATAGCGACACACCCAAGTGTGTATACACCTGTTATCGTGGACCCCCTATTGTCCTTCTTTTGTTTATACTTATTGGTTTTGTACACGAATCCAAATCGTGGACCTTCAGTCAATCGTTTAAGGTCCACGATTTCAATGCGTATACAAACTCAAGACCAACACACACAAACACACAGCCTTATATACTTTCTGTGGACATTCCTTTGTATTCGTGCAGTTAAGAAAACCCAGAGAATAAAATCATTTTACTCCCACTGTGAATACTCTTTCAACCCAATTGTTTGTATCATGATTTCCTTGAGTGTTGCTCTTCATTTTGCGACGGATAAACATAAACCCAAAATGCCTCTAAACCTGTTTTCGGGGGGGGGGGGGGGGGGGCTAGAGTGGACGTGTGCAAGTCCACAAAGCGTTCACGCTTCCTGCATCCTATTATGTACCTCTACTGTTCACAGATCCACAAAGAGTATGGAAGGTTAGATCACAAGGGTAATTGAATGAAAATCTAAGACTATCGAGGAGGAACTGAACATTTGACAATGATAATTTCATATCTTACATCAAATCAAAGAGTGTTGTTAAGGGGCCGGAGGGGCTGGGAAATTGAAGAGATTACTCACCAATCTGTTCTTCCATTTATAATGTGCTTTGATCTGTTTTGACGTTGTCTTAAATGACGAAGCCTGTGCCATCAGATCATCTGTTGGAGAAAAGTTAAAAGAACAAAAAAGCAATCAGTTGTATAAGAATTTGTATTTTTTTTTTAAAGGGCATTACACCTGGTGACCGTCGTCACGCGTCTTGTGTAGTCTTCTCACAAATTTGCGCATTTGAAACTATAATTGACCGCCCCATGAATGACGCTTTGACCAATCACAGCCGTGATTTATGTCCGACATGCGTGTACAAAAATCCGACATGCGTGCATGTGCGTATGACGTGCACAGTTGGAACATTTGATTCTATACCTATGGGTGTGGCATCGAAGAGGGGTACCTGTTGTTGCTCACGTGCGCGCATTGGGCGTGGTTTAGTGGCTCATTTGTTGTACTGCGCATGCCCTTGGTAAAGATAAATTAGGACAATGACGGGTCACGTGTTAGGGTTCTAAGTAGAGTCCAAGGTATATTATAAAGGAGACACGCTTTTGTGTAGAGGTCCACAATTTCATGACACCGGCCGTAGCCAAGAAGTGATCCACTAATAAGCACCGCCCCGTGATGTTTCGACCAATCATATCCTTGTAAAGCTATAGTCCATCATTTGTAATTTGTGCATTTTGTTCGTTTGAAGCAACAAAAGGGTTCAAAATCTAATGAAGGATACTGAACAACTAACCTGATGAAGTTTCAGCTAAGCTTCAGCTGTACATTCCGAGAAAAACAGCATTCTAAGATCTCAATTTCAAATCAAAAGTTACTGAATCATGTTTTGAATTGTTTTGAATTGCAGCTATACGCGACGTAGCGCACTGATCCGACGAATTATAACAACCGCGCGCGCGTGTGCGTCGTTCCAATACTTGTGCGCGCTGCGCTGAATAACAAAACGAACTACTAATTTAAATTTTCCTACGGTGCTTCTTAAGAATCACCGTTGGAAATGCCTTCTTTCGTTGATTACTTCAAAATGACAGCTTCCCAGAAGGAATAATTTCACAGGGAGTTTAGTTCCCTTACTATCTTTCAACCAAGTTTGTTTTTCAACAATAATTACGCCAGTTACTTTTCGGATGGCTGCAAAATGATGGACTATAGCTTTAATACCTGTCGTCTGTCGAGCGTGCACTTGCATAATGACGCGCGCGTCTAAAACACTGTGTGGCACTGATTGCTACACATGCTGTTGCCCACGTGAGCAGTGGGCGGGGCCAAATTGAACGGTCTGGTATAAGAATTATTACAAACGTGCGGACTTGGAACCCACCAGAATGGTCCATCAGGTCGTCCAGCTTTTCGCCCCGTTCCAGGAGTTTGTCCACATTCGTGTGTAAGATGACCGCCACCTCGTCCACCTCGGCTTGCAGCTTCTGCACGCGCTTGCTCTTGGCGCGAGTCGATGCGGGGTCCGAGTCCAGTTGAGCATCGTCTCTGGGATAGGTCCTCGACCGGCTCCTGTTTGTGTGCATCAAGAGCTCACGGTTAGAAATAACACACAAATACGTAACAACTAAGTAACACTAAAAAGGGATAGGGGTAGAAATACAGGGTGAGTAAACAAAACAAAAACGAAAATGTCGGGACTATTATTATTGAAGTTCTTCATGTAGCACTTTGACAATCTAGGATATGAAAGCCCAATTCATAAGCTTTCTTTTAGTACAAAAATCATTCAAATCACTCATGTACTTTTCAACTTACGGAATTTTAAACACAACCACCGTTTTAAAGTTCTGTCCACGGATCACAAAAAAAGGTGCGCGTTCTTTCAGCAAAACGAAAACAATTCACACACATCATGGGCGTCGCGAGGGGGGGGGCACTTGCCCCCTCCCCTGGAAAAAGCAAAAAGAAAAAAGAAAAAAGGAAGAAAAAAAAAAAAAAGAGGCGCAAATTTAAGTGGTGTAAATTTAATGAGTGGGGGGGGGGCAAAATGTCCCTGCCCCCCTCTAAAGCTGATAAATCGAGAATGTGTTGAGAAATACAAGCATTTTTTTGGCCAAAAGAAATGTTTGCCCCCCTCTAGAAAAAATCCTGGCGACGCCCATGAATAAGGTTTATGAATTGGGCTTTCATATCCCACATTTTGTAACTAGGCCTATATCCATTTGATTATATCCATTATATCCATTCCCCTTGTGAATGCATTTGGGTACAAATTGAGTGGCTTTCAGTCTCGTAATTTATCAGGCTGTGTCATTCAAAAAACTTTGGATAATTTTGATTCATTTGTTATTATGGTTGGACATATTTATGAGAAAATAATACACTGGGATAATATGGTACAACTTGACAAGTGGTATGGGAGCAATAATGTGGACATTGGACATAGAGTGCATAAGCCACTCCTAACTCGTGGAACAACCCCCATCGGAGTTCCATAATGTGCTTTACCTATTCGGTGAATAGCACAAAATACACAGGGTTAAAATGTATTATGAAAGTTCGCTCGTACCCCCCGCTCTGTAAACAGGACGCTGGGATACTCTGATGAATTCACGCTCTGATTGACCATAGACCTGCGCGTCATCAAGGTCATGACTCTGCAAGGTTTGAAACGGCCGTTAAGACTGATTCAGTACTTTTTTATTCCAGTTTAGAGATATCTTTTTCTCGTTGAAAAGCGTAATAATGTAGGAAATTCTGTAAAACTTATCTGTGTTGTAAATTTACAATTCCCGTCACTTGCTCAGGCTCCGTTTCGAATCACGAACGGTCGGATTGCATCATGCGACGCTCAAAATTTTGTCTACATGGTCCGCAATGAAACAGAAATCACATTCGGTATGCAATGTGCGCATTTCTATGGGAAGTTTTCGGATAGCATTTTGCGCACATTGTCTAACTGCGGTCTTGAATAGCAGCAGCCAGATGCTTTATACATAGGTCATAGGCCACTTCCTTCACAAGATTCTGTGAAGCTCATCAGTATCCCAGCGTCCTGTTTGCAGGGCGGGGGGTACGAGCGAATTAAGAAAGTTGTTATTGAAAAATACCATGGAGCAATTTGGAATCTTTTGAGAAATGATGAAACCATACATGGGGAAAAAAAACATACAATTTCCCATGGGAAAAAGCCAATGGGAAAACTCCCATGGGAAAAATCCCATGCTTCATGGTGTACGTCCAATTCACCATGCAGTTCCCATGGGGTCCCATGGGAAAATTTCGCATGGGAACAACATATGGGAGATTTCTGTAAGGGCCGGTATTGTACCACCATGGTGGTGCCATGGGGTTACAATAGCTGCCCACGGTGTCCCATGGGGACACCATAGCATGTTCCCATGGGGCATGTTTAGACGGAGGAAAAACGTTGCAATAACGTACCTGATGACGCCACTTCTGCGATATACACAGTTTATGGAGAGTAAAGAACATTTTCTAAGTATTTCCTAACAAAATTGGAATATTTCTCAGTCCCAGATTCGATCATGTCTTATCATTTTTGCAATGAATGACTAAGCTTCATTGAGATGATTTGAAGAACAAGTCAGGTGTGTTTACAAACACAAATGCCCCGCAACCGTGACTGTTTCCATGACATAACACCACTCTAACATCAACTTACATGTACCTTGGTCAAATGGAACGTTCATTGACAGCATTAGTGTCTTCTGTAGGTTTTATATGAATTAATCCCTAATCCCTATGATCTCAGAATAAATACAAGATTTCCATTGTTTTAGCCACTGTGACCTTGACCCTTGACCTTTCGACCCCCAATGCGATAGGCTTCTTAGGATTGCCAAGGACAATCCACAAACCAAATTTGAAGTTCATATGTAAAGTATATCTCAAGTTATCACGCTGACAAAATTTCTTTTGTTTTTTCCACTGTGACCTTGACCCTTGACCTTTTGGCCCCAAATGCAAAAGGCTTCTTAGGATTGCCAAGGACAATCCACAAACCAAATTTGAAGTTCATATGTAAAGTATTTCTCAAGTTATCGCGCTGACAAAATTTCTATTGTTTCAGCCACTGTGACCTTGACCCTTGACCTTTCAGCCCCAAATGCAATAGGCTTCTTAGGTTTACCAAGAACAATACACAAACCAAATTTGAAGTTCATATGTAAAGTATTTCTCAAGTTATCCCGCTGACAAAACTTCTTTTGTTTTAGTCACTGTGACCTTGACCCTTGACCTTTTGGCCCCAAATGCAAAAGGCTTCTTAGAATTGCCAAGGACAATCCACAAACCAAATTTGAAGTTCATATGTAAAGTATTTCTCAAGTTATCGCGCTGACAAAATTTCTATTGTTTCAGCCACTGTGACATTGAAACTTGACCTTTCGGCCCCAAATGTAAAAGGCTTCTTAGGATTACCAAGGACAATCCACAAACCAAATTTGAAGTTCATATGTAAAGTATTTCTCAAGTTATCGCGCTGACAAGATTTGTCCGGACACACACACCCACCCACCCACCCACACACCCACACACCCACCCACGGAAGGACAAGGCGGAAACAGTATGCCCCTTCGGCTTCGCCGCGGGGCATAAAAAAAGTGGCGTCATGCAGGTTGCAACATTGTTTCCTTTCCTACCTCCATGATAATATTATTTACCAACAGACCCGGAAAACTGATACAGATATGTGAAATCTGACACTCGGCTCATGTTGACACGACCTCGTGTCTGACTTGACCTGACTTTACTTTATTTCCTTAAAGTACAAAATCAGGTTGAATACATATGTCGGTAACTTTGGTGTGAATATGCCTACAACTACTGCGTTCAAGTCCTTTAGTAGAGATAATTGTTCTATGGTCTAATCTGTTTCCTTAAGTTGCTTTAATTATGCGGTGGAATATATTCTACTGCCAGTATTGTAGCAAAGAAGTTTCAACACGATCGACCTAGGCCTACACGTACTTCCTACCACTTGAACTGCAAACGCAAAAAAAACGTGTGACACTGATAAGGGCCTTACTCTGTGCGATAACTTAACATTGTGATAAAACTTACATGATGTAGGCCTATAGGCTCTGAGCGGGAAATATTCTCGTCACCGCCGAGTAGTGCAAACGGCAAGTTTGGCTTGAAGTTGACACATGTTTACCGAATAACACGATGACTGTGCTCTACTTCGCTTGAAGTGAACTGACAACTATTATAACTGCAACACGTCCCTTTGACGTGGGATGCATGTGTGCACTGTAAACACGTATACAAGGCAGCCTGGTCGAAAGCAGAATGGTTCAGTGCACATAAAGAATTCCGTATATACGCACAACCGATCCGTCGATTTGTATTCAGTTTTGGCGCACGTACGTATCGTGATGAAAAGCCAATATGATTGTCAACAAATTACACAAGTGCAAATTGTCCATGTAAGTTTCGTTTTCTAGTGCGGCTCTTGTCCTTGCCGTAGTACGATGACCTCTAATGATCTTTCATTGTACGTGTATAGGTGAAGTTATATAACAAGGAATAAATTAAAGTGTTTAAATCACCGGTGATTCGTGGACGGAAGTACGTATATCAGGTGATCCGAGTTCGAATGCCAATGATCGTTTTTCACTTCTTTTCATTTTACCTTTTAAATAACCAAAGTGAGGAAGGAACATTTTTTCTCACAAGACGTAAAGCCTATCTTGGGTTTGTGTTATGGAGAAGAAGGCATAAGATATGCACGTGGGCCTAATGGACCAATCAGAAGATGGGAAACGGATGTCGTTTGGGAATGAACAATTCGCCGGCCCGGATTGGTCTGTGTATTTGATTGTTTTTGTTTTGTTTTCACCGAAGACTCTAGCTTTCCGAAAATACCCGGGTAGAGTTTTAAGGATTAGTTTACAGGAGGATCGATATATAAGATTTGAGGCTTTGCGTGGTGGAGTATCGGATATCGTTTCGGTTTGCGGTAACACCATGTGGTTTAACTACTGCTTAGAAGATATTCTGAAAAGAAATTGTCCTGCTTATTAATTATCAACTTTCGCTAAGTAGTTTTTATTATGATAAGAACAGTCCTGCTTTAAGTTCTTACAGAACTTGTCTTTGGTCTCAACGATTCGACTAGCCTGCTCTAGACGATGACTAGAGCAGGCTAGTCGAAACGTTGAGACCAAAGACAAGTTCTTAATTTTAGCTGCAAAAAGCAGCTCAACAATGTCTCTCCGTTGGTTTTTTTGCTTGTTGTAACAAACGTTGGAACGTTTGAAACACCTCGGCGCTATCAATCACCTGCACCGTACTCTATGCAGTCCCCGAAAAATGGGGTCACGGGTCGAGGGTCTCGCAAACCTGATGTTTGTACCGCGAGCAGTATCCCCTTTAAGAAATCAAAGAGCACAATCACGTCATTCATTCATGAAGACAAATTCGTGGGATAGTTTCGAGCTTGTTATGAATGCAGTACAAACATGACTCGAGAAGGTCACTTCTCTCAGACTGATAAACGCTTTGCAAACATTATATTCAATAGGCCTACATACAAGGCAGCAAATTTTATCAAAGAAAACCACCTGCGTGTTTATTAGCATTGTTGAGTGTTTCGTGTTTTGTTCTCGTAGACAGAACTTATGTCCATATTTGTCTAGACCACCATTGTTTAATTACCAATGGTTGGGTTTTCCAATGTTGACATGCAATTGCAATGTAGGTCTATAAAACAAATCGTTTTGGAAATAACACTTGTGGATTTCCAAGAGAGAATGCCAGCATATATTTAGCTACATATCTTCGATCAGTTCCGAGTCTTTACGCACCTCTTGAAAGCATGCGATGAACCGCCAAACATAGTACATCTTGATAGCTCATATCTATCAAGAAGTGGATCAAATCTTGTCGACCCAGTCAATACTCAACCTCATATTGACAGGTTCCATTTTACGTCATGTGTTGTCAAGCCACTGTGGTCGGGGGGGGGGGGGCTACCCATAGAGTTAAATTAAGGATTTATTTCACAATTAACATTTTCATAGAGAAAATCCCATTCTAATTTTTGAAGAAAAAGTTGACACTTCAATCAAGGGTATTTTTTTAATTAGCCACTCCACAGAACTATATACACGAAGTTCAAGCGCCCATCATCATTTCTTCTTTTCCAGCTCGAAGAGGGCAATGGTCTATGCCTCTTTGTTTGTGAAGTCCGAATAGAGTAACATGACAATATTTACCAGATAAGAGGGGACAGTAAGCCTGGTACAAAAACCCGAATATCACAGGCCAACTCGAGATTTCTGTTAAAAAAAAGGATTCACGGCATGACATGAAGTTCAAGCACCCTTCATCCCTTCCACATTTGAGGGGGTAATAGTCTAGGCCTCTTTGTTTATGAAGTCCGAATAGAGTAACATGACAATTGACCAGTGACAGAAACGTATGCTAAACACGACATATTGAATTTCACTTAAATGAATGCCTTATCAGGGACCTCGAAAAGTCGCTCACGGGAGCTGTTGTATCGCAATAATAAAATGTTAGGCCTATGTGTTAAAATGAAAAGGCGTCAGCATTGAACCATTCTGATGGTTGTGTTAGAATTGTCGGCACGCGCAGTACGCTTCTTAAACAGTTGTGAAAATCGAGGGGAAAATAAGCATTACCATATTAATATACGCCATTAGGAAGGTCCGCTCAAATGATTAGATTTAAGGACGCCGAGGCAACGAAGACAAACTTAGTGGAAACGTGAGTCCAAATGTACTCTTTCAAACGTGTTCTTTTACAAAGACTATAACATATGTCTGGCTTATGACATGAATATCAATTTAACAAATCTAGTATTATAGACCTTTATCATGCTGCCACCATTTCAGTAAAGTTCCCTGTATCCAATAACAGTACGGAATGATAATGTTTTTCAGGCAAAAAGTAACCAGACTATTTTTCCTTTCAGCCTCGCTTTGGTTACGTTGATTTGAATGGGAAAAATGAAGATGTCAGCAACATGATAATGGTCTATACTATGATGAATAAGATTTAATCCCTATACAAGCTGCAAGTCATAGTTCTAGGTTATAAAGTAAACTTCCTATAAAGTTGATAAAGTAAAGTAAAGTTAAGTTCTTATAAAGTTTCAAATAAGCAAGGTTTAAAGTACTCTATTAGTTAAAGTTTATAAAGTAATATAAATTTTAAGTACTAGTCAAATAATTAAAGTTTCTATAAAGTTATAACTGCTACTAGGTTGTAACTGCTATATTAATAACCGAATAACAAAGAAAATCTAATGTAACGAACCTAAACGTAAATAATTATAAGATAAGCATACAGTTGTTGATATACATTATGTTCTATAAAGTTATAACTGCTACTAGGTTGTAACTGCCATATTAATAACCGAATAACAAAGAAAATCTAACGTAACGAACCTAAACGTAAATTATTATAAGATAAGCATACAGTTGTTGATATACATTATGTTCTAAAAGTATCAGCACCTTTACGCCTTTAACAATAGTAAATCAAAAAAAAAAATAAACAACATGCACCTTGAAGTTAATTGCCAGCTACTTGTATAAATGACGTCATTAAAATACGTTCGTCCCTTCCGAAGAAATATTATGAAGATAATCATTCAAGTGTTTTGATACGTGTATTAAATATATCGGTTCAATATATACGCCTTTATAAGTACTTCAATAATCAAGATAAAAAAATAAGCAACACCATAGAGATGCACCCATGTTTATGTTACATACGTAGTGTGCATGTTCTTTTGTTTTCGTGTAGTTAAGAAAAACCTGTGAAAAAAAGGTAATTTTACTCACACTGTGAAAATTCTTTCAACCCTATTTTTTTCTGACACCCTTCAGTGTTTCTTTTCATTTTGTCACAGAAAAACCTTGACCCAAAAATCCTCTAAAACCGTTTTCCAGAGAGGGGGAAAAAACTGTTTGGACGTGGGCAAGTCCACACAACATCGCTTGGCTACCTGGATTATGTAGACCTCATTTTGTTCAGAAGTCCACACAGTGAATGTAACGCTTGTACACCATAATAATTCTAAATATACTGTCAGAGAAGAAATACTAAAAAAAAAGGCAATAACAAGTGGTGAGCGTCCACATAGAAGCTAACGGATCGCATCTTATTTTTTCAAAACCCACCAAAAGTCTGTTGCCGCACTTCCGTGTATCCCATACAATGAGGCAAAATAAATTACCAGTCTCTATACTTACATCAAAGGCCAAACAACCTTAACTGCAAGTGCATGACACGCCTAAACAAGGAGGATATTGGTGGGCCTCTACTTCGGGGCCTATACTCTAAGTTACATTACCTGTCTCAACTTAGATGGCGCATAACAAAACGTTCAGTCTGTTTAAAACCAACTCTAAAGCTTGTTGAAAGCCTTTCACACAAGGCAAGATAAATTACCAGTCTCTTCTTACATCCAAAACCAAGCCATCACAAGTGCACAATTGCACACACACATAAAACAAGGAGAATAACTAAGTGTTTAAACCCATACCAAAGCCTGTTGACATCCTTCCGTGCATCCCATAAGGCCAGTCAAATTAACAGTTTCTGCTTAGGCTACATCAAAAGACAAGCCACTATTTTTGCTAAGAAAGAAACTCACAAAACTAAGGGAACAGCATGGCGGTGAGCGTCTGCTCTTGGCCACAACTCTAAGTCTTCCTCAAACTCACCCAAAGTTTGTTGATTGCTATAATGACGTGCATTCCATGACTATAATTGAGATGTTCTAATTAACAATCCATACTTACATCAAAACAAAGCGGCAAAGCAGAGACAGACGTGACAATTTAGGAAAACAACATTTGGTGGCGTCTGGGCCAATAAGTCAGCATTAATCTGCTTCAAAACCTATTTCAAAAGGTTGTATGGCCTAGCTTCCATCTCTGCTTACAACAAAATCCAGGCCATGACGACTACAAGCACAGAAACACAGAAAGCAATAAGAATGACGAGATGGCGGGCGTCTTCTTTTGGGCCAATAGGTCTTGTCTTGGTTGGCTTCTCGATCCGCTCCCAAACCGTGTTGATTGCCTTTCGGGCTTCATCATTCTTCCCAGGACCCACCAATCGAAACTGGTATGGCACAAGGGGTCCGAACAAGCACCGGAGAGTCAGCACGGGATCGGTGAAGAAGAGCTTCAGGAAATTTGGCTCGACTCCGATCTCAGACGCCAGACTGATGCAGTAGGCTTGGAAATCACTGTGTCGGTGGTTAGGTAAATATGCGGCCTTCATGGCTTCGTCAGTCGCCTTCACCTCAGCCTCC